CCCAGGTAGGGATAGCTTCCCTCCTTCAGCTTGCCTTTGATCAGTTGATCTAATGTCTCTTGTAGCAATGGTGTGTGCTGGGTATAGATGTTCTCGACACCCTGTGAAGAAAAATTAGGTTCACAAGAGCAACAACAAGAGTTATCACTGATTCACAATCTATTAAAAGGCAATATGCACATGCCACCTTAAGCTTATAAGCTTACTTGTAACATTAAAAAACTCACGGGGATCCTCAGTGAAAAATTCTAAAGAGTCTACATCCTTTCAAGGTTGACGGTTTTTAAAAATGTTTTTCAGGAAACAGTGATTAAATGTAGGGAGCTTTTGAATAAAATAAAACCACTTGAGTTGGAGGGGAGAAGATATACAGTGTTGATTGGAGGGGCTACTGTCTCCTTTTAATCTCAAATAATCTCAAAATCTTACTAGGAGCCTCAAGCTAGTGAGCTTTAGCTCATTCAAAACTCCATGACTTTACATGGATCTAGTTGATAACACCATTGGCTGATCTTTAAGAATGAATGTATGCCAATGATTCGGGGCCAGCCTGAGTTACCTTTAATCCTTTAAAAAACCTCCTCGTTCTGGAGATCGGGTTGTTCTGTCCAAACAGGTCAGTTCCTCTCGCCCTCTCCCCGCCATATTCTACAACAGCCCTAACCAACTGGATTAAGAAAAATAAAGCCTGTATCATATAACGGCCTTAAAAAACTTATGCTGGACAGCACACCGGCAGCATTTGAGAGGTCAGTGAAGCCTGCAAGGTCTGAAGGAGGTGTCAGCGAATAGTAAGTTCATACATATGCTCTCTTTTCAAGGGTGCGTGTCCATTCAAAAAAATCAAACCAGTCCGTTGACTTGACATTTCAAACGGTGCCCAGACTTTTTGTGGAATTCCTCCCAAGTTTGCACTCACTTGTAATACTTGGTACTCTTTCCTTTCTTCAACTTCCAAAATCAATGCCAATCTTCAGAGAATCAATTTAAATTAAACACATTATCTTACAAATAATGTAAAACCTTACACAAGTACCTTTTCTTCAAGATTTACCAAGGAACATTCTTCCCTCTCAAAATCATCCCGTTATTTAATCATGGACCATCAACTTTCCTATTTAATCAATGACAATCAACTTTCCCTTTCTCCTCACTTCTCTTACCCTTTTATTTCGTTCACTGACTCCCCTCCTTGTGAGCGCACCCAGTAATGTCATGAAGTCATTGTTGCTATGCCGCTCGTACCGTAGGCCATACAGTGCCACCAGACAGCAGGCATCCAGCTCCCTCACTCTGTCGCTCGTGATCAGGCCCCGCACTTTCTGCCAAGTCAAAGCAAGGCAAGCGTTGATGCATCAAAATCCAAAGAGTGCGGTTGGCAGAGTGGTACTTTTCATGCAGCCCTGGTTCAAATCCCATCCAGGCTGACATTAAGCTTGGGTTTTGGGTCCCTACCTGACTCTCTGGGTCTTCCCTGGAAAATTTATCTGGGGTTTCCCTCCCACTACAAATCTGAACAGTTTCATCTTACTTGCAGTAGTGATATACGTACAATTGTAAAATCATCACATTTTTTGCATTGCTAATGATTTAAAGATGGCCCATTTAAAAATCCAAATCATCAAGGTGACATGGCTACCACCAATGAAAAATGGTATTATTTTTCAGGAGTTGTGTAAGGAAAGATAACATTTAAATCTCGCTTTAATTCTGACGCTGCTTCAGTCAGGAAGTTTTTTAACTTGTCATTCAAAAGCTGACTAAACACCACACAGCCTCCCTTCTGCAGCCACACTTAAAATCAGAGTTCCACAATGCACCTGTTTCAACTTTTACGAAAAGATCTTGTAATGAGTTAAAGCAATCCTACCCAACCGAAACTGTCATAGAAAAGGCATACAAGTTGCCAAGTAATTAGGGCACACAATCACTCTGAATCAGGAAGGCCCCTAAGTAATGCCAGTAGCACTATGCCGGCCTTATTTAAAAACAATGAGTTCATACAATATTTGCCCGATTCTTTCATCATCACTCTGAGGTTCCTCCCTCAACATGAGAGTTCCTGGACTTGTCAGGAACACGCTTCTCACCTACATACCTTGAGGGCTTCATTGTGATCACTCTGGCAAGCTAGCTCCTGCTGAACCTCCGACACCTCCAGCAGGTTGTACAACCCTACCAGCCTGGACAGCTCACCGACCACAGTCACATGCTTGGCCACCGTGCCGGACATCTTCTTGAACTGGGGGTAGTTCTCCACAAATGCCTGTGGGTTGCAAAGTGGCAGCTGAGAAGTTCAGTTCCTTTCCTTCTTTACACTTAAATACCACTACGGTGGAACGTCGCTGTACCGAACATCGCTATGCCAAGCATTCGGCTGTACCAAACATCGTCCTTGGCTCCCAATATTTTGTGCACGAACGAACATCATGCAGTTGCAAATCAACCAAGATTCACCACAGCATGCATCAGAGATTGATCCCGAGCGGTAGCTTCACGACTTTTGGATAAACTAAATATCAATTTTGTAACTCAAAATTTAACAAAAAACAAAAATAATTAACAAAAACATTTTTAGAAACCTCAAACGTGAATGCAACGGCAAAACATCACAAAAAACAGCGAATCACAGTATCACAAGAGGGTGCACTTCAGTTAGGAGGAGGGCGCTATTCAACATGGCAACGAAACATTCTGCAGTTAATTTTGCTATACTGAGCGACCGCAGTACCAAACATTTAGCGTGGACCCCGTCATCCTCGTTATAGCAGCGTTCCACTCTATTCTCAAATATCGCTATTTATCACACTGCTCATGATGTGAGTTCAAATCAATTATCTTTCATCTCCTTTGTGGAGGTACTTTTTAGAACCTATCCTTGTATTACTTACATTATGATGTGACATCGTAATTTGTACACTATTCAAAAGCCCAGTCATGCAACTGAGGAATCAGGAATGAGACAGTTCACGTGGTACAGACTTTTGAAAGGATTTCCATGTTGCAATGGCACGCAGAGACGTGGAAAATGGTGAGTGCAGCTGCTCCACACGAAGAGGTGAGTTCAGATGGTGAGTATAGTTAACTATAATTCAGTACACATCACCTGAACAATGGATGGATGGACCTTCTAGTCAACCACTTTGAAACCAGAGCCAAAAAGTGGCATGGCTGGAAGCCACAAGCAACCCTGGAGGTAGCACAGTGCACAAGGCCGTAGGGGCTTTCCAAGGGTGCAGCACACCATGGCGATGCTGCGCAAACATCTGCCAACCCTGTCACAATGTTGCCAGAGAGGGCGTGCTACCTGCACAGGGTACACAGAGATCCAACCCATGCTCCATTTACTGACCTTCATGTCGGCAATGGATTCAATCTTCTTGGTGCTCTGACTTTTCTTCTGGAATTCCTCCATCAGCTCCTTGATCCGAGCGCCTATTTCACCAAAGTTGTTGTAGAGATTCTGTGTGAAGGGGGAGGGAAGGCAATAACAGTAACAATTTGTACTGTATCAGAAAGTTTGTTTTCTAACAGATGTCACTGAGAGCAACACAGTCCACAGTAATACAGAGTCCTGGTATAAAACTCAATATCTAAATATTCATCTCCCAACTCAAGCTTGATTGACTTGTTTAGAGCAATTTCTATTAAACAATAAACAGAAATACTGAAACATCAACTCCGTGTAGGTGTGTCTGCATTGACTTTGCTCTGCATTAGAATCAAGTCCCTAACCACATTATTACAGTGACGACATCAGGGAGTATTTTTGCAAGATGTTGGCGGTGCAGATGCTCAGCTTTTGCATTGTGGAACTCTTTTAATTAATAATTTGAAGGACAAAATCTTTCAGGGTAAGAAGAGAGGTGAGCTTTAGGCTTGGCCCAGGTGTGGAAATTGCCAAAGCATGGGGAAACATATACAATTGTGCAGACTTTTAAGCACGTTTTGTTGATACAGGCACCCCTGTAAGTTTCATTATTACGGAATGAACAACTTCAAATTAGAAGCCATTTTGGTTCCAAAGTCTGCACACAAAACGATCAATCATCCAACTCTAATCTGTCATTTGCATTGTCACCTCAAAGCCCTGTCATTTTCTACTCGATTAGTGAACTCCTATCCTCAGTCAACAACCCAATACTTTGGAGACAAAATGGCATCATACGCTATGTCACACAAGACCTCGGGATACAGCTCTGCATTATCGTCTACGGGTCTATCAATTCTATGTGGCTTTGGATCCCTATCGTCACACACAAACATTACTGCCATACCGCGGCATAAAACTCATCCTGTTCAGCAGACAACACCACTTCCTGTAGGTCCTTGCTGATGCCAGGAACTTTGGACAAGTCAATGCGGTTATTACGGATACCGAGCAACTCGTGCACCATAGCCTGGTATGTCCACTGAAAAGGAAACCAATTGGATTAAACCGACATTCCTAGGGGCACATGGATAATGTAACACAAATGCCCATACATATAGATGTGGGTTAACAATAACCTTTATTACAGCGGTTGGAACAGCTTTCTCTAGGCCCAGATGCTGAGGTGGCAATAACAGATTACATATTTACACGTGTGGTTATGAAACAAACCGTTGTACATGAACAGGTGCAGGCCTACTTTAAAATATTATTCATATCAGGCTTTTTAGAGGTATTATCGACATTGTCCCCTAGAACTAATTGGGCCGGTTCCCTGTCAATCCATTGCATAGAAATTCACAGAGGTCGGCTGAGTTCTCTCAATCACCAGTATCAAGACACGCACAGTATCAGACATCTGCTCCACGGCTCACCTGGTGTAGGAGGGGTGTAACCGCATCACTGTGCCGATCCAGTATGAGCAAAAGAGGAGGCACGTCCGTCCTCCTGAAGTCAAACAACCCAGCATCCTTGGATATTACTTGCTGGATGACAAGAAACAAACAAGACAAATTGGAAAAGATGTACGAGTTCCCCGCATTCTCTTAACCCTCCTTTTGCTGTAACCCTCAAAAACAGTCAAAAATTCCTTTCACTTCCCCTGTACAATACATACACATGCCATATGTCACTTGAGTGATTCTGACTGATAGGCCAACTGTGTTGAGAATGCATCTTTGCATAGAAGGGTTTTAATGCAAGCAAATGGGTAAATGTGACACTTTTCAGTGAAAAGCTAATTTCCCAAGAACTTTTCTCAAAGGATAAAGGTGCTATAAGCTCCAAATATGCTTACTTCCTTGGGTACATATGTTTAGACACTGTCTTTCTTCCATCAATTTAAAACTTTATCCTCAAACCACACATTAGAATCTTGGCCGCGTACATCTGCTCCTATCTGCAACCATGCATGTGAGCCTCAAAACTGCCTCAAAACGTAAATGTTGCTACAGCTTTCTTTCTTAAGCACGGTCTGTGCTCACCTTGACATTTTCTGCCAGTCGTTTGGACAGTTCTGAGGAGTTCTGGAAGCGTATCATGGGGCATTTCTTGAGGGACAGCAGCACGGCCGTCACACCTGCACAAATCCTGTTCAAGACACCTGAATTCCATATGTTGCCCTGTATTTAAAAGTGATTGGCATTTACATCTTTGAGCGCAAAGCAGTTTCTGCATTTGAAATTATCACACACGTACAATGCTACTAGGTAAATAACGAACGACTACTGTGCTGTGACATTTAATTTCTGACATTCCCCAATATGATTTTTTATATTTTTCATATCAGAAGGCAATTCTTGGTTTGAGAATGACCTTTTTGGCATTCAAGGAACAATTTGTAGGAAGTAAGTCGACAGATGAGTCCTGAAATAAATTTCACATCAACAAACAAATCAATGGCAATATTTGTCAGAAAAAATTTACAAAGGGTGAGAAAGTTGATAATATTTCTGTTCCTTATGTGCAATGTCATGAAACTAACTAGCAACCTAAGTTTGGGAATGTATCATTTTTTGCAGAAAATGGCTGAACTCAGCAAGTATGCTCAGAAAGTGTAATGACTAGGGACCAGAAACGCAGTCTGAAGACTCCAACATATCCAAGTCGCTTAATTTGAGTGGGTCAACAGAGAATCTCATCCTTATACTCACCCGTGAACATCCAACGATGTTGAAGGAAAAGACATGTGGGCTAACGGCAATGTAGTCCCCATAGAACTCCTGTAATCAAATGTTAACAAATAACAAATTACAAAGTAGCATAATTTGACAGTTTAGCAGCCATGGCTCCACCAAGTATTCACCATATAGGGTCTGCTCTTTTCATGTCGTCGTCAAGTTTTCCCACCAAGTGGCTGCTAAAAAAATGGTTGGCCATCAGAACAAAAGTAAAGAATAATTCACAAAGTGTGAAAAATCCCACGCAGCAATCAGAACACCAGATAATAATACATGTTCTACTAAATACGAAATGAAAATACGACCCTATTTACAATTAATGGGTCAAATGTCAATCATGACCAAAAGGTGATATTTCTAGAGACTCTGGCTGCCCATACAAGTTGTGACAAAATCAGAATGGTCTATTAACCCTCCTATGCTGAAGTCACTCTTTGGGTCATTTGGTAAACACCTCAAAGAAGCACAGCTGTGTTGTGTTGTGCACTGCACCAACAGTCCCTCACAGGAATATCAGATTGCACTTTTGTACTGCCCTACAACTGTGCTTCACTGTTTCACGTGCATAATTGTGCAGTAAACCAAATGCAGTGAAGAGGACTGCACAAAAGACCCTTGGTCATTTTGTGCTGGCAATCTACTGTGTACACACTGAACTTGTGCAAGTTGAGTTCCATATAGAAACTACATGCTCACCAGTGACTGTGGGCACTTGTGCACATTTGTGCTGTAAAACCATCGGAGGGTTAATAATCAATCTCAGCAACATTTGGTAAACCCACAATTTCCACATCATTGCAGAATGAGTGACTTCTAAATATTTTTATCAATATTGCCATCAATACCATCTGGTTAGGATTCATCTGTTTGCAAGAAAACATGCATATTACATACAGAGTGTAAACCGTCCAAACTGTAAATTTTGATAGAGTTTAAGTATGGTACCTGGACTTCTCTCACAACTTCTTGTTCATCTGCCTCTGCCAGCCTCTTCACATCACTTTTGCTGACTACATTGCTGAAATCTGTGAGTTCAGGGGATGAATTTCATTTCACTAAGATGTGCTGTGAACGTGTTACCGTCAGGAAAAAGTTAACGATCGTATTTCCTGACGGTAACACGCAACTGGACCATTCCTCCAGTTCTATTCCTGAATCCTAAATGAATGACTCTAAATCAGTGCAAAATTCAAATCATAGTGGTTGAATATTAGAATCGTCTCCAGATTAATGTCTACAGCACATCCGACTCAACTGACTCTTGATTTTCAATAACTGATGTTATCCAAGAAAATCAAACGAACTTTTGACCTTATACCTACGTACGCTAAGTAAACAGACTCCCTCAGACAGGTGAAAAGAAAATGTAAGACACTTACAAATACAGTAAATGCCGTACTTGGGATTCTTCAGTTCATTGCAGAGAAGCTCGATGTTTTCCTAAATGCATGTCAAGAACAATGCACATGAATGCCAAATCAAAACCAAGCACCAGCCCCAACTATATTTAGACAAAGAGAAAACAGCAAACAGGTTTAGACTACTAAATCACCAAAAATTTGACGAATGTTTCCACCTTTGTTGGTCTGATGAAGCAGATGCATCTGAGATGTTTCATCAGTTCCCGCGAGCCATTACTGAGAAGTTCAAACAGGTAGACCTCCTTCTGGAGTATCTCTGACTGGGCATACACCATGCTTACATAGCTGATCTGAGACAAGAAATCACCAATGTCATGACAGTCATCGGTGCAGTAAACTTTGACAGAATTCACATTCCAAATCTAACATCTCTACTTATTTTCTCCACGGATCAACAAATGACTCTGTATTGGACCACCACAATAATTACCCCTAGAACTGAGGGGTCCGACATCCGCTCTGCTCCCACGTACACACTAATATTAAGTTTATAAATGGGTACCTGTTAATTTTTAGGATGAGGGGTTAGAGAGACAAGGTGCTCAGTAGGTCTACCCACGGATACTGGTTTAAAAAGGTAAACTTATTTGTTTGTTTATGACCCTCAAATCTTGTGACAAACATGAAGGTTGAAAAGGGAAATTGGAAAATCAATTAAAGAGGAGGCTTAATAAAAGCAAAAGCTTGCCAGATGAGTTTACAACCTACAATTTAACATGACACATTGACAGATAGGCCCACAGAGATACAGAGCTTGCAAGCCTTACTTTTACTAAAACTTTTAGCTTTGTGGCAGAATTTAAAGCTCAATTGCAGAATACCCCGCCAACCCGCATGAGCAACCTCATAGCCAGGTACAGATCAAAGTGTCACACTCATCACAAGAGGTTTTCTCCTTGTAGGGGGCCTACCCATGTAACCAGTCATTCCAGGGATCGTTTTTTTTACAGTGACAGGGTATTCTGCAATTAGGCCTACTCCGAACTTAAAAATTAGGCCTATATCAATCTGCAGCAGTTAGCACTAGCACTAATAGTACTCTTGCTTTAGCAAGTGGCATGCAATATGTATGACTTGGACCACCTGCAGTAGCATTACAGTTTTGCTATGACAGGTCCTGTTGCAATGCCTGGGCCAAGCGCCTTTCGCATTGGCTATGCTATAGACTGGCTGTGCAAAACTGGCATGTAAGACGCACCGTATCTTTATCCATAAGAAGCACTTTCATGCCTGGTCCACTGTCCTCTATCATCTTGGCAACATATTGCTTCACTGCAAGAATCACATTCATCTTGATGTTACTCTTACAGGCAAAATCAGCCTTTTTATTCGTGCAGTCGAACTCGATACTTGTATGGTGAGCCGAGCTATTTTGTTTTTTACATGTTGTATGAGCCGTTTACCAATCTTTCCCCAACAATCGACTATACAGATTTGGAGTAGCGCGGCGGGAACTGGACTTTGATAAGTAGGAGAAATAGACGGGTACCATTTATTCTTCAATATTGAAATCTTAAGCGAGAAGTCGGGGTTGATTCACCGTTTTCAATGCTGCTGCAGATAAGTTTGCGGAAGTGAAGTGTGGGGATCACTGGATGTGTTGTGCTATTTTCTTTAGCAGAAACTTTCAATTATAGAAATGTCAGCCGATCGTGTTCTGCTTGAGCGAGGCAAAGACACGAGCCTTACTGTTCACTTATTTGGTAAATGATTCTTTACCACGGTCTCACGCCATATTGAGAAATTCGGTGCGATTTGCTATTATTAACCGTGGATGGTTTGGTAACTACTGCAAGCATATGCAGCGGGATACGGGATTATTATACGGGGGATCGGAGGGGCAGTGCAGTGGATGGGACCGAAACTTCAAGGGAAATGTGTGGGGCTTCGGGTTGGAGATTTGACCATGACTTGACTTCGCAACGTCACTTGAACAGTTGAATACATAGGAAACGTATTTAATTTGTATGCAGATATGCATGCCCAACCCCTCTTTGCCCTTTTTCCTTACCTCAAACTCAATTCCTGCTTCAGCTGACCATGAGCTGACCAGGCCATGCTGACCAGCTGACAGTTTCAGTGAAAGGGTAGACAGGAGGGTGACACTCCCAACTTTTTTGTAATGTTGGTAACTGTATGTTATGAGCAGTGTGCAAGTAACACACATTTATTTATTTATATTATTGGTTAAACTTCCAAAAGTAGTTTCTGGTCAGATCATAGAACTCGTGTTTCTTTTTGAATATTTGTGTAGCCCGATTTGCAGATTTGTTCCGACGTATATTTCTTAACTCATTTACATTTTCAAAGAAATATTTAAGATGTGGGCTCTGTAGTTATAACAAATTCAACTAATAAAAGCACTTTCAAATGACGCTTTTTGTTTGTCATTGTTCACAATCGCTGAAAATTGTCAACCAGTCACTGTACGGTACCTACTGCAGACAGTCAATTAATCAAATATAATGCAAAGTCACCAAAAGTTTACATTCACTTCATTTGCAGGTGCAACAGTGATATCCTGGAGATGCAAAGGCTCTGAGATTTTATTTGTCAGGTGCGGTATACACAGACTAAAGGGACTATCGTTTTGTTGTGATGTACAGAGCCTCAGCTAGCCAGCTACCAGATATTATAGGCCAGCTTTATTTTCATAATGCACTTTTCATCATCTCAAGTGCGTATGTGAAGTTGTAAGAGCACAGTGTGGGTTAGCTTGCAGACCTAGTTCTGTGGCAAATCTCCCCATGCTGTGAGCTATGTAGCAGGGTGGCTAAGTAAATTTCTGCTTGGAAACAGCATTTTGAAACTTCTAAGGGCTGTTGCAGATGCACTAGAGTGCATGTGTTTCTCTGAAGTAAAAGTTACCTGCGCACTTGAGCACTTGTTCGGGATTGTGAATATTGGCTGCGTTTGTGTGATTGAAATGCAGCTGTTTATTTCATGTATGCCTATGTGGCTATTTGGTCCAGTCGAAATCACCCAAACAATACCCCTATTAATGGTAATTGTGCATTGGGTACTTTCCTCTTAAAATCTGGCATAGAGGAAAACAAGTATTACGGTAGAGTTGAGAGGTTGTGAACAGATTGTAGATAGAGAAAATGATGAGAAATGGTTTTGGTTTTGCAGATTGTGATGAGTGTCTGGACACAGCTCCTGTTTCTACTGCATCTAACAGCGTGTGGCCAAAGAAAACTTGTCATTGGCTGAAAGTTTTTCTCATTTGCATATATGCAGATTGCACATTTTGTACAAGATGTCCATGTGTAATGTTTAGATGTGCTGTTAATTGACGAGACAGTTTTTGTGGGGTCCATAAATAATGCGTAGGTAGGAATGGTCACAGAATGCAGGCCAAAATATATATTATTTAACTTGATAGAAATTAATTTCTGTTTCTCTTTTTTTGTTTTTTTTGATGCAGTAAAAAGGCACTGTTTAACAACAAGAAGGCCATTCGAGGTGGCATTCCAGTTTGCTTTCGTAAGTAGGAGTACAAAAGTATCAACAAAATCCCACAGATCAAAGAGAAAGATGTCAAGGTGAACAGTCTGTTTGAAAAAAATCTGCTGAACTTTTGAGTTTTTTGGGGCAATTTATCTTTCCTCTTCTTGTATTTAGCATTTTGCTGTCAGGTCTTTTCAATTCCCCCCCCTTTGCAAATTTGCTTCATCATGTCGTTGATGTTTTCACGAAGAAACAAACACCCCAAAATCTTGCCAATCAATCCGAGAGAAAAGCGTTTGAAAATACCATTCTTTTCAGTACACATTGTCAATCACTTTTATGCACATTGAGGAAGTTTTCACAAAGTCATAAAGTGTAAGACTTGGAAAATGCCAGTCCATACTTAGTTGCAAATATATTGTCTCAATTTAAGAATAATTCATTCATAAAACTTCTAAAAGTTTTTTCACTTTGTGAAAACAGAAAATCTGGAGGTCTGTATTTTTGTCCTATTGCATTATACACACTTTTTGTCACTTCATGAAAAGAATGTGCGCTTGAAGAAAGTTGTTACATTTCAACACGCGTGCAGGTGTTCATGTGCAACATTGTTCGCACACATGTACACACACACTGACTCGTGCCGGGATTGTGCATATTGTTTTTTTGATGTGACTTTTTGTCACTTCGTGAAAACAGAGAAACACTCAGACCAAACTTTTTGTGAGTTGTTTGTGAACAGTTTAAATAAGTAACATTTTGCTTTGAAACTCTGTTCATTTGTTCTTTGGATCAACGGAAGTAAAATGGCATGAAAAACTCCAGATCGAACAATTTCAGTTTTTTTCACTTCATGAAAACGCCAACGATGTGGTTGTCACAGCCAGCCAGCACAAACTGAACAATGTCAATCCTTTGTTGAGATTGATCAGTTAAAATTTTACACAGTATTCAGAGGCGTCAATATTTGTACAAAATAAACTTCAGTGTGAATTTGATCGGGAAATATACTTCCAAATTATTTGTTACATTGTGAACAGCTCAGTTTGGCCCATGGGATCTTGGTCCCCAACATGGATTTGCTAGAATTACAACCTGGACGTTGGAACAAGCACCTAAGGTAATCCAGAAGATAATTAATGATTATATGTTCTGTGTTAACACTTAAGTACAATGCAAAAACTACAGAAGTTCTTTTAAATTCTTTGAAAATTGTTATTAAATTGAAATTTGTCATTGTCATAATTATCATTAGTGCTTAGAATGCAAAAAAGAAGCTCAGTTCCTTTGGCAATTGTGTTTGGTTTTACCCTAGCAGAGTTTTTTATTGAAAGTTAATATTTTTAATTTTCAGACCCAAAGCTCTGGTGACGTGAGTGCAGTATTTACTCTCACAGATAACGAAGAAACAAGGAAAATGTGGAATCATGGGTGAGCAGTCAGTGATAACATTCTGTCTAGGCTGTTTTCCAATACTCAACTTCGTCTCCGTCTCAGGCTTCCTCCCCGAAACCAATCCCCGATTGTGGGCCTGAAGCATTTAAATCAAATCGGATTACTGTAAGTTTTTGCTTTCTTGCATCTTATCTGATGTTTTGTGGCACAAGTAGACTAATTAGTGCGCTTACAGCTTCAAAGTTAGGTAGTAAAAAAACAGTTGAAGCCTGAGACGGAGCCGAAGTTGAGTATTGGAAAATGGCCTTAGTGTGGGTATGTGAGTAAACCATATTGATTCACAGCATGCAGTTATAATGCACAGAAATTTGCTCTGTCTTAAAATGAAGGACATTCATTGACAACTGATAGGATTATCTTTTTGAAATGCTGCTCCAAGCAAACTGAAACCAAAAAGTTTCGGTATTAGGTTGCATGTATCATTTACCATTAACTGTTTATATTTGGTGTGTGTTTGATTTTTCAGGTTCAAGATTACTTACACTTTGACGCTTAAAGAAACGGAATTTGTCAGTGACTTTGTCGTGAAAAATACAGGTAAATTGTTGGTGCCTTAATGCAAAAGAGTTGTGTCCATTTAGCTGATTAGAATTTTATTTGACACATAAACATTCCTTAGGTTAGATAGGCATAGTTTAGGTAAAGTTTATTTCCATATCATAAATAAACTTTACCTAAACTATATCATAAACAGAATATTCACACGAATATAATATCAAAGTAACAGAAATAATATGAGGATTCCAGATGAAGGCAAATGCTTGTACAAGATCTGGAACCTGTTACTAATAAATTAAATGGGTTAATATGTATATGTGACCTGTCACCACAAAATGAGCTTAAAGTCAGAATTTTCAAAAACTTAGATATTTGTATTTTTGAATTCTGCAGAAAGAGAGTTTTCCAATGGCATGTACATGGAACACTTAGAGTAAAAGTATAAGGTGACAATGTAACATTATTCTGGCAGCTTTGCATCTTTGTTCCCGACATTGTTTCAGCATTTCAGACTAGGCAAGATTAATGTTTTTGTCAAATTGCTGAGAAAATGACATTTTTAAATATGGGATTCTGCGAAATATTTGGAATTCAATAGGAGACGGGTTACTCTCTCCAAATATTGTAAAACCCCAAAATTGACCTCCACTTCAATATGACTTTGAACCCTCAAAATAGGAAAGAGTGAGATGCGACTTTACTCTCTTTTTGTCGTGACAGGTCACATATATTACAAGTTATCAAGCAAATAAGCTATTTAAATTTAAGAGAAAATCAGAAACACAATATATCATTCATGTTCCCATCAATAACCATGTTTCAGATCAAATGAATAAGTACCATAAGTAACTACATGGGGTGAAGTAAACTACTCAAATTATAGATACATGTCGTATAGTGGTGCAGGATGTTAATGAGGCCTCTGCAAAGGATGCAAAATAGACAAATGCAATTGTAGCACTAGACATTTCTTCTGAATTCACTTACCAAAGTTCTCTTTGTTGCATTGAAGGAAAGAACGGTGACAAAGGAAAGCCTTTGTCACAGTTTGCTTGAAGAGCTTGTGACTTCACATGAGATTTGATGGCTCTTGATTAACTCATGAAGACTTTGTGATGTCTCAAGTTGCCTTATATCATAAATGACATCACACATTGTTTACATGTTGCTCTTTCCTATGGGGGCCACCTCACTGCCACAGTAAGCTTGATGTCATTATGCTATCCGCTCTGAGCAGGAACAAATGAGGGCATGTTTTGGAATGAAATTGAAAGTCGTTTGGTACGCACTCAGTGTATAGGTGCGCAAGTTCATGTATGTTTGACACGGGGCACGCTGAGTACGCGCCATTAATTTAGTCTGGAATACATGGTCTTCGCTTGTGTGCCAAACATGAGCAAGAACCCGGTAGGAAAACTTAGTACATCTGTCTTTCTTTTGCTGGTTCGGGTGCACTTCAGCTCAGGGCTGATAGGTCTGTATTCTTCATTATGAATTATAGTAGTTCTTAGTTCATCACTTTACTTGCACCTGTTGTAATCACATTTGTATCTTCCAGGAGAGGATTCTTTCAGTTTCACAGCATTGTTGCACACTTACCTTGGTGTGAGTGACGTAACTAAGGCAACAGTCAGTGGTCTGAAGGGAGTGCAGTACATTGATAAGGTACTTTAATCTAATTTGAACATTTATTGAAACCAGCTTATCACAAGAAAATGTTTTAAACTCGATGCATGTTGCTTTAACACCTCCTCCCCCCGAAGAAAAGGGAGGTAAAATAAGGTGTGCTTCAAAATGTATCAGTGCTCCAAGTAATATTTTAAAGAAGTAATTTTTGTTTCTGTGGTGTATCAACAGCGGATTGAAAAATTTTAAGTTAGCCCCTTCTTATCCGCTCCAAACGGAACAAAACGGGGCGTATTTTTTCGGTACTCACTGCATAGGCGTGCTAGTATATGTTCGTTTGACGCAGAGCACGCTAAATACGCGTAACTAATTTATTCCGCCATATATGGTCTTTGTGTACATGCAGAATGCGTGTAAGAACCCGCTTGTAACCACCTGTCTTTCTTTCGCCAATTGGGGGTGCACTTCAGCTCAAGCGGATTAGGAAAACAAACGAGTTCAACGTTTTCATTCTCCTGTTAGAGGAGCCACAGAAAAGTTAAAAGGAATATACCAAAAGTGTGGGCAGAAATTGAAAAATGGTTTGGTTTTTGTTTAGAATGTCAGAGAGTAATGACTGAAATCAATTTAATTTGGTCATTCTCTCAGGTCAATGATGGGCAAACTTTCACTGAGCAGCGAGAACTAGTGACTGTCGCTGAAAACTATGACAGGTCAGTGGCTGTCAGGCTGTAGATGCACCATTTGCTGGCAGATTCTAACAACTGAATTACATCACATCACTTTACATAAATCTACAAAGAAAATGTCGTAGTTGAAAGCTCCTACCAGCCCCTGGTACTGTCCAGGAACTTTCTTACTGAGGACTAAAATAAGTGGAGTGCTATTTTTGCCAGGAAACAAAGAGTCTTGATGTTGTCTCTTCATTGTTGATAGAAGGGCCAAAAATTCCAACAGGGCTGTGCCATTGTCACATGTTCTAGCTTCCTCGGTTACACACAATACAGACATTAAGTCTGACTTGGTGTAGAGGGCATAATCAACATCAGTAACATCCATAATTGATGCCATTTCCGCAATAAGCAAGTCGTCTTTTTATAGCTGCATGTACTTATGCTTGTATGGTTCTGTTTTCAAAGGGTGTACATGAACACTCAAGGTGGACACATTGTCCATGACACGGCTACAGGCAAAACTGTCATCATAAAGAAGACCAACTTACCCGATACTGGTAAAGTGGAACAGTGCTTTCACCCTTTCACCTCCTTTCATTGAATCATTTTTACTTGACACTTCAGGTTTGTGTGGGTTGCTCTATGGCAACTTGTACACTTTAGCCGTTATGCTTTCTCACTCTGCCTGTTTCGTCTTTTTATAATAATAATAAAATGAGAGTCGCCAGTTTACCTGAAAGATTTGCATCACTTAATCATTCTCTTCTGCACTCTTCTCTTCAATATTTCTGAAAGATCTATTGCTATCTGCCACCAAAAACCTGACCCTGAATTCGTTCACTAAAACTTCTACTGATAAATCTTCTCAACACGGGCGATTCACAATAGTGCGCCTCCAAGAGTTTGCAACGTGTTGACCAATCACCAGGCGCGAAATCTGTCAACCGTTTCCAAACACACGCACTGGGTCAACAGATTTCGCACACTGTGATTGGTCAATGCATTGCAAACTGTTGGAGGCACACTATTGTGAAACACCTGTATCAGATGTCACAGTAATCTAGTTTGTGTCAATTTCCCATCAATGTATTGTACGTTAATTTTCCTGTCCATGTACATGTGACACCTGTGTTTAAGTTTCCTCTCTGTTTCTTTTTGTTTTTATTTTCTATTTCCACGTTTTCATTCATTCTTGTGTGTCACCTGTATTCAGTTGTGTGGAACCCATGGGAAGAAAAGGCCAAAGCCATGTCGGACTTTGGAGACGACGAGTATCCCAAGATGCTTTGCGTGGAAGCCGGCCATGTCTCGTCCCCAGTGACCCTCGATCCTGGGGCGTCATTCATCGCAGGTCAAATGATTGTGGCAAAATGACAACCATTCCTCCTATGCCAAACGAAACCTCACCTGTAGATTCTGACTGCCTGTACTTGAGGGCAGTAGCTAAGCTAGAGGTACCTATTTTATGATCAAAGATATATTTTGGTATTACTTGTAATATGAAATTATTTGGGGAGGAAAAGTATGGTGTCTTTCATCAGCTTACACTAGTTATGAAGGGTAACATGCTCAACTATGGAACTGATTTGATTTTTCTACTATTTCGATAACAATGGATTTATAATTCTGTACGTCTATAAAGTTAAGGTCATACAAGTTTGTTCATCTAAAAGTGTTTATGCATTTTGTGTTGACTCCCATGTAACCAGCAAAACATCCTTTTAGAAGTGCAACCCCTATTTTGATGTGGCAGAAAAGTGCTCTGATAGAGCATCTGTTTTCCTGTTTACCCAAAGAGCTTGTGAAGTTAGTCAGATTTTTCTGTTTGTCCCTAGTCAAAGGGTACAAATGGGAATTATTTCTATCTGAAATCAACCTTGGAATGAAGGGCATTGAGCTATGATGATTTATTGGCACACTTCCTCCAAGCTGGGCAACTCAACTGCAGTTAATCTTTTGGATCAGCAGGTTGTTTTAGCCTCAGCTTCAGTTGAGAATGACCTATACATGTATGTCATTTTGGAGAAATTTAAGTCAGTCGGTGCATTAGTTTGGTTCTGAAACCTTTTTGTTTCGCCACCGAGCATTGATGCCTTCAAAATCACATTTGACTCTTGACATCCAATGCCGAACAGCATAGGGTCATCCTCCTGTATTAGAATTGTGCACTCTCATGATCAAATATTTAGCGTGGGTATGCATGGGTAACAAATGTCAAATTACAAGGCCTTGGGTCAAGATTATATGTTCATCATCAGTCTGCTAGTTTTTTTAAATGTCTTCCGCAGTTTATCACTCTTGGTCTCTGCTATTGCTTTGATCCACCCTCCAGAACACTTCAACATTTACAACTAGCTCAATGACCTATCAAAGAGTTAAGGTGGACGTAGAACTATAACAGTTCCTGGTGCTGGACTGTAGCTGAAGTTAACTTTGATTATCACTTCCCCATTACATCAGTACTAAGTGCACGTAACATAGTGTTGTAAAGTTTCATTTATTTCCGATCAAATATTGGAACTTAGGCAGTGCTGCCTAGGGTTTGAGTGAAATAAGTGACAATTTAATGTTTTTCTATGTTCAGGATGTTTCTGAAATTAGATACATTTTCTTGAATGAGGTTTCCAATTTGAATTTATTTTCATATATGTACTTGGAGAAAGAACTGATTTCACAGTTACTGCAATAAATAGGATACAAGATTTGGGGAAATGCTGAGCAGATTATGTCAAGAACTGAACATGACAGGATTTACAGACCGTGTTATAGACACACAGATACAGGCATTCGCCCGAAATGCAGTCTTTTATTTTACAGCAATATATGTACTTATCAGTCTCTATAAGAAGCATACCTTATACATTTGTACTCCTAGTATCAACATGGTTTCTTGCCTTGGAAGGCTTTAGAAACTTCGGTCATTATGTCAGATGACAGTGACGTGGCTCTAGGCAAATATCCACAACCATGACTGCTAGCACATGAGATGTTTGGCAGGCCAGGGTGCTAGTGTTCAACATTTACATGCTGCTGCTGCATTTGTGGAAGCGTGGGTGGAACAAAGATGCATGTATAATGAACGTAAACCATCAAACACCTGTTAACATTTGACCCATGTCAGGGGCATAGTCACATTATGTCAATAGCAAAAACACTGCTGATGCTGTCACGTGAGTTCACTGAAAAGCCACCCACATCACTTCAGGGGTGAGATTTACCAACGATAAAAATAGCTAAAAAAAAGCTGAAAAAAGGCATAAAGAAGCTGAACTGTGAAAATCTCCTATACTTTTGTACACAGCCTGTGAGGAAGAAAAAGCTGAAATCCCAAACCAAAAAAGCTGAAATCAGCTAAAAAGCTGAGAAATCTCACCCCTGTCACTTGTTGCAACACGAGCAAGTGATGTAACAAAAATAGGTAATGATTTAACTTTTCTGCTGGACAGCAACTGCAATAAAATTTATGCATGACATGCCCTATACATGTGTTCTTCAAGGGAGTGGTCATTGTACATGCACATGTAGTTTTAAATTAAATTTGATGATGAGAATTTACATAAAATATTTAGGGGGGGGCGGATGGAGGGTGCCAGAAGATTTGAGAAATGGTGTGAATCCAAAGGCAACACTGACAGATCCAAAGATGTTTTCAACCACAATGTTAATTACAAATTATATAATGCCAAGTTGCTGACCTTCAAAAGAAGCTATATCAAACTTCATAACAAACACAAACCAAGCACACTTCAAATTCAACTTGGAATGAATTGTCAAGCATCTCTCAGTATCTCGGATCCTGTCCCAATCTCTCAGCCAAACAACGCTACATGTAGATTCGTTTTCTAGCAAGAGCAGAGTAACCTACATGTACCTTGAAATGAGATGTCGCAGATTATACTAAAGACAATGCCAAAACTTTAATTAACCCCAACAGTCCTCAGTCCTCCAACAGGTGAAGGATTGAGGAGTGTTAGGATTAATTAAAGTTCCTAACAGTCCTCAGTCCTCCAACAGGTGAAGGATTGAGGAGTGTTAGGGTTAATTAAAGTACCTAACAGTCCTCAGTCCTCCAACAGGTGAAGGATTGAGGAGTGTTACGGTTAATTAAAGTATAACTTTAAGTTAGCGATAATTTGACGGTGGAAATAAAGTAACTTGTAATAGGTTGAAGAGCCATGTCTCTTACAAGTGCTACAGTTGAAAAACAGTGCAGTACAAACCATGTACACTTTTCTTATGCAAAGAATAATGAAAGTACTTTGATCCTGTGTATGTCTTTCTACAATGAAATTCGGTAGCATTTTTGCGGGGGTGGGGAGAGATATTCTTTAAAAACACCATTGGATTGCAATACTCCTGTTAACAATGCCCTGTCACTGGTTAAAATGCACCTACTATTCCAAAGAATAGAGATTGAATGTACATGTATTTCTTTGATTGACAACAACTATTTCCCAATCCAGTTCGTAAGTGTGATGTCACATCAGTTTAAACCACGCCCCCTGCACATAGAGTTACATGGAACCGGAAGTTAGCGCGCAACTGTAGTGTTCGTCCAGTGGAAGCTTGCAATCAGTGGTGCGTGTGCGGGTATGACGAAATCACTTACGAACCAGATAGCAAGAAGGTCCACTCGACTCCTCATCCCCAACCCTCCAAACAACCAACAATCAGGCTACCAACCATCAGCACTAAGCCATAACCTCAAACCACTGCTCAAGGTACTGTACTGCCAGAGCTTTTTATAGGGCGAGTTGCAACAAGAAATTGTTGGAATCAAAATGGTGGATTAGGCTTCAGTGCATATGGTAAATTGGCACACACGACGACTGCATCATGTTGTACTGCACACACAATCAACAGCCATTTTGGTCCCAGAGTTTGAATTTGGCGCCACTCTTGCTATGCTATGCACAGCTCTGTGTACTGTGGCCCCACATGTAGTGTCGATGTTAGATCTGCAAACCAGAGATGTGAGCATGCTGAAGCAGTGCTTCGGTAAAGATGCCATGTATGACCAAGAGAGGGCACTGTTTATTTGAAAAGGGTGCTCTGTTGAGTCAACACAACATGAATGCGCATAAGTTCTATTCTTCGTGAAAATGTGAGGCTTGTTTTTTATATGAATATGCATAAAGTTAAACCTGAGGGGTCTAACCAGGTGCACAGCATGTGAGGCACCAACAACTTCCAGGGGACATCCCCCTGTCTGTCTTGATCACGGCTGAGGGAATACTTGTGCACGGACCCTACGATGACCAGTGGCTATTAATGGTCTCCATCATGGATGCTGTTCAGCCAAATAAAGGACAGTAAAGGCATGGCTTTTTGCCAAAAGGATGCATCTGTTACGGCTCCTGAAAGTCGGGTAATAAAACAGCCCCTGAATTCACTGATGGACATACTCATTGGACATGCTTCACTTATTATGTGACTGCTGTTTGACATTAATGATCAGATGCCACATTATGTCTTCCTGGCATTAAATTATGTGGTGTATGTCATACATGTATATGATACATCATGTGATACATATTACTGGGTAATAAAATAATATCTCCAACAGAAGGTTTAAAAGCAAATTTATGCATTTCTCTGTGGGCAAACCTGCATATATATATTAATTTTTGTCTTCATATACAAACGTGAATTAAGTACAATTTCAACGTAACCACTCATTTTTCCCATACATTGGAATTAAACTGAAACAGTAGGACACAAAATGCAGGGGCTACGTGCAACTCTCGTCTGATGACGACACATATTGAAAACTGTTATGTACATGTACATGGGAAAATATACACATATCCAATATCCATATATCCAGTGGTGAATCATTTGCCAGAGTCTGGGTCATGAACCCAAATGGTCTCTGCAAAATTTTCCACAACCTCCGAATTTGTTATGAAGATGTGTTTTGAAGGTCGGGAAGGGTATGGGCTATCTATGCTACCGTACTTTAAAAAGCAGAAATATACATTTCTCTGATTGAGTTGCTCCCCACTTTTTTTACGTGTGGTATGTTTGGAACAGCACACAGCAATCTGAAACGCTAGTTTTCCAAAAGGAATGAATTTTTCATGTTGCTGCCACTATAAGAGACTTTGGAAGTGACTCGGTGAAGGAGTACTCTCCTAGTTTACAAAAATCATAAAAGGCTTGTTTATTTCACACAAGGTCAAGAAGGATGAACCGCATCTATCTTTTAACTCCATTACAGCATCTGAAGTGGACACTTTTAAGAGACGAACTTTGCAAAAAGCCAATGTACCACTTCAGAATTCACCTCGAAACTGTCTGTTGCAACGGTTTCATAATGAATCTCTAATTGACACACACCAAACATGATTTTTCTGCACAGCACTTTAAGCTATCAAAATATGACAAACAAATCAACACAGTACCCAGTTCATAAATGGCTAAGTCATGCATGCACCTGCGCCATTGAGTGTTCCCTTTGGCTTGATATACTGCTTTTACTAACGTGTTCAAACGGTTCCGATACTAAAGTGCATGAGTGGGTGTCGTTTAAGGGTTTGCATTCTCACATTTAACAAATTGAATTGCCAAACACAAACAACTGTAAATGTTTTCTAGGATTACAAACCATGGGCCTAATGAAGGCCTTGTTCTCAAGTAATATGAAGATATTTTAAGAAACCAGTCAGTGTTAAGAATTTAATATATGCATGGACATTTGTGAGCACATTTACACACTGTGCAGAAACCAGTCATCAAACTTTTTTCAGAGCAAATGAAATTATTTCAAATTGAATTCAGTTATTTAACACGAGTTTCTTGAATATTACCAACATGGAGTTCATGCTGTCTCTCTTGTCACGTGTAGAAGATGATTTCTGGGATCTGACCATCCTCCACAGAGGTCCCGTTGTTGTTGCCGGACGCATAGGTGAACTGGAACACCACTTTGCCGCTGGAGACGGACTCGTGGACAACCTTCCGCATTCCCTTGGTGCCGTAGTGGGAGTCTGGGCCCTGGGGGAAGAGGGATATCAAGAAACAGCAAGGTTAAGCTCAAGTCTTCAGGTCATGGAATGAGGACAGGTAATGGACTTGCTGGAATACCAACGACCAAAGAAAGAAAACATAAGCTATTGTGACTGGCTTACCCGGTATGTTTATGCCGCATACATTTGCCCGGCAAAGATTGATTACGTCTTTTAAGCCTTTTTCAGTGGTGCACACTAGCTTGCACACAGTTAGTGTTTAAGTTGGCAATCAGCTGCTATCGCATACACCATCGGCAGACGCCTTGACCGTGGCATTGTCTACATTGTCTAGTACGAAATCTGCTGTATACCAAAGAATCCCACTGGATCTCATCGGATCGGGGAGAGGTAAGGAATTCTGCCATTTTTAGTTTCTCTTTAGTTAAAGGCCCGTACATGTACGCGCACTAGGAGACAAGTAAAGTTGAATTTTGATAAGTTTATGCCAAGTAAAAACGGAAATGTACAAAATATGGTGCACAAAAGCGTTCTTCACTGATCACCACCTGTTCTGAGAATACCACTTTTCTACTGGTTGGCCAAATCAAGCTGAGAACAGATGACAATATTTGGTTCCACTGGATGTGTTCCACGTTCCAAAACAGCAACATGCCCCTCAACAAGAACATTTTTGAAATATTCAGCTGCTTGGAAGAAATCAATCCTGTGACCAACCTTGAGTGTGGCGCTGGCGATGTAACTGATCGAGGGCTGAATTTCAATGGGCTCCTTGAACATGACACGGAACGTGGACTCGGATCCATCACAGCTGAACCCTGTGTCATTCTGCCCAAGCACTGCATCAGAATCACCGTGGAGTATCTGTCGAAGACCAGGAACAAGTGGGATGAAAACAAAACTATTCAAAAAATACAATCTTTCTACAATAACAGAGGACCTCCCTTTTTAAGTCACGGTCATGGTTTTTACCCACTTATGGTTAGCAAACAACAACCGGCTGCCACTACCAATGCAAAGTCCTGAAGTGTTGTTAACCTTAACAGAAACCAGCAGCCATTACGTATTTATACATTTTATAATAATCTACTTCCACTCTTCAATAGCGAAATGTTTAGGCTAACTTGGAATTTGCACAACTGTAATACCAAAGCATTATTGAATTATCCTTGCATATACCTCAACACAAAACAACTGCTTAGATCTTAAATTATCTGGATCCAAAACATGGAATTCTAAACAAATTCCTACTATGTTTCTAAGTGCAAACTGAAGTTACAAGCATATCTTCTGTTACTTCATACCTTTCAAATGGTACATTATCTATAATTTTCTTTAAAATATCTGAATATCGATTTTTTCTTCCACCTCACTGCCCTAATTTTATATTAAACAGTTTATTTTCTGAACTTTACTCGTACATTCACTGTATAACTATTTTTTTTGTTTTGGTTACCTGCGTTTTGTCTGTCTTTTTTGTATTTCATAGTTGGTTTCCTGTTTGTTTATCTGTGTATTTTGGTTAACATGGGATCCCTTACACTAGCAAATTGCTTTTTTAGGATTAAAATCTTCTCATATGTTATTCGTTTTTATCTCATGTTAAAAGCCTGACCATGAAGAGGAAATAAATAATTCAAGAAGCATCAAATAATAATCTCACACTGCTGACAAAAACAAATAATAACTGATATTTTCAATACTACATGTAGATGAAAGAACCTCCAGTTTTGAATGCAACGAGGAAAGTGTGCAAGGCAAAGCCTGACACCAACCAAGGGTGAAAATTCGGCAAACTTTGGCTACCAATACATTGGAAATGGTTACAAAATTTGTTTTAACTGCTAAATTTGAAAGGCAACACTCTGTAGCAATCTTGATCAGAACTGAAAGCTTACAGCAGTCTGGTATTTTAGTTTACTTTTTATAGCCAGTACTCCACTCATTCTGTTCACATTTACCTGTATGTCTTGGTCGTGCAAAGTATCAAGACACTAGAATAACCTGCTATGATTCCCAAATTAAATTACCTGTATGTTGACGGCATAATCAGCTGGTCCATGGATGGAGCCATACAAACCAAATCCAACCACAAAAATACGTCTGTTCACTTGGAACCTGTGCACAGGGCAGGACAGGACAGCAAAATTTGACATCTCAAAAAGAAGTTCTGACACCATATTCATGAACTCTACGTTGGCTTTATAATGTGGATTATGGACCCCAGTTGCTGTTACATGTACTGTGCTTCAATTGGGATACAGTTTCATCTTCAACACCCCCTCTCCCCTTCTCTGTTTTTATTCATCCTAACCCCCTACCCGTATTTTTCCGCCACATGCTGAACCCGACAACGTCCAACAGCTATAATGTGTGAAGCCTGGTGAATTCAACATACAACAGCTGCTGGTAAAAAACTGTGTTGGGTCCTGTTGGGTTCAGCATGGTTAGGGGTAAGGTTGTTTGGTTTGAGTAGTGAAGCTTGGCTGACAACTGCGATTCATTTAAGTAGATTTTGGAAAAGATCCTGACAGGTAACAGTGAAGTTACTGGTAAAACAAATACTAAACATTTGAACACGTGTCCTTCCATCTTCAGCAATTAGTGATTTCACGGGCAGGGGAAGCAGGGGAAGGGAGAGAGGAGGAGAACCAGCAGCCTTCCCACTTTGTCAACTGTGGACGGGCTTGCTCCCCTCCCACTATTTGCAGGTCCTATAATGGGGTGGGGCTTAATGGATCTTCCTATTAATGGCTGATGCCTGATGGTCTCACAACTTTAAAAATCGTTCTGCCGCCACTGACTGATTAAGACCTTTCAGGAAAACTTCCAGAAATAAAGTGAGTTAAATATCTTGATTGATTGTACCTTATCCTATCACTTGTGCCGCTGTAACCCCATCGACTCTCTGCTTGCATAAACCTGCTCACAGTCTGTTCCTTCCCAGTCAGACAACATCTTGGGTTGGAAGGGAACTCTGTCGATGGCTTAGGATTCACAGTGAAGTGAAGGAAGAGGCTGACAACCTCCCGATCTGTCAGAATCCCCGACTGCGCAGGCCCACTGGCAAACTCTTCCACGGTCATCAGGGGAAAGCGAATCAGCTTGAGGGCATTTCCCAGCGCTCTGCGTTTGTTCTCCGGCGTGACTGGTAATTGTTGTCTGACAGCTTCGTACTCTGCCCATCTGGATATTGCATTGAACAACTTGCTCTCGCGCGTGCCCAGGGTGTCGCGCTCAAGAACGTTGATCAGTGTGTCGAGGTCTATGTCCGTGAAGCCCTCGGCCTGAAGCGCTTCGGTGGTGTTCTTGTCTATAGTTTCCAGGCAGAGGTTTGCGAGTTGTGGCTCATCAAAAAGCCGAGCCTGAGTGAGCAGCATGAATGCATTGTCTGCACTCAGGTTCTTCTTCAGGAACTCCACACACGCTGATTCTAACGCTGGGACAGCATACTTCTTGGCCGTGTACAGAGTGGTCATGACGCTCTCCGGGCCAATTTGCACCTCATCCGAGTACAGGAATCGCAGCAAAGCCAGAAACGCAGCGGGTTCAACATCAGGAAGTTCCACTTCATTGGAGGTGGTGGCCATCCCTCCGTTGAACATGGCATCAAAGACGGCACTGCCAACGGAAAGGACGAACTTGTGGGCGGGGATCCGCTGGGTGTTCATCCCCTTGCCCACAATGAAGTGGACATCGCTCAGGATCTCATTGTTGAACATGAAGGCAAAGCGTTCCTTGACCGAAGTCTTGGTGGACTGCCAATTGTAGGGGACCGCTTCCCCTCGTGGTCTGACCGTCGGGATAGCCGGGGGTGGAGTGGGTTGCAGTGGCACCACTGGCAAGGCCCACTGCTGCAGAGGGGGTTGCTGCTGCTGCTGTTGCGGCTGTTGCTGCTGCGGCTGCAGTGGCTGCTGCTGTCGAGAAACTCCGTTCACTTGACCAGGTACTTGACCATTCAACTGACCATTAAATTGTCCATTCAGACGTCCATTTAAATTTCGATGTGCACCAGCACCAGCCATTACAAGCTCATACAAGCCTTTGAAGACAAACACAGTCACTCAGGAGCATGAGTCTGAACCAAAAAACAAACATGACAAAAGATAAAACTTCCAGATTTTTCAGCCTGGCTATGTGAAATATAACACTGAAACTTAAATTCTAAACGATATGAATTAAGCATCACACTTATGAATATTGATTGTTAAAGTCTTTTCACTACATGCATTATATCTTCCCATGTGCACTATCTGATCATCTGGGTACACGTATCCTGCAATTACTCAGAAAATGAGAAAATGGCCATCTCCATGTGACTTAGTCACAGGCCCAAATCGTCATCAGCCTTAGTCATGCGAGTAGGCTAGGTAGATAAAGCAGTGCACATTACTAACGGCATTTCACAGCAAAAAAGGGGGTCCTATTCTAAACACCAAAAGCCACATGAGGGTCATGCTATTTAGCGTCAATGAGCGTCAACAAAATTAATAAGGCTCCTACATATCATATTCAATGTATCACGTTATCGAAAATGATATTTGAGTGTGGAAATTTGAGCGACAAATTCGGGCCTGCTCTTGCTGCCCGACCAGCCGCCACCTTGTTTTCACATGGATGGTAGAGTAAAGATGGCAGCCTCCATGCATCACGAAAAAGTTTTGTTTTTCTGCGTGAATCTGGAAGCAAAGTCGATGTTTCTCTTACAAAGTGGCAGGTGTTAGAGTCTCAAAAATATGATAAAACCACTTTTAAATCTTTAGAGGGTATTTTTAAATTGTTGACGCTTTGTTGACGCTTGTTGTATGTGTTGACACTTGTTGACGCAAGGCCTAAATAGCATGACTGCCACATGAAAATGAGAAATACAAAGACAAAAGAGTTCTAGGCCTAGGCCTATACTATAGGCTATAGTATACGGACAACACTTATTTACCCATAAAATGTAACAATTAACAGCCGTCAGAAAGAGATAGGGCATAGGCCTAACTTGTCTCAGCCTAAACATGCTATATTAGGCCTAGCATGCCTAGGGTGATTAAAAGTGAAATTTAGCCATGTTACTTGTTAATGTTTGGCCTAGCAAAGAAAATTCTGAAGCAGACAAGCTTTTTTATAGCATGTTTAGATTTTTAGAAAACACCTACAAATTTCTCCATGTTATACCTAGGCCCTAGGTTTTTTCAAACAAGTCTCATGGGTAGGGACATCAGCTGCTACCCTTGTCCGTATAGCCTATGGAACTCTTTCCTGAATATAATTAAATGACATACCTTTCCTGAACAAAGTCGTATTTTTGCCGAATATTCTGCTGCAAAATGACATGTACAAATTACAATGGCTGCCACACTAAATCTACATCACTGCGCATGCGCTCTCAAGAGGCCAATGTACTTTTTGGGACGTCGTCTGTTAATGTTAAATTCATAACTTTATTTTCTCAAATTTTCAAATATTTATATTTCTATTTCCCAATTTGTGTTTGTTATTAGAATTATAACTCACATAATTAATACTTTTTCAGTGAAAAATGAGATCATCGTCGGAGACCATGTATTCGTAAATGGTCGTGAATTTGCAAATGGCCTTCCCACTTACGAATTGGGTAGATATCTGAATTGCTGTTGTGGGGGACACAACTTAATTCCTCTTTTGTTCACAAACATCTTCCTCCATTTTTGCCTCGCACATTTTACTTTGTTGGCGTTAACTGCCTTTGGGAGGCATTTTCTGTATTATTTTGTTAAAGTTTTCATTAACTAATGTCTTAATATTTACATGAGATTTTTAACACTTTGTAAATTAACTTTCGGTTTTGTACTTAAGGCAGTCTATTCCACTTTTAACCCTAGTCTTAAACCTGGTTATCGAAGAGGTTTTTTTTTTCATTTTTACACTGTAGTTTTCCCAGTTGATTACCACCGTCATTCTGGAAATTCTTTCAAAAAAAAGTGTCTATGTAGATTTTGTTTAAATACAGTTGTCCCCAACTTGACACCCTTAAAGGATTATGCAAGGCAGGGTTGTTTTAACTAAACCCTTGAAATGTACCCCCGTGTTTCAATTAAACCTTATTTTCAGTTTTGTGTTGCTATTTTAAAAGGCCTTTTGTTGCCCTTTTTTGGTATTTATGCTATGCAGATGTCCATAATCATGAGCTAATATGCAGTATGTCCATAATCATGAGCTAAACTGTGGGTCATTTCGTGGACAAGACTCAGTGTTGCATCGATTTATGCGCAAAAGCTGGACAATTAAATATTTTGCAGTTCTTCCTTTCAAATTTTGTGTCGAGTACACGACAAGTATAAGTGAGCCGTTTCACTGACATCTCGGCAAAAACGCCCTCCGGCGGGACAGCAGAAAGAATTATGTTTTTAAGTGCGGTGTTTAAGTACACGGTACCCCCAAAGCATGTCAAATTATTTTCGTACACTACAGAAGAGCATGAAGTTGAACAAAAAGAAGTTTTAATTGTCTGGACCGTAAGGGTGCTGTGTACAAAATGGGATACTTTCTTCTATTTCTTGTTAATGATAAATTATTTTTTGCATACTCGGTGCATACGTACATTTCCCTAGCCCTATTCGCTTTCCCCACCGCCGGGAAGAGTACTGCCGGTATTTTTATGTCTGTGGTGAAATATCATCCATGACATTTCCTGAAGGAAAGGCGTCACAATTACAGATGCGCAAAGCATAGTGAACTTGCTGTCTAAAACCTGCAATGTTCCATACTAGATACCATATGGATAATTTTTTTCGTCTGTTTTGAAATGGCAAACCACTCCCGGCGCCCGTATGCAAGGGCTACGGACAATCGAGCGAATAATTCCAACCCTGTCATGTGAGAACATTCAGTATTTTTTTTGACGTCTTCCACTTTTTCAGTGCAGCATACCAGTTGCGATTTTCGATGCATAAAAGCTACTAGCGGTCGAAAGTACACCAACTCAAGGAAAGCAAGTTTTTCGCTCTGTGTAAAAATGATACACCTATAGACAATTCTGGTGACCATGGTAACGCCATCACAGGTTATTTGTAATGGCCCCCTTCAATGACGGGGTAAGCACTGTGACTGCCACACTGGTGCCACTATTCCGTTACAGTGTCTCCATACAAAACCCAACACAGTGCTCACCACCATTCAAGGGGGCCACCAGAAGTAGTTGGTAAAACCTTCAGCATTCGTCTATGCATCCGATCGCCTTAGCTTCGTCCCTCTGTAGGTACGCATGGTGTATGCATAATACATGTAGCAACGAAATACGCCCCCATACTCCTCAGGTACACGACGATTCGTAACCCCGCCGCCCCGCCATGCATGCAACACTAGGCACATGTACAGACGTCCTAACCCCTTCCCCAAGAAACTGAGCCTGTTGTAGTACGGGAATTAAGCTCCTCCCTAATTTCGGTTCCAGATATGAAGAAAGCCAGATGTTCTATCGCGGTGAATTGGTTCTTGGGTGTTGGAGGCGTCTGTGTCCGGAAAAGACCAAGAGACTTTTTCGGCTTGGCAGGCGGCATTATAGGGTGAAGTAATTCTGACCTTCTAACAGGGCAGAAGTACACCCACCATTTGGCAGTGACCTTATCTCTTTTTCTGTTCCTTCTCAGTCTGCTTTATGAAATTAAATGAGCCCCTTGAAATGCACTTCTGATGGGGAGGGCGAACTACGAATTTAAGAATTATTTTGCAACATTCCGAGTATTCTAATTAAATAATTAATGAACTACAGTGCTTCTAAAAGTACCGCAGCTCTCCAGCACGGAATCAAATGCTACTACAAACGTTAATTACCATGAGAAATACAGCGGCCGGCGTAGCATTCTGGACGACGGCAGAGGGAGATTCCAGCTCCCTCATCAGTTCACATCATCAGATGCCGATTTTATTGTGCAAGTGCCTTGTTTACAGTGATGGGATGACAGGAGGAAAATCCCTGTCTACCTTTCATTACGGATGCTGAGACATTCAAGTTGGTGTATACAGGATTTATTGTTGAGGGGAGGTGGTAAAGACCTTATTCCCAAAATAGCTCATGAGGCACCCCCCCCCCCGCTGCCAAAAGTGAGGGGGGTAGAAGGCTATATCAGAGCTAATAGTTTAAATGTAGGTGGATATTCAGTATCTTCGTATTTCAGGAAGCTAGAAAACTGAAAACCTGGGGGGGGGTTCAAATGACCTTGCTACGTCACAAGCACTGCGCCGTAGTATGGGGAGCCAGGTAGCACCACGGACGTATATAAAAAAATCTGGACTTGCAACGCCTTTTAGAAGCCAACCAGCGGCCATTTTACCGAGCCGAATACAAATGCGCAGGTAAGCTCGTTTCTATTGACGCCAGGGAGAACAAGGGCGGGCATTGCCGGGCAAGCTTTGTATTCGGCTCGGTAAAATGGCCGTTAGTGGATTCAGAGACCTGTCTAAGCTGATTAAGGGCATTGGGAGTCCAGATTTTTTATATACGTCAGTGGGTAGCTCTGGACAATAATTGGTCACTTTTCCACATGGGCGTATGAACATGTTCCGTTCGTGAATGGCTTGTTTTCGTGATTGGGAAGACGGACAATTTTTTTTTTTTGTTGCGATGTTTATATGCGACTTCGTTCTGCATTTGCAAGTCGGCGCTGTTGCGATTATTTACATGATTTATATGCGACGTGATCAGGAAGTCGCGTAGAGTACGGGATAGACTCCGTCTAGAATGTCCTGGAGACGAGAATTATTGGCCCGTGACATTGAGTCTGTCATCGACGTCTGTATAAGAGATCCAGCGTGCCCCTTCAAAAGTAAGATGCGGCAATCTGCATGCCTCTGCCTATGCAACAGTCAAGTGCTGAGTACTACTTACTAGCATTAGCTACTAGCCGGTCGTACTAGTTTTAGGCCTAACGTTCAGACATTAGGCCCAAGAAGGCGGGATACACGTCACATGACTCTTGACACTTCAACGTGTTCATGTTCAACGTTTCCCCCAACTTTCCTCATGAATTGTTGTCAAAGCTCTTTGTTAAAAAAGTTCAAATTCATAATACCTTTGTAATGCATGAACCTTTGTGAACTAGGCAAAGGCTTAAGGCCTAACGTGCGTTACCGTGTAGTTGCTAAGTTCAGTAATTTCGCCACCTATCATCAAAGTCTGTTTGGTTTAAACAGTAGGCTTAAGTGGCAAAATAAGGGACCTGGTAACTAGGCCTACATGTTCACGGTCACGCACTTTAGCATGCAAGATGTCTCGGCCTACATAGGCATGCTAGGGCCTAGGCGTCCATGTACTTTGGATCAGGAAGATGTTAATTTTAATTAATAGGTTTTGCCCTTACACCAACGTATGTTCATAAACACTGTATACTCAGTGTTTGTCTTGGAGCTTGTGAAAAAATTCACAAGCTTACTTGGGTAGGACTCGAACCTACTTGAAACTTGGATGTATTTTTCCTTGCTAGTTTTCCATTTGCAATCTGCATGGTAAGAACAAACGAGACAGATAACCCTGTCTTTGCTTCCTCAGTGCTTATTGATGAAATCCCCAACCAGGGCCCAAATCTTGAATTCTGCTCTGCAGTTTACTTAGTAACTGTGAGTTATGACGCTACGAATCGTCTTTCTCAATTGTTAAAAAAAGTGATTTGTAAAGTATTTTTGATAAACTGTTGTCCGAGTAAGGTCTGCAGAGATTGTTGTCAAACTAAGGGCACTTTTGAAATAAGTGGATTCAGCTGAGATCCGTTTCCCTGGTTCCATCCGTTTTGAAGCAGCATTCGAAACCAGAGGTTCAAACTCTATGACAGGAACCAGCGAAACCAAATTCTCTTTTATTTCCATTCTGCATTGTTTAGTAAACATTTGTTTTGCAAAATATGTGTACATGTATATACCGGTAGTACTACTTGTAAGTACTAGTAGTGACCACTAGTCAACTATTTGTGACCAGCCTACCGAGGTTGGTCTCTTCCAAAGATCGTGGTGCTATACGATCTTTGGTCACGTCGTTGGTTGCCATAAACCATTTTAATAGCACTGTGCGGAGAGGATCAGTTATATGAAAAATGCCAGAAAAACAGTAAACGACCATTTTCACTGTAATTTTTGCTATTTTGCCCATCCTGCGGCCACCTTAACTACCCTTCGACCTAACGACCTGACAACGGTTGACTAGCGTCGTTCTCACAACCACTTCACTGCACAAGCACTACGTACGTGGCAAATCAACCACTAGTTACATTTTGTACATTGAAACTTTTGGCTCTTAATCAAACCTGCCCGTACATGTAGTTGGAACTGTCCCCACTTTATGTTGGATTCCTGCTATAGTTTGGAGTAACGTACAATGTACATGTACATGGATGTTGGATGATGGAGTCTGTTAATTTGAAAACAGTAAACAATGCATTCCAACTTACTACAAATAAAATTCATTCACTTGAGTTGGAGCCACAATTCAGTTGTCAGTGACATTGCGTAGAGGAGCGAGATTTGAAGGTATTCACTGGCATTGCACAAATTTCACTGCACACTTAGAATTAAGGCACAATGTAGTTGTTTGCAATACTCGCTGCTACATCTGATTTGAACCAGCCAGCTGACACCGGCAGGCCCGGAGGTCGAGTGGTTCAGACATCTGCACTAGCAAGCAGAAGGTCGTGGGTTCGAGTCCCATCCGAGTACACTTGTGGTTTTTTTTTCACAAGCCTTCAGGGGCATACACTGAATATACAGTGTTTAATACACATTGGGCAGGGCAAAATCAAAAATTAATTTACATCTTCCCGGTGCAAATCCATCTTTGAAACACTTAGAATATTGGTATAAAAAATATCATTAGGAACCTTTTGCCTGTCATATGCAGTAGGCTTGAAGTGATTCAGCGAGTCTTTGATGAAATCTAACCATTCATGTTTAACCTGCCATTGCAAGATTTTAAGTTACCTTCAATAGTGAGACGATGCATGTTACATGTATCTTGGACCCTTCACGCTTCTTTCACAATTAACATACGTGTAGCTTTCTTTCAGCATGCCTTTCTTGCTGTTTCTTCCAGATTTTGAGCATAGCAAAAATTCTTTCAGTTTCGTTCTCAACGTGAATGGGGAATTGGCTGCCTATACCTTTAACGTCACCGAAGATTATCCAGGTTTGTGTCTAGATGTACATGTAGATAAGTTTTTATCTTTTTCTGGGTGAAATTTGTGTTGTGTTTTTCAAAGCTTTACTGTATTGTACGTGTTTCACTCCAATTTTTTTGTCGTTGGTAGTACATGAAAGTGCCCTATCCTCGGTGCAGGGTTATTACAAATCATTTTTGCAATAAGAAAAGCAAGATTAAATAGAATTTTCATCCGAGTTGGAATTTATTTATTTTGCCATTTACTATTTTGCTTAAAACATTGGTTTAAAATAAGTTAATTTAAATGACTGTTGTCCAAAGTCGAGTATTAACCATTCTTTGCAAGAATACATTTATGTAGTTTGACTTACACCATATGATCTCTCTGGTATCCATGTTGTCTCTATGTTTACTGGGACAGACATACATGTAGCACATGCAGCCAAGCCATACAAGAGTCAGTTTAGATGGATTGCAAAGGATCGAAACCAGTGGAGGAACTCATTAATGACAGCATTTTCATAATGCCAAGAGGAGGAAGTACATACATGTACATTGTGTGCACATGGGCACTGTATTATATAGTGGACACCAGTTACATGTAGAACATATAACATAGAGCAGTGAAACTGGTAATGCATTGCTGCAGCATACTGTATCACACATGTACATGTATGTATGCATTGTGCACAAGATTGTATGAGGTTAATTTCCTGGAAAAGCGTAACACATTATTTCAGAAAACCTTCCTTGGTAGTACTTCATTGTAGAGTTAAGCAATTTACAATAGAGTTTTATATACATGTAAGTGTACATGTACCGTATGTGTATGTTTGAATCACAGATTTTTTTCCCCAAAAATAATACAGAAAAAAAGAATTTTATACTTTTTCTCAGTGATTTTAAATATTTTTGATATTGATTTAAATCAAACAGCCCTGTCTCAGTGATCAAACATGACTAGCATGTTGCTATCTCAACAAAAGAAAGCAGTATTCTTCTTTGGAAAGAGGAACGATATGTATCAGTTTGGAGACTATACATGTACCTATGCACTGTAGCTTTGCCAATGACAGCAGTGCAAAGTGTTTCTACCATTTGAAACAACAAAAGAATTTAAGCTGCAGCTACAAACCTACTTACTGTCTGGAGTTACCTGAAACCGGTAAAGCTTGATAAGGTTTGAGGGCCTGATTGTCTCACCATTTGCTGAATCTTTCTCAGTGCAGGTGAAAAAGAGTTTACTTTGTTGAGAAAGATTCAGCTGAGATCAGGATATCGGGCCAGTGCATGAAATAAGGCCACAGGACCAAAACTTTCCAGCATGATCAATTTGTCCTGCCATCATCAGCTTTTGATCAGATATGTACGTGTATACAAAGGTCATGTGACAACACATACATGTATTCACACACACACACACAAAATAGAGGAGAAACCTCTGGCAGGATTTCGTATTTTGGACCGTTTGGTTATATCTGTATTTCCTTCGGACATTTACAATTGACAATGATGTAAACTTTCCTTCATATCATTTTAGTAAGTCACCATGTTTTCACAGAGTATTATAGGATGCTTCTTGAGTTAAACCAACTCAGTGGGTCAGTTACTTTGACCAGGCCTGAGTAAGTGCAAGAAGTCACTTGAGTATTAAATCAATAATGGTTGTGCAGCCTTGCATGAGTACGCTCGGGGTAGTTCATGTAATGGAGAAATGGAGAATCTTTTGTTTTCTAGTAAAAGAAAATTATTCATGTAAATTGTAACTCATCTTATTCCCAGTGAATTCCATGAAAGATAGAGTACCATGGAACTGAAGGACTAGAATTTTAGTACATGTAAAATGCCTCAATTGCTAGGTTCTCGTAGTTAATACTGCCAGTGTTAATTTGATGGGTACCATTAACTTTGAGACTATCCTATTTTGAGTTTAAAATTTAATTTTACGGTGTAAATGAAAACAACCACCAAAAAAAAAAAAAAAAGAAATTTGAAGTGCCGTAGGTACATGTAATTTGCTCAGAAGTGAAGGTCATAGGTGCAGTGGCTGTACATACACAATTGCATCACTTTTTCTGGTGAATCGAAAGTGAAACATTCATGTACATTCATAGACAGTGTTGCAGATGTCCTCATTTTCTCTCCTTTCCTTTCCTTTGTCTGTTTTGGATAGATAATAGTGCTCTTACATGCCTAAACTTCCCGGACAAACCTGAAATCATTCGGGAAAGGATACCGGTTGTGTTCACCAGGATGGCTAGTGGTGAGTTCAGGTTTTACCAGATTTGTGCAGTACTCCTGACCGTCCTGTTTGAATTTGGTTTTTCAATTGCCATGATTTGACATTGCAAGGCCATTTTTGGGGGTATGGAATATGACAAGAGTTGGTACATGTACGTGATGTGATTAGCTTGGATGGCTTTTGTGTACAGTGCTTGCCTTTTACCATTGTACCATTGTGGTCCCAGGTTAAATTCCAAGCCCAGCCCACATTGTAAGTAGAGATGGTTGGTTGTCTTGGATGCCACAAAGGTCTTTCTCCAGGATCTCCAGTTTTTGTTCCCTTCTTGAAATGTTGATACACTGTACCTTTAATCTTTTGGCCGTTCTTCATTGTCAAATAGGCATTGTCTAGCTGCTGCCTGAGGCACCTTTAAATTCCTTCGGCTAGACCACATTGTAGCTGTGTCCTTCGCTATCCAGCTCATATGGCAATTCATATTTATTATTTACATGTACGGTGCATGTGTTTAAACAGGTGTGAAAATGCTTGTAGCTTACGCTGATGTGGCATTCTTACCAGAGGTCATATCGGTCTTGCATTGATTGCAAAAAAGGGTTTTCATATCGGATTGGTAACAATTAATGGGAAGTTGAGCAACTTGAAAATAAAATAAAGTTAACTTGGCCCCACATTGGAGATTAGTTGTATAATTACTGTTTAGAAAAAAGCGAGCGTAACTCACGTTTGTGACCGGATCTCACATCATGAGTCTTTAGACCATTTTTCAGTAATTTAACATCAGCTTGCGGTTAGAAGGAGCAAACAGAGGTCTTTGTTTTGATACACATCCAAAGTTTGGTATCTTTGAAATGAACTTTTTCCTGGTCACAAATGTTGAGGGTTCCTGATGAGTTTTATTGTGCATGATTCATTCAAAGGTCTTTTACTCAAAAGCAGAGCTGGCGGCTTCCAACCTGTTTTGTTCACTATTTCCAAGGATGGATTTACGCCGGGGAGATGTTAATTAATTTTGGACCTTTTTTTTTTGTTGGCCCTGCCCGACGTGTATTACAACACTGTATACTCAGTGTTTGCCCCCCAAGGCTGTTTTGTGCATTTGAATTACATTTGTGCATGTTACGAATCTGCCCATGTTTTATCTTGATGTCGACAGAACACTGGAAACCGGTTGATGTTTGTCTTCCAGACATCAGCAGCATTCAGGATAAAGGAGGGGGTGATGCCAGTGCACTGAAGAGCCATAATCTGATGGTTATAGATGACGAACAGCCTCCTGTAAGTCACTGGTTCTTTGTAGGTTTTACACCAGTGCATAAATTGTAGACAGGTACAATTTGAATGACTTGTTTTCATGTCAGCCCCAATAGTCATCAATCCTCCAATTAGTTTAATGAACGAGAATTAATGGTTAGTTTTATGAGAGGAAATAAACTGATAAAAGTTTGTTATTACTGATGATTGTATATATGTATTTCAAATTGCGTAGTACTGACAAAGTGTTGAAGATTTGAGATAGCTTCAGAGAGTTACTCTGTAAGTATTCACTGAAAGGTTCTCTTCTTTGGCATGCAGCATTCACCGTCATCGGTTTACACAGATGGCACATGTGACACTGATGACACAGACTACGACGATATGTACTACATGGATCTGGATGACGAGGCGGTGAGTTGATTTGTCACTTATACCTCCTCTGATTTTAAGGTCCATCATTGGCAGTTACCAAAAAGGTAACCCACAAAATTATTCTCGAAGAGCACACTTGGTTTGCAGATGGTTGTAGGACTAAACTCCCTGTGAAATTATTCTTTCTGACAAACTGTCCTTTTGAAGAAAACAATGAACGAAGGCCATTTCCAACAAAGCGTCTGAAGACGCAGTTTTGAAAAACTGGCATTAGAAGCGTGCACAAGCAATGACACAACCCACTCGTGTGCAGTTACTTTATTATTCGAGTCCGTGTGTGACCCACGTAGCTGCATTTGACTGAATGTGAGAAAGTGTACCAGACACTGAATTCAGGCACAATTTGAAACTTGACTCAGCAAACTTCTGATCTGAAATCGAAATCCCTAGAATATTGTTTTCCTAGAAGTATACAGTTTGCACTATGCTGAAAATTCAGCCTTCGGTACCATTTTTTAGATTTTGAGTAATTTGTCGCCTCAAAGGAACATGTAATGTACAGTACCTCTAATATCCCAAAGCTCACAGTGCCCTAGGCAACGTATATCCATGCTCTGGAAAGAAATGAGGAAATAGGAGTCTGTAATTTGAAGGGTTTGTTGTACCTTTTGGGTGGAATGATTATGGCCAGGCACATTTATTTATTCCGAATTTGTGTTTGACCAGTATAAAAAAGAAGAGAGTTGATGGGTGTGATTTCAGGTTTTGACTTTTTTTTTAAAAAGATGATATTAAACTCACATTGTTAACTCAGTAGAAGAAAAAAAGAAAGAAAATGGTCTCCTCTTTAATCAACCAGAAATATCTTCAATGTATGCAGTTCTTTGAAAGGAGCGCTTTTGTAGCAATCTTGTATTGCTTCTATCAAGTGCATATCTATTACACACACGTGCATACACACCCATACAGGTGCTTTCAATGGGTCTTACATGTGGCTTACCTATGCCTGTTTTAATAAATGAAGCTAAGGCCAAAATGTGGGCGGCGCCTAATTAAAGCCTGCAGAAATTATCTCCAGGACACACGATTGTATGGTGTTGAAATGTCGCTGTTTTTGAGAGGTACCAGTACCCTGTACATAAAGTGGCCCCCACCTAAATATATACAGTACATGAAGCATCAACAGGTAAACGTGTAACAATGTGAAGTTGATTGAAATGTGTACGGCAGGAAACCCTCGCAAAATACTTGAATATGATGTGATTATATCAGACAAAGCCTAGCATCACCAGATGTACGTGTGTGCATGTACAGAAAAAAGAGGAAGTTGATTTACCGTACATTCTAAGAAAAGTCAAGCCAAATTATACAAGTACAGGTGCACTGGATCTGAAATGATATATAGACTTGATTATAAGCTCATCATGGGGTGATACTTACCAGTGGGTACATGTACATCATGGGGTCATTCATGCATATTTTAATAGAATACGCTCAACATACATGTACCGGTACATGTATGATTATTTTTACCAAAAGCTCTTCATAGAAACATTTTTACCAATAGGTTTGCCATACATACATTGTAGATGTATAAATTTACCAGTAGTGAAGTCATTGCAGGATCATTATTTACTAATAGGCTCGTGGTATGATCATTTTCACCAGTGAGGGTCACTGTAGCATTTACATGTATGTTTTACCAATAGGCCTATCACAGGATAATTTTCACCAGCAGGGATCATTGTACATGTAGCATTGGCACAATGTATGTTTTTACCAATGTTGCAGTACGTGTATTTGTGTTTTAAGACTTGAAGGTTTTCATGGTGAAAGAACTACATGTATATGAGTAAAACGATTGCAGTTACGCCATGGATAAATCTCTTTCTTGAATATGTGTGGTTCTGAGAAGAACCGGGGAATAGCTCGATGTTTCGAACAATGTACTCTGTCCGTCTTCAGGAGACTGCAGGATTCTGACTGGGAGTGGAGCTTATATGGTGTAGAGAGGGATCCAGGTGTAGGGATTAGCTCGGTGAAGCGTTGAGGCGGGAACAGTGAAGTGAAGAGAAGTGTTTTCTAAGGGTTCGTACGACTTGACCTTGGTGCTTCATCAAGCTAATCCCTACACCTGGATCCCTCTCTACACCATATAAGCTCCACTCCCAGTCAGTTTCCTGCAGTCTCCTGAAGACGGACAGAGTACACTGTTCGAAACGTCGAGCTATTCCCCGGTTCTTCTCAGAACCACACATACTCAAGAAAGAGATTTATCCATGGTGTAACCGCAATCGTTTTACTCATATATTTGTGTTTTACCAGTGGACTCATCATAGGGTCATTTTTACCAACATGCTTATAGTAGGATACTTTTTACCAGTGAGACTATTGTAGAATCATTTTTGCCATTAGCTATGGTGCATGTACAAGGTCTCGAGGGCACAGATTTCAAACTGAGGGCTGGGGTGTGGAATGGTCAGAATATTTTGAATACAAGGATGGTGCTAAGTACACAACATTATTATTAATGTTCGTAAAATATTCATTTGCATAGCCTGTTTTCAACCCTCTCTATAGAAGTTCTAGTGAGAATTTTATGTGAGATTCACATTTCAGTTGGCTTTACATGTAGTCTGTTTCTTCTCCTTTATTCTGTTTTCTCATCTTGTTATACACATTGTACATGCATGCAAGATTTTTTTGTCAGTTGTAAAAATGGAAGGATGATACCACGGCTCACTCTCCTGGTCAAAGTGTGTGGGGGGGACCCACCCCCCCACAAAAGTACATTCACAACATGCACCGATATTACCTGACCTAGAAATGATGCTGTTCGGTAGCTGCTTTCTCTTTACTTTATGAAAGCACAGGAACATGTCTGTTAGGAGCTTAAAAGATACATGTACATGTTCAAGGAGAGTGTACCACAACGCATCAACCTGCAAAGCTCTGTTGCAACTAGAAGTGTCATTTGATTGTTTGTAGAACATTCAGCATGTTCATTCGAAGGGTGGCATGTGTGGACAGGTTGTATGCACAGATTATACATGCATATGACCAGTCTTGTCAGTTGCATTTCCTTTTGAACAATGCCCACATACATGTGTGCATGGCATTGTGTATATTTTTCATCCTTTTTATTTTTTAGGAGTGAAAATCCCAATGCTTTTACTGAAACTATTAGAGTGATTTTCCCAAGACCTGCATATACGAAAGCTACATCCTTGAGTCTTAGAAAAATGTCAGCCCTAAGGTCTCGTTCACTTGTGAATGCTGGATTTTCTGTTCACGTAGACAAGGTGCACAAAGGCTCATGCTCAGGTACATAACATGTAAATCTGCAGCCTTGCATTAGCAATCACTGGGCCGAATTTCTCATGGACGAAGGTTGCTTGTGTGATGAGAATAATTGTTCAGGGAGATGGGTAAAGTAGATTGAATTGCTTTGTTGAAGTTGCATGAGTCCTAAAGGTGCACATTTCCCTTGGAGACCCCTGACGATGCACGCACAGGTGCATAACATCTGTGCATTAATGACTAGCATTCCCGGTAAAACAGATTGCAGTTTCCTGAGTTTGGGCAAACTACAGTGAAAAATATGTTTATACTGTATATTGCTCTCATGCAGGGACGTCCGTTTGGAAGCAGAGAAACTGCTGGGGAAACTAAGTTTTATTAGAAAGAAAGAGGAAATGGGTGGAAAGAGAAAGTTTGGGTACTTGTTACAGGTGCATGTCACCACAGGTACATGTCACCACAGGTACATGTACATGTACACTGGTTCACAAATTTCCCATGCAGGTCTGAGGAAATGTTCAGGCAGTTTTCAGAAAATGTTCAGCCTGTTTACCAGCTTTCAGACTATAAACCATGTATTGAAACACCATGAAGAATGAACAATTATGTTTTAAATAAAGATACATTTTACTTTAAGACTTTCTGTTAATTTGCTGTTCTGTCCAAGTTCTGCCAGTACAGTTATCATTTGATGGTGTGACTTCAAGACTGGAAATGAAATAAAATATTACATTATCAGCTGGGATCATCCTGTATAAATAAAACAAATACGTGTAAAGAAAGTACAGAAAGGAAATGTACATGTATATGTCGTTGATTCAACTAAACAATCTATCACCTTCCGAAATGAAAAAAGTACTCATTTTTTTGTCTCAATGCAAACTTTCGAAAATGTGCTGGAAAGAGATGCCATGATTATACAAATTATTTGCATATTAATGAACATAATAGTACACATTTATGAGCGATATTTTGAAGCACACTGAATGTAAATATCAACCAATCATAACAATGTATTCGTATAACAGACTACCTGTAAGTTTTCCAAAATAAAATATTATGTTTGTTAGTAAGCACAAACATTAACGTGCAAGGTTGTTTTTCGTGTATGCTGTATGTACATTTGTACATGTACATGTAATTTACCGAGGCACATGGTTTTATGGTAATTACGCTGCAGGTGTTATACTTTGGCAGGTATTCATGGGGGTGTAGGGTAATTTATAAGCATTGCTAGATGACGTTAATTTCATTTTATCAGAAACTTGGGGCAAAGCCAGCCCTGGGGAGGAGGTTGAGGGAGAGAGAGGAGGTTGACGGAGGTCCTAGTTGAACTTGCCAAAGGGTTATGCATCCTTGTTAGATCAGAGTGGTGGGCGTCTGTGGCATGACAGGAAGACACTTACGACTTCATGCAGTCGTAAATAGGGAAAAGTACAAGAGACCATCCATATAGTCACCATGGTCAGCAATTCTGTCTAGCAGAGTGTGATTAAAATTTCCCCAAAGCAGTCCTTGAAGTGGAGCTTGGAGAGGGAGGTTTTGTTTGAACACCCATCCCCCCCCTCCAGCTTCACCCATGAAAGCTGAGGAAAGAAAAGTTGTCTCGTGTTTTGGTAAAGGTAGTTTTAGAGAAGGTTTCAGGTAATCGAATGGAAAGCAACAAACAAGAAACCTCCCCCCCCCCCAAAAAAAAACCGAACAGGATACTTGATAGATCAACCTATTGTCTGCTTCTCACAGTACTACTGTGAAGATGATGAGCCAGACAGCAGTACTCATCCACTGTTGTTGCATGATATGGAACAAGTCAGGAAGCACTTCGGACCTGATGCCATCAATGGCAGGTAAGCAGTCTGACTGGTTCATGGAATCAGACCAGTATGATTGGACTGTGAAGGCTTGGCAGTGCGATGATTGGTTTATTGATTGTGGACGGTTTAATTTACAATGTATCGGTAATCTATGGGGGAAATCGTTGGTCTTATTGGTTGAGTCTGAGCAGTGTGATTGGCAAATGTTGAGACACACTGTGATTGGCTAATGAATTCTGCAATCCAATTGGTGAGTGGAAATTTTACTCTCTGAATTGGTTTACAGGGATTCTAGGTAACAGATTTGTCCATTGCAGCCCTAATTTTAAATAATAAACTTGTACCTCTGTACAACATACATGCCTGGTGCTTTCTTACAATGCTACATTTTCTTGATATGCATATTTTTGATTCTGTACAATTTAATTCACTCGAAAGCCTGGAATTTTTTAAGCTCTATTTTTCTTCTCACATTTTTTGGCCCCAGAGTATTCACAGAGCTGAGGGATATAGATGTGGAGCTGAATATTGATGTGTCGTTTCTCGAGGTTTGTAACAAACTTACTTGTTTCCTGCCTTCTCTCAATGTTTCCTTGTTGAATTGACATAATTTCCATCCCCGTCTCCTCAGAAAAAGATGGCAATGAGTGTCTTTTAATTTGAGGAATCACTTTAATACCCATGATTATTTCAGAGTTGAGAAGCAAAAGCCAAACAACTGAGCTTTCAAAGAGGATACGCATGTACCTTGTATGTGGGAGTTCAGAAAAAATAATGTAAACAGTAACAATGGATATTGATTCAAATAACAGAAGATTTTGGTCTCTGTCGTCTGGTTGAAAGATAGCAATGACACCAAAAATTAGAGTCTTTTAAATGGAGCAGTTATTTTGATGCCCGTAAATACTTCACAGTTTGCATGGTTTGGAGGCAAAGCCAAAACCATGCTGAACTTTTCCGTATCAAGACAGTAATATAAACTGCAACAATGGATATCGTTTCAAATAACATACAAAAATGAAGATCATTGCTTTTCTCATATGCCACTTGCTTATGAATTTACACGTTTGGTAATTAGCTGCTTTTTGCAGTCAAAAATGCATAGTCGTTCCTTTGAAAATGTGCGTGTTGAATTGTCTTTCCAATAACAAGGCGGTAGTCAACATGTTTAACCTTTGGCTCTCCCGTACCAACTCAATGCCAGCCTTTCACCTGGTGTCTTAACACAATACACATCCACAGTAGAGAGAGAATATTGGTTGTTAGTGCAAACATATTGAACCATCTCTACTGTGCATCGCCTCAACTTAAGTAAAAAAAGAGGTCATGCTAGTGTGAGGGCACATACAAGGTCACTCTTAACATTGCATTGTGGGTTGAAGGACAAACAGACATGCTTCATCTCCTTTACAATGAAGCATTTCAGGATCCCTTTTCAGTCCTTTGTCGTATTTTCCTTGAACTGGTTTGAATGTAGACCAGACAAGTGTTAGTTCTCAATCGGTAGTTGAGTGTTTTTTGGCTTTCAGAATGTATTTAGTGGGTCTATGATTGAATGTTTCTTGGGTATATTGTGTGTATTTGTCAGTACAAATGTGAAGTGTATTTGTGCCAATGGATTTAATTTTATGCCAAATTATTAGCCTTCAAATAATGCATAATTATCTTTTTATCTACAGCACAAGATTTAATATGTCCATGCGTATTCAAGTTACAAATATTTAAAAATAGGAAATCCTGCTTTAATTTGTCCAATGGTGGGGATTTCAATTTGTTTTGCTCCCCAAATGTTGAATGAAATAACTTTTCAAGGGATGAGTATGGAAACCATTTCTGACTTACCTAATGAAGATTTAAATACATGTACAATGTTCACAATGTGTATGTGAGTATACTCCATTTGTACAGCTTCGGATAGTTCATTTGGACAGTTTTAATGGTTCATTTTCAGGAGGAAATTAGCAAGGCGTGGTGCATCAGCCGGAGCGAACCAATTGTAGTCAGACTTCACTGCTCACTCACCAAGTACTTAGACGCAAGTACGATCCTTGACCAAGACACCTTTGGACTGTTGAAAAAGCTTTTGCTTGCTCTTGTTGAGATCAGTTTTGCTTCGGTGTTTTTTTCTCATCACTTCCCTTTTCTGTTTTTTTTTGTTAATACACTGAGGAGTTGAATGCGGTTTTAACATTATTTATGTGAATGAATATAAAACAGACAGGAATCTTTAACTATATACATGATACACGGTTACTTGTGGAGGTGCCAGTAATTATGCATGTGTCACTTTCCCTTTTTTTTTCTGCAGACGTTCCCAAGGTCGAAGTGTTTCAGCCTTCAAAGTCCGGTCACTCCGGCATATGTAGTCAACTCAGAAAGTGAGTGACATAATGCAGACGATTCACAAGAGTGCACCTCCAAAAGTTTGCAATGCATTGGCCAGTCACAATGTGCGAAATCTGTTGACACTTTCCGAAACGTACATCGGGTCGACAGATTTCGTGCATTGTGATTGGCCAACGCTTTGCAAACGCGTGGAGGTTGCACAATTACACAATTTCATGCTGAGCAAAAAATTTAGTGGGGAAACAGTCATAGAAGAAACTGATTTTGTGACAATTTGCCTGGTGACCAATCTTCGTTGAGCAGATACATGTATTTGCTTTTCAAATTTCTGAAACCTTGTCTATGAAATTGGCCTGTGAGAGTAGGCAGATGACGCAGAGAGTCACGGAGGTACTGTCATCACCCGACAGCAGTTGTTTTTTCCACGTTCAGTACCAATGACTGTTTCGGGAGGTAGACAGCTCAGAAGTAACTAATCGGAGCATACAATGTACTCAAATCACACTCCAATGATAATACGCAAGCAAGTGCCCATTTGTTCTTGATTGCTGCAAAATGTCTTGTTGAGGGACACAAAGTGGCAGTACCGTGATCACTTGCACTCCGATGCTTCCCATTTACGTTGTTCTCATCATCCACTGAGTGCATGACGTGTCGTGTGTCCACGTACAGGATTGCGGAGACCGTGCTGCTTCAGCAGTGGAAGAATGTCAGCAATGAGAAAGTGCAATCCCAGCTTAAGACGGCAGCCCCCTCACCCAGCAAATCACCCTCTAGGTAGGCTTGACTTTGTACAGTATCATTATCATTGGCATTATCACCAATGACCATGCATGTCTAGTTCCCATCCTCTGTGGTTCTGGGGTGATGCACATCCAACTAACCTTAAGCCTGGAGACCATCCTGGCACCTAGAAGATTGAAGATCAGCATTCCTATTGAGTTGGTTTTTTTATATTTTATTGAGTTGGTGGTTTTTTTTTCTGGACCATGCATTTACACTTCTGATCAAGTTCAACTGATAATAGAGATTTCATTGATCTGATCAAAAATACTGAAACCAGGGATTGCTCGGGATATTCCACAAATCACATATTCAGTACTTTTGGTTTGACTAACTGTCATAACTGCTCCTCCAACAGCGCTATTGACCCTTAGTTTCAGCTTTTGCTCTGAGGGTGTATTCACATACACTTAACACTGCACAAACTTGATGTTTTCTGTTTTGACTGCGCACCTGCCCTGTCACTTCGTTTTATTTGCTGGTTCCCAGTTGTTCAAAGGATTTCCCCTTATACCCTCATGACTGCAACATATTTGATAATAATAACCCAAGTACTTACATTCGTACTGACCAGTCCAAATGCAAAATTGCAATTTAGCTTTCGCTCAGAAATCCCCAGAAGTGACAGAAGCTAGTTCCAAAAACTCTGCCCCTCGATGGTTTTTCTGAAACCTAGCCGGCAAAATGCTTCCACTCAATAACCCAAGGGGTCACGATTGCCTAGGGAGTCTGTGCTCGGATTAACCCATTGAGCTACATGTATGATTCACCTCAAATTCACTGGCTCTACTCCACTAGGCTTGTATGACCTGATCCTAACCACCACGATCTTCCCAAATCCACCCCTGTTCGGGAACCCCATATGAGGTACAATCTTTTGTCACTTTCAACATGAATCATCCCACGTTGAAATTAATAGGAGCTCTGCCTTCCTGAATCCTGCAAAATCCCTGCAAAACCCGCAAATGGATTTTGAAGGATCTAGCAAATTTGATAAGCTACAAGTAGATTTCAGAATTCTCCTGGTTTTGGGGCAAGAAATCCTACTCTGTACTATCTCTCTGACTCTATCTCACTCCAGTTACCTACTTAAAACATTCTTGTCCTTCACGACTTTAAATCTTTGGAGTATCTCATGCAAACCAGTGTGCTTAGGCCGTTCAAGAATTGCATCAACTTTTGCATCCCCAAGTGCCAAGAGAACGTAAACTCAAAAGATACCAACAGTGTGTGGTCATTGTGACCTCTGTACAAGTGTATCATAGATGTATTTTGAGCAGATCAAAAAGCCCCAGCATTTCAGTAATCAGGAAAAACAGTGGTAACATTTTGCACTTTTAAAAACAAGTCCTCTGTCCCAGGTAATGGTTACGGAATGTCTCCTCCCCCGAATCTCTATCAAGCACAACCACTGAGGATCCCGAAGCATGCCCTGTACACTTATTTCCCCTTCATTTGTCTGTAGGAAATGCTCAGTAGAAGACCGGTCCTTGGCAAAGCTCGTAGACTTAGGATTTGGCATTGACGATGCACGCAGTGCACTCAAAATGTCGCAGGGGCTTGTGGAAGAGGCAGCTTATCTGCTTGTCAACCAGCCAGAACTGTGAGTGCTCGGAAACCTACACATGCCTGTGTGTTTGTTCGAGTCTTGTGAAGCAAATACCATCACTCTGTCTTCTTTCCACCGATGGTAGAACAGTTCCAAATGTTTATCTGGATTTTGTCCCTCTTTGTCAGTCTTCAGTTGGTTGTGATGTCGTATGCCTCATGCTTTCAGAGGGTCGAAGAGGAAACTCAGATGTGCTCAGTTGGACTTCAATCTGCGTCCTCCCGCTCTCTTGTCCGGGGGACTGTTGAGCGGGTGGTCCTGGGTTCGAGTCCAGCTGCAACACGCCTGCAAAGTTTTCTCCTCTGAAGCCCCATGTCATTACTTGGTCATGGGCAAGGTAGAAGAAACTTGCTTAAAAAAACTCTCTTGTGTTTCATTAGATCCACCTGTTGACATTTCTTTGCTGAAAAAAATGATTGAAAAGTGCATACTAACGAGTTGGAAAATATGTTGAAGATTTAGTTTTGTTACTTTTATTACTTTATTTAATTTGACAATATGAAGCCTTTTTAGTTGCTTATCTTGGCCTGAGGCCTTTTTAGTTGAAGGGCAAAGATAGTTTGGCAAATATTTTTAAGCAACCTAAGAATGAACAAAATTCTGAAAGCTTTTTCTACATGAATATACTTTTTTCAAGTCATCACAGGACAGTTCATGTAAATGTGAATTGAATATTTCCCAACTAGACAGTGAGTTCTCTAGTTCTCTTTAAAATTGTGCCTCAGTGTCAGACATCCCACCACCAACATACTGTCCACTCTGTAAAGTTGTCTTGTACTTCAAGTTTAGTCAGTCCCAAAGGTCATTTGCGTCTATTATCATTTCTTCACGGTTTCACTTGGTCCCCACACATACATATAATATCCTTCTCACTGAACACTCGGCAGCCTCATTCCCATGTCTTGCAAAAGCATAAGTACTCATGTAACTTCACATGTTAAGCTAAAAATCTATCCATCTTTACTTTTATTGGTAAAAGAACACATACATGAACATAAAATATTGGGCTAGAAAAAGGAAATTACATTGATACTTGCACAGTCATTTTGGCAAGTGTGTTCTGTAGTTGAATTTTGACATTTGTATACAGCTGTTGGAATGTTATCGTTTGTTTGTTAAAAAGGTTTAAATTGTGTCAAATCAGCTTTGGTATCATTTGTTTGTGGGGTTAATTGAATTAGTTCCACCAAGTTTTTGACTCTTTTGTAGTGGCTGCAGTGCATCAGCCGACCAGAGTAACCAGAAAAAAACCAGCAAGCGGCTGTTCCCATGGCAGAGGAGTTCATCAGTCAACGGCCAGACAGTTACTCCCACTGGAACCGACGATCTTCACCTGATTCCTGCAGCTACACAGGTAAGTTGGCATCGCAAATCCTCCCGAGTGTCAAAATCCCCGTGAAATACTTGCGCATTGAGCGCCTCCTCATCTGTGTTAAACAGTTTTAGATCATGATGTACCTGTTGGGCGGTGCCATGCATGTGTGAGGACGTGCATGTGTGAGGATGTGCGTGTGTGAGGACGTGCATGTTTTACTTCGCCATAAGGGACAGACGCACAAATGGATCAGAATAATTTTCTCGTCCCTGGCGGTCAGGGCCGTGGTCTGTCGTGGATGGTCAATGGCTGTGCCTGGCCTCTGTGGAATAGTGACGTATGATATTGTCCCTATTGGACGCCACTGTCATGTAATCACAGTGCACTTCATTGCCAGTTAGCCATGGAGTTTGTAAGTAAAGCACAGCTCTTCTTGTAACCTCAAAGACAGATTGCCTAGTGTTGACTTTCTGTTTTGTGCCTTTTTAATTGTAGGCACTGTTTCAAGACCTGTAATTTTGTAAGGTTCAGTGCAGAGCAATATTGGCAGAGAAATTTTGGTAACAGTTGAGACACTCTAGGGCAAATGTTCATAAAGTTTGTCGCCTCTTTGAAACACCAATGGGAACTGAGCCAACCGTTCAATGACTTCCATATGGTTTCAGAACGGCAAGAACGCCAAGGTGATACCGAGCCTGGAGCATGGCTTCCTAGTCCAACTCTACACCTACCTGAGGAACCGAATACCCACACTCAGCGAATTCTGTGTCGTGTGTGATGAGCAACACATCTTCCAGAATGGAGCCATGCTTAAGGTATTGTATGATGTGTAATCAGATAATAATACATGTAGTTATGGTGGGTACATGGGCATATGAATTGAAGACTTCTGCCGAGGCCACCCACTAACAATATATTTATGAATAAAGAGAAAAATAGCATACATGAAACAGTTTTTGAGAAAGTGCAAGTCTTGTAAGAAGCCTCTATTTTGTTAACCTTAAAGTGAGCTACATTTTTGCCTTCAAAAAAGTAATTTGATTCACCTTATGGTGATCATTCAGGGTTCGAAAATACCCACTTTTTTGTGTTTATTCAATTCTCTTAATGCTGTTTGAAACAATATGGAGAATGAGTGCGTCACTTCTTTTGACCCAACATACTCGGTGTCATTTTGTGGTTAGCCTGCAGTGTGTGAGCGAGAACTCTGCGTCTTCTCCTTCCAAACCCTGGGCGTCATGCAAGACGCCGCCGAGAATATTGCCTCGGGAGCCGAGGTCGTCGACCTGATGGTTGCCATGGTTGTCTCCTCCATCAAGTCCAGCCGGCGGCAGTTGATCTTTGAACCTTACCCCATGGTGGTCGACCCAAGAAATCCCAAGGAATTGGCATTCACGCCGAAGGTGAGACTCGCGATGGGGGAGCAGTAGACATTGGTTTGCTGGGATATGTTTGCATTAAAGCGTACACCTGGTTGCTAAAACCCTGCACTGTAAGTATCGTCTTGTCTGAACATGCTGGATATGTTCATAATATACAAACATTGTGAAGGGTTTACGCAGACAGCATCACATATCACACTGCCATCTTGGCAGTCTTATCAAGCTGACGTAAAATATCGAAACTTCTGTTTGTTCCACCCGCAGAAGAAGAATTACGAGCGCATCCAGCAGGCCCTAGACAGCTTCATCTCCATCCGTGAGATGCTGGCTGCCGGCTGCTCCACAGACGTCAAGAAACGAATGGATGGACAGGATATGTTGGCATATCCACTGCTGCAGTGGTTAGTAGGCTTGGCCTGTCCTTACGGTGGTTGCCCCTATCGGCAGGAATCCACTTGAGGCTTGCAAAATGCACCACGTTGCAAGGGGGAAATGCTAAGTTTCATACTGGTTCATATTTTGGATGATATAATTGGTTACTAAAAGTAGCCAGCATTTTAGGAAGTCAACTTTTTGCCGTCCACTGCTGTAAAGGGGAAATTTGAATTGACTAGTTGATATGTCTTGGATGATATGATGACATCACTTAAGTTTAGAGAGGTCGGCATAGAAGGTCAACCTCTACCTGTTTTATCTCCTTTCTTGTTCCCTCCAATTACGGTGTGCTGATACTTGAATTCCCCATTTTCCAGGCATTCCAAACACCTGTAGAGTGTACTCTGAACATTGCAACAAGGTAGGACACGGCAAGCCAGTTGAATCACTCTGGGTCTGGCTGTGTCCCAACCAACTGGCTGTGGCTGGCAGCTACACATGTGTCTATGGGTAGCAGCCGCAGCCGCTAAGCCCAGCAGCTTCTGTGGGTGTACAATGTGCACATGTTATTTCCAATGTTAGCCATAATATTCAGACATGCATGTACGCTAATCCGATTGCTGACCTTCAGTCGGCAACGTATTATTAACTAGGCATTAACTAGCCCAGATGGCCCATGGCGGGATGGGTACGGACAAGTGTTTGCTAGCAAACCACTGGTCACTCTGTGATAAAATGTTTATTGGTTTATCTTGCACCATAGGATCATCTCCAGTAATCGTTCGCACATCGTCAAGCTGCCAGAGGGGAGGGTAAGTCAGTCTTCATTCACTTTCCTTTGGAAACTCGGCACTCCTTGGAAACATTAAAAGTATCCGTTGTCATCATCATCAAACTTTCCCTCATTCATTTTGGATCAGTAAAATCTCAACAACTAACAAAAAGCCAGTGAGATGTTTGTTCAGTGGGAGAAGAGATTTTCACTGGAAGCTTGTTTGACATCAGAAGAAATATGTATAATTTGATAATTCAAACAGTTGCCGTCGTTAATTCTTGCAGTTGTGCATAAAAATGATGCTTGGGCATGATACACTAGTGCTGTTTTCACATAACATTGCTGTTTTAGATAATACACATGTATTAGTTTATCAGCTTTGCCCATTGTACACATTGCGCAAGAGTTTCTCCACTGGAGTTGCCATGAACAGTTCATTGAGGTATCGGAGGAAGAAATTGGGCATCCGTTCAGTTTCTATTCGTACTGTTTTGTCGTATTTCCTTTGCACAGCAAATCCGCTTCATGCACACGCCGCACCAGTTCCTACTGCTGAGCAGTCCACCTGCCAAAGAAGCCACCTTCAGGAAGGCCAAGATGATCAGTGGCAGTACTTTTGCTTTCCAGTATGTACCTTTGACCCTTGACCCTTGTCCTCATTGCTCTTCAGAGGATTGAAGTGAGTCAGTCCCAGTGCCTGTAACATTTATTGCTTTTTTTTTCTGATGTTAGTCCTCCGTCAGCTGTACATAGTTTGGGAGATTTTGTATAATTTTTCCTTGACTTTTAATCGCACAGAATTTCTTGTTTAATTCCCGTAGCAGTGCTGCTGCAGAGTGCAACTTAGCATCGCATTTTATTTTCTTTAGTACATTTTTAAAGAATTTGTGCCATTGTGCCATGTTAAATCATTCTGAACGTTAACGTTAGACCTGATGTAAGCACTCATACACTGTCTCTTCATTGTATTGTTTTTCCTCACAGTGGTTCTCACATAGAGAACTGGCACTCCATCCTGAGGCATGGCCTCATCAACGCTTCTGGAACTAAACATCAGGTAAGCCTGAACGCAGTACCATTCATGCACATAGGAGGGGGGCCGTGTTCTAGTTGAGTTTAATTACAAGTCAAATTTCCAAAATTGTTGTCTGGTCTGGTCCGGAATGACACGGAATGAACACTTGAACAGTGATAAAGAAAGTCATGGTTTGAGTCATTTTGAAGTCAGAACTCGTGAGAACTCTGTTAAACCTCCGGTGGGAGAGAACAGGAACGAGTAAAGACATGTCCAAGGAAACGCGGTGACTCCATACTCGCTCGTGCATTCTTAAACTTAAAACTTGTGAGGTGCATATACCTCTCGACAAGTCTCAAAACCCCGTTGGTCAAAGACGCCCGTACCACCGTGGTAAATGTGGTGGTACCGCAGTAATGGCTCCTAATTCTGGTCTCAGAATTAGGCCGTGTCCGAAAGAGGATTGCAGAGCTACCGGTACGGCTAGGTCTATTGTTTGCACATCTCTACGCATTTCCAATGGAGCGAAGACCTAGACCTAGCTCAAGACAAGAGATTCAGATGCAGCCTTAGTCTGTAAAAGGGCAAATTACGGCACACTGTGAGAATCCAAATACTGAAAGTGTACCCGTTATGCAGTGGCCACAATAGCAAGACATGGGTTCCATTTGTTTACGTTAGAATCAAACTGGGATCAGCTAAGGCGGTCAGTTTAGAGTGGTGGCCACTATAATAAGATAGCCACAACGGCAGGTTTGACTGAAGTACATTGATTATTATCCGGTTTTGTGGTAGCTGTTTGTACCGACGGCTAACCATAGTTTTAGCAACCACTCGTAGGAAAAACAAGACTGTGACATCAAAAGAACAGGCCCTATTGTACGGCCCCTCTGCATTGTTTACACTCTTCCCTGCTGTTTGCGTTACAAGCTAAATCAAACAGGAAAACGAGCACATTTGTTGTTTTGGGGTTGCAAATTTGTCGGTTAGCAGAGATGGGATGAGTAATGCCAAAGCCACTGTTAACCGGTTCACCCGCTGTTAACCGTACTAAACCCTCATTGGTAGATGCACGGTGCTGTGTATGGGAAAGGCATCTACCTCAGTCCTCACTCTAGCGTGTCTTTTGGCTACTCCGGGATGGGGCATGGCATCCACAAGCAGGCCAAGAAACAAGGGGCGCAGGCACTTCCGAAGGAACCACCGACCAACCGGGTAAGTCATCAAGCCACGTTCACGCGTGGATACATGCAGTTTTAGATGCACGTCGGTCATACGTACTGTTTGCCACATGTGCTTGCAATCGCGTACTTACACACACATAACGAAGCGCCCTCTCTTGGTCAGGAACAGGGCGTTTTGTTTCAAGACTGTTATTATTTGTCTTTATTCAGACTAAATGAAATGGCAGGTCTTTGTAATTCCTGTCTGTAAACTTCGTCATTTGTCATCCCCTTCAAAACTTTGAGGAAAGTCCAAAGGTCAAGGTACGTCCATAACCAGTCAACATTCAGTCAAAATTTCTCCTTTAATATGCTGTTGGTTTTTTCTTTGCATTTGTAGCAGAATTCTCCGTCGACCTGCAGATTCCTGCAAAGTAGGAACCTGACATGTATAGCACTGTGTGAAGGTAGGTAAGCCAAGGCACGACCATGTCATTGGTACATAATACTTCACTATATTTTTGGTAGTATTTTTAACCATGGCACTAGCTTGGAAATCTGACACATTTGTGGAGAGTTTACTTCAACGTGTTGTTTGACCATAAGTTTAACCTAGACCTCGGAGCATCTTGAAGCATCCTATTGTTCACTCCTTGCATAAGATAGAGTGCTTGGCAGCATGTCTTTAAATTTAGCTTTTCAGTTAGGTTACATTTCAAGACTGCTGTATATTTCATATCTTTCATGAAATATAATATCTACCTGTACATTATGTAATATAACATCTGTCATATAATATCTTTTGACATTTCATCAATTTGAGGACAAGGTGACCTTTCTTTTACTGAAAAGAAAGTGCCAAAAAATAACACAATTGGTGGCTGTGTTCCCGGCCTTAGAGAGATAGCAAATGGGGATCTGGAGCCGACTATTTTCTTCCCACTGCATTGCTCGGAAATGTTTACAGTTCAGCCTGAATTATTTTATCAAATTCCAAATGTCTGTAAAAAAAAGGGATGATGTTAGTAAACCGTTCCGAACGTTTGAATTTCTTTCTGCAGTGGTGAATTCTCGAGAGCTCACCAAGCATGGACATGTATGGGTGTGCACCAACCCAGACCTCGTCTGCACAAGATTCTTCTTTGTGTAAGTACTTGTACACAGGGCACACATATATCATTATTTACACCTGTTTCATTCACTTGCGCTTTTAACACCAATTACAGGATGATAATGAGTGAAGAAGGCAATGAAGAAATGTTCCGTTTTAGAGATTGGGGGGGGGAACCCTGGATAAATGTTTCAGGGAAAACCCATGGACTCGGGTAGGGACTGAAAACCCAATCCACATGTGAACCGAGCCTAATTTGAACCCAAGCCCCCTCAGATGGAAAGCAAGGAAAGATACACTACGCCAACCTGACTCATATAGAGTTCTCATATATGGAAGGATGATACCTCTGTGTGAGATATTGTAATCTGGATTGGTTTTAGGATAAGCATCGTTTGCTAGTTTCCAATGAACTGAAACTTGTGCAGATTTTATGCATAGGAACTGAAATATTCTACATTTTTGGGGGGTTGGGGGCAGTGTTTTACATTTCGGAGAAACATTTTATTTATCAAATTTTAAGAAAAGTTCAAGAAAAAAATGATGGACGAAAGACAATTTTCATTTTTAGAAGATGGGTTGAGTGGGGAAGTCAATTTTCAAACAAGGGTTTGCTTCGTCTGTTTTTAAAATTATTGGGCATGATATCTCCCTGAAAATTAGAATAATGCATTTCTTAAAATTATTGTTTCCAACAGGGATCCAACACTTCCGTCCTGATGATTGATTTTGAAAATATGAAGAAAAATTGTGCATTTTTTAACATCTTTGAGTGTGTGGATTTTCTTTTTGGCTTTTACAGTCCAAGTAAATTCTGACAAAAAATACCAATCTGTTCTCAAAGTTTTGAAAAGTAATACTCAAACATTACAAATACATTTGATATGATGCAGTTGAATGCGACCATACATGTCAACTTCTGGATTCTTGTTTCTAGTTATGAAGATGGGAAGGTGGGTGACCAAGCAGTGGACACAACACAGGAGAAATATACCAGAGAGATCATCGCAGCCATGGCCGATTGCTCTGCCCCTTAACTCTTCAAAACCCCCCCCCACACACACACACACCCAACCCCACGATTTGTGACCTGTGCTACAAACCTTCCTGACTCCGCCCAAAAATCCAACACTGCGCCATAAAACACAGTGGCATAGTCTTTGATAGAGAATGCCTAAAGGACATGAGTTCCCTGTCAGGTACTTTGGAAGGTTGCACTATGCTGGTGCAGATCAAGAGAGTCGTAGGGTCGTAAGGAATATAAGAGAAACGACTGTCCATCAGCCAGGCAGCCATGTGTACCAGGTGTGCTCCTGAGAGAGAGATGAACTCATGCAATGCCAGCAGGTCAACCAGGAGATGTGGCATAACCGCAGGGTTATCGGTGAGCATCTTTGTGCGACACTCACCACATCTCTTTCATGTGATGAGCAGCTTTCTTGAAGTAAGTTTTACCCAACTTGGTGTACTGTCTGGTCCAGTTGAACAAGCACCGTTGGATATTGTGACACTCATGTTCAGTTTGTTACTGTTGCATTCAAGCCTCAGCAGACACCTTCAAAACGGCTGAGGATAACTGTACAGGGAGAAATGTGATGAGCTATCGGAAGGCCTTCATGAATTCTCTGTTGGTGAAGCCAGTCACCACATGTATGTAGCGTGATTGCGTATTACAATGTACTGTATGTGAAAATTTCATCCTAACATTTGGGTTGCTTAGCTGCTTAAGTCAACTGGCAAGTCAATAAATAGTTACTCTTTTGGGACATGAGGTTGAAGAGCTGAATACAAGAACTTGTGACGCTATCTCATTGTCTTCATCGGCTGGCAGTACTGAGGATGTCACGTCCCCTGTCACGACCCCTGTCACGTCACCTGTCAGGTCACCTGTCATAAAATCATGCTGCTATACTCGCATTGGGCTCCTCACTCTCAAGTTCCATAAACAAAGTTACTGTTTTTATTGATTTGATTGGATCATGAGCCTGGAAATGAATCTCCCTGCTTGACCAGCCAGCCAACTTTGACATGAGAGACAACTCAAGCCCTCAACAAATTTTCCTGAGGGAAGGAGTTGCATTAGACGTCTTGATCATTTGGGGAAGAACTTGCTACGTTTTGTAGAGTAACAGAATCTAACTATCAGTACAAGATTATGAATCAAATAAATTTAGTGTAAACCAAATTTCATCTGGTGCCAAGGAAAGTAATGTGTTGTTCTTGAATTTATGTCTAAGCATTCAATGTTAAGAATGGAAGAAGTACACAGTGTGTTGTTGGTTTGTGTACATAACAGTGATATATGAAGCCACCGGTTTCAATCTAAAAATCAGTAAATTGTATAAAAAGAAACGATTATGGCTTGCAAGTTATATATTTGATTTGTTATTTAATGAGAATTTAAAATTAAGTTTGTGTGAAACAAGCTTACATATTTAAGGGAATTGTCATTTATTTTTGTTAGATGAGAAAATTGTTACCATTTAATCTTTTCCTCCCAGGGAATTTGTGGACTGCTTCAATTTTTAGCATATAGTGACACCACATACTTTTTTGTCACTTTGACAAATTCCATTGGTGAGCAAATATGAAAGGAATATGTTTTTGAAACATGCAAATGTTTTGTTTTTGATTTTCAGCATTAAGGCTGGTTTGTACTTCAGGCGAATGCCAAAGTGAAGTGAATTTGACATCAGGTGTTTACAGTGAAATGTGCTGGAGTTGAAATGTGGTTACCTCTGGCAAATTGGCAGCACAAATATCTGTTCTGACTTAAGTTTGCTTTCATTTGTTTTTGCTCCAAGTATGAACCAGCATTTAGAGTTCTGCAGTTAATGTACACTTTTTAAAAGCGCCCACAAAGTTCTTGAAGTAGAATTGGCTGCAGAGTGTTTTCATCTACCTTTGACACTTTGGCCCAGAACACCTTGGCAAAGCTGCAAACTGAACCTTACCTTATCATTTTGGCTCAGATTTTCCTAAAATGAGGAAGACGGACGGACAGACATGAATCACTGTAGGAAATCTCTCGGTCAAAATCCTGGAATCTGTGTGGCTCTGAATTTACCCAGATAATCACTGGAAACCAAAAACCATCTCAAATGTAAGCCAACCTAATAAACTAGGTTGCAAATCACCAGAATCGTTTCTGAGTTAAACATGTTCAAAAGTGAATCAATGATCACCCACATTTTTTCATCTACATCCCGTCCATTTTCATCAGGACGAGGTGAAACTTGCAAACAAAGCCAAGTACAAATGCTGTTTACAGTTGAGCTCATCACATTATGCTGAATTAAAACTTTTATTTAAAAATCAGAGTGCACTTATTGAAAAAGTATTTTCGTTTTCCGTTGAACACCACAGCCAAGTCAGTCAGTGTGTGTAAATATGTGAATATTTTTTGTATCATCAATGAAAAGGGTACTTTCAAAAATTGGGTTACCTACGTCCATTTAATCTTTTGGGTAATTACTTCCTAGCTGAAATCATGTAGGATTTACTTGCCAATGAAGGGCTATGTAATTTCAGGTATGTGTATTTTGTTTTGTTCAACACGTGACTGACTCTTAGAGTTTGTATAATGTATTCTTGCCTCTTCTTGCTTGGCGAAGATTTTTGGCACAATCTCAAATCTTTGCCTGAAGTATCATGTTTCAGGGGACAAAAATTGGATCGTGGGTATCAACATTAGCCCAACATGTACATATTAGATATGGTACCTACAGGAGTTACAACCACATGCACTGAATCTAGTCCGGTCTTGAAGTCTCCTTGGAAATTAACATTACTCAAGAAGTACTCCTAGTTACTGTACGTCATGTGATCTTTACATAATTTGTCAGAGATTTGCCATTTTATGTTTGGTTTGGTTTCATTTTTTCGCAGCAGTTGTTGGGGGGAAAGTAAAATCACTTCTAAAAAAAGCTAAGCTTCACCTTTTTTGAAGAATAAGAAAACTTTTACACTATGGAGGTTTCAAGCCCGAAAATGCTGTAAAGAACATTACAAGGAGATCAACACATTTGGATCAGGTTAATAAACCCCTATTATTTAGAGAAAACTGGCAGAATTGGGTTGACCACGAGGTTGGATTCGAACCTGGTACGCAGAAGTGAAAGTTAAGGAATGAATCACTCTGCTTCCCAGCTAGGCAGTAAAAATCATGTGTATTGCTTTTTTCCACATCAGATAAAATACTGCGAAAATGAGTATCACATTTATTGATACTTTAAACTGAAATAATTCAAGGATGCTGTATGGAATGTGACCAAGAGATTTCTGTGTAATCCATATGTTTTTAGTCAATTCTTGTGTTTTAGTGAAGCCAGTTTTCAGGCAAAAGTCTAATTTGAGGTTTTTTCATGTGAAATGCCGGACTTGTTTTAGGCTTTTACAAGATAGGTTTGGGCTTCTCCGGCCTTATTTTCAGGCTCTGAAGAGGAACCTGGCTGGAATTCCCACTGAGTGTTCTGTCCTGAAAAAATGTGCCTGAAATGAGGCCTGTCAAAGCTGCGCCTGGAATATTCGACATGGAGAATTACACAGGCACAAAATGACAAGTTACCCGTTTCCATTGAAGATGGTACGTGTAAATAAAAGTACTCATTCTGTCATTGTGGTATGCACATACTAGTCACCCATATTTGGATCAAGAAGGTCCTTTTTTTTCTTCTTCAGAGACTACAATTAATTTAATCCTAACCCTCCTCAGTCCTCCGACAGGTGAAGGATTGAGGAGGGTTACGGTTAATGTAACTACCAAAGGGATATATTGTACTAGGCTTTGTATATGTATTGTTTTAAAATGATAGGATATTATTTGAAGTACTGTCGTTATATTTTAATGTCGTATTTATGAGCGTTGACCTGATGCTTATGCAAACTGAAGTTCAAAAATGCTTATTAGTCGTTAAGCTTTCTGCATGCTTTTCCAGGTCTCATTATATTGTACCATTTTAAGGGTATAGGGTTTAGACTGTGACACTCTTGCCGGTAACATTAAGTCCATAAATGTAAGGGTCTGAAAGGGTGGAGGGTCCGAAATTATAAAAATCATGGTTTTTGTCATTTACTGCATGACCATAATTGAGATCTAACCCAGGGGAGCTGGACTAAGGCTGCGCTATTTTCAACATCGCAAATGTTTGTCAAGTTCATGGTTTTGGCCAAGTTCAGTGTGTAACAGTATTGCCTAACTGTTGATGGAATTTGTCGGCAGATTTACATTTGAGTATTTTACAGGTGTTCTGCCCTCCTCCAATTTCTACACTAGCAAGCATGACGCTACGAGTCCAAGTCTTACTTTAGCAAGCTTGTACTAGTTCTCCCACATGCTTTTGGGCTGTAGACAGGGGCAGATCAGGGGAATGGGATGGGGTGGGGGTAATGGCCCTGTCCCACCCCCATCCCCCCAAAATATCTTAACTTTTTTGATAATAAAAAAGCAGTTTCAAGTCTGCTTTATTTCCCTTCCATCTAAAAGTATATTACAAGCATCCAAATGCGGCCTCAACCTTTAGGTCATAACATATTCCAAAAATTCCCCCCCCCCCACAAAAAAAAATAATAATTTGGTTCTGGATCCGCCCGTGGCTGTTCAGATAATATAGTACTTAATTAATTATACTCGCAATGGGTAAGTCAAATATTCAGACGATTTGTTAGTTAGCCCTTGACCAAAGCGCTCAGGGTTAAAACAAGTCTGGTGCCCATTTCATTGAGCTGTTTGTAAGACAACTTGCTTATACCTGAAATTGCAGGCTAAGCAGATACAGGTTAATAACTAGAAACTTTTGCATGATCAATGTGTTTTTGCTATGCACCAAAATCTGCCCAGCAGTATCTTCAGCTAAGCAGCATTATAAAATTGGGTACAGAACCAAATACACGTTCATTGGAGGCTTGGAACTTTTCTGGCACCAAACATGACAGCCTGAATTAAACAGAGAGTTTAGTTACAAAGAATATTTAGGTTAATGGTAAGTTACCCTATAACTTTTTTCAAGAATGTTGATAGCAGCAATTATTTTACCTTGGCAGTATGAGTGGCATTGAATGTGTACTTGTCAAAGCTGAAGGGATCTATTTATACCGATTTCTCTACACTCACTATTATGATTTCCATGATATACTTTCCATGTGGAGCCTGGTGTATGCATCCGAGTGTCTGCCACCAATAAAACTGAGACTGAAACCAATACGGCCGTTTCACAATAGCGCGCCACCAAGAGTTTGCAACGCATTGGCCAATCACAATGCGCGAAATTTGTCGACCCAATGTGCGTTTGGAAAGGGTTGACAAATTTCGCACGTTGTGATTGGCCAACGCATTGCAAACTCTTGGTGGCGCACATTGTGAATCGCCCGTATTGAAACTACTAAAATCCTCCAATTCATCACCAGTGGCATTTTGTGTCATATGAGTCGTCTGTACAGAACAGAAAATCTTAATTCTTAAAGACATATGGGAAAGAAATAGTGTTGAAATGAAAAAAAAAAAAGGATTTAATTCTGCTGGATATTACAGCTACGCATGAGACCCCCCCAAAGCAGTTTCAACAGCATGGTTATAAAATTGAGGAACAAGTATTTCCCTGTTGAAAACAACTTTAAGCAGCATCATTCGAATACAAATATTACCATTAGTGACATCGGTTTTGAAACAACCTCCCAAGTAGCCATGCTCTTGCTTTTCCACTGTCATACACTTTCTTAAGGACAAGCTTACAGTACTAAGTGAATATCCAGGAAACATGATTAGATGATGTTCCAAATATATCTTGTGATGTCACAGAATCTCTTGCAAGTCATGGGCTTTGTCAAACATGGTCTCACTGGTTATAAAATAAATTTATTTTAAATCAATCCAAAATGCAATAATTCCATCTCATAACACGAAAATACTCCTAAAAAAACAAAGTGGGAATTCTGAAGCTCAGTCATATGTGGTACTTATAGTGGATAGGAATTATGAATTTGTTGTGGGGCAAATACAAGAATAAACGTTAGTTCATGTCCTTGGGAAGATTATCTGTTCAACTGGCGTTCTCTCTAAGAACAAAATGAACCTCGTAAGATGCTTGGGCTCTCCTATGGCCCGACTGCCAGCAAACCCTGCTTTCCTGCTAATTACTAGTACTGCTTAGTTGCACCAGTTAGAAACGTGTGCGTAGATTACAACTTTTTCTCCTGATATTACGCACAGATGTCTTTTTTCGGCTACTGCAGTACTTTGAAAAGTCTCATTAAATGAGAGATTATTTCTCGAATGCTGATTTGTGTGTGTGTGTTTATTGTCACTGATGCATTGTTCCAATGAGAGGGGAATACAGACACGGAATTCTGTCACCCTTGCCAAAGAAGACGGGAGGATGAGAAACTTTTGTCCATCGAGCAGACACTTAACTTGGGCTGCATTTCACAGGCGTGCTTGGAACCGGCTCTAAACGCGTCCGTTGGGATTTGAATTTTCGGTTTTTACAAGCCAGGGACTTCAGAGTTTGAGCTTCTTGCTAGACACCGTCTGCTTCGGCGCTTTCTTTTTGGTCTTCACTCCGCGGATTTCTGACGTGACCTCGTCTTGCAAACGGCCAAAGAAGGACTTGGAGGATTTGAGCATCTTTTCTTTCCTATCATCCTGTAAAATTTAAAATACATGAAAATTGAGGGTGACAGTGGAGCACTTTCATTGTTTTGGTCAATAGGTGCACTCTGCATCTGATGAGCATATATAATTATTTGCTTTACAATTGTGTCCCTAAATTGCCACTTGCATTTGAACATCTAATCCACTCTATTTCCGGTCACAAAATTGATGCTAAAAACTTTAAATTTCTGAAATATTTGTCTTTAGGCAATGTTCATTTCCATGACAGCTCATTCTGTTTGTCGTCATCCAGAAAGGCTGAGTCAACTTTTACTCAGCTACAACTGGGAATAGCACACGTGCCTATGAAAGTCGCTCCCTAGCGGCTGAAGCTACTTCCCATAGACTTGTGTATCATTGTTAGCCATAATCAACTGATCTGGACACGGCCTGGCTTTGTTACCTTGATTATTGTCATCTTGCTGGAGGGCAGCTTGCTGTCCTGTTCTAGCCTCTGGAGGGCGCTCTTTGCACTATACTTATTACCCATGCCTGGTTTGAGTTTCTCCACGGCTCTCTGTTTCTTCAGCTTCTCTTTGGCCCGCGTCCTCTGACGCTGCTTCTTTTGGCGCAGGGCCTGTTTCCTGTCGGAGGCTGTCCTTTCGGTATCACCCTTAAGCTCAGCTTTGGATTTCTCCTTTACAAAGAAAGGAAAGTGTAATTTTATCTCAGTGATGATTTCATTTATAAAAAGCTCACAAAGCTTTTTGCTTTGAAAAAATTGTGAATTTTCTCCAAAATTAAATGATTAAAACCTTCCTCATTAAAACTGCAGAAACAATGGTGGACTAAAACGTACACCAACTAAAATGATATCACACATTAGTCAATGGAATTTAGTCGATTCTTCTTTCATCTCAAAATGACAAGGAGGATCTAGAAGATTTGCAGTACCAGGGAAGATATAGCCCAACCAATTGTACTTTACATGGGATCTGAAGCTTGTAAGTTCAAGTGCAAAGAATGTGTCATTGGTGCCCTGCACGGTGGGGGGGGGAGGCTACAAGCCTTTGTCAGAAATTTGGATTTGGCCTTTGACAGGTTTGGATGTGGGGTTTTTTGGTGCGAAAGTTGACTGATGACTTCTCTGCCAGTGACTGGCAATGCGCGTACGGATGGGCAACTTGTATGGAGGATGCAATTGACTTGATAGTCGCAGATGAGCTATGGACGATATGGAGGTACTGATCCAGTGATACGTGCACATCTAAAGATGAGACTGCCAAGCTGTGTGTGTTTGTCAGGCAGTACACAGTACCTGTATTTCCTCAGGAGCCAATAGCGTCGCACCTGTCGCTGTAATTGGGGCGACTTCTTCCATGGAAATTGAAGGTACATTCTTCACAATCTTCACCTCCGGTGCAACCTGTGAGAAGTTTAGAGTTCAGAGGTCATGAGTATCAAACTGGAGAAATTCTGGTGAGCTGGGACGCTGCACTTAACAAAGACAACATGCAAGACCTAATTTCTGTGTTTAGAATGCAATACACCTCTTCGAGCTGGTACTCGGTAATAGTTCCTTTAACATGGCAGGGAACCAGTGAAAAAATGTGAAGTGCATTCCCTCTTTTGGCACATGCCACTGCAGAAAATAATCTGTGCATGTAAATGCTTGTGTCATTTTGCTTCTTGAGAATGTGCTATTAAAAAACTCCTACATGAAACAGGAAATCTTAAGAAGACTTTATATTTCAGCAATTCCAGTTGGTTCATGTATGTGTATATTTTATCTTCATTCCCTCAGGCTTCGCTTAATGTATCGATTCAAACTTTTTCCAAGAGTTACCCACAGTGTGTTAACACAAACAGGGCAAATGCATACAGTAGAACACTGCGGATATTGCTTCTTTTGTGACCTCAAACGGGGAGAAGCTGGTCTACCTCAGGTCTATTTTACTAAACAAAACACAACGCTGGCCAACAAGGTTTGGCATAGTAATAAAGCACCTTCCAGAATTTCACTCCAAAGTCGGAGGGGGGGGGGTTTAATGCAGCATCATCAAATGTGACTTTACCGGTCTGGGCATGTAATGGAAGTTAGAGAGAGCGTCCAGTTTGACAAAAAGGGCATCCATCATGGTCTTGATCTCAGTGTGGGCGGGGTTCTCTTCGTCCTCCTTCTCTTGCTGCAAATATTCCAGAAAAAAAAAAGAGAGCAATTGACTAAGTGCCACCAAGAGATCACCATGGACACTGAAACATTGGAGTGAAAATGATATGAGTCATAAGTGTCCAACCTGGAGGCTTGGCATGATAAGATTATGTGTCAGGATTCCTGTCAGAAGAAAATTGATGGGCAGTGAGGTGGATTCCAACACCCACTCTAGTAGGGTTAAGACGGTGATGTAGTTTAGAAGATTTAGGAAGTGAGTGATGCGTTACTCACAACAACAGGGGTAAATACAAGTCTAGGTGCAAGAAAACCTTGAGCTCGCATCGACCAGTTGTGAGTGTACAAACGCAACGCTTACACTTGAGTATAAGAAATACAACATTGAACAATGGTATCTCATGTAGACATCACACTGAGTACCGTACTGAATCATTTGCAAAGTTCTGAAGTACAATCCAAGTACACCAGCACTACTTTGGCATTTCCCCAGGCAACTTAAAAAATTCAGGTGAAGACAATTCAATGAAATAAAGTGATTGAAAACAGAGTATTTGACATGAAATTCAGCACTGAATGAATTCAACTGTGAGAACGAAAACTGAATTTGAAATGAAATTGAGCACAGTTCAGTGAACTGACCAGCAGACTGAAAAGAGAGTATTTGACAATGATCATTACAAGTACATTACAAGTATCTATGGCAACACCGATAACTCACGAGACAAATCTCATCGAAAACCCCATCATGCAGCTGAGCACACAGCAATGAGTTGAGTGTTAAAACGGCATGAAATGAAACCGGAATGAGAGTAGCGAGTACAGCACTACGGTGCGAGAAGTGCAGCCTACCTCGGCTTGTTTGAGGTACTCCTTCTCGTAGATCTCGGCCAGGCTCTGCTTGCTCTTCTCCTGGTCCAGCGTGATGCGTTTCTTGAACTCGTAGGGTTCCTCCAGCCGTCGCTGTTTCCTCTCTACGTCGTCCCAGGCGCGGTCCAGTATTCGCTGGCGGATGATGTCCTCTAGGGCTTGCGTTGTTTCCTCGGTGATCACAGGTGCTGCAAAATGACCATCCATCAGCAAGTTGACAAAGCACAATTTTTGTGCCTGTGAAGCATGGCTACATGTATCTGGTGAATGTGACCAGCAGGGTGCAAACACTCTACCACCGTTACCCCTGCTCACCAGGCCTACGAAGTATTCCTCAGTAGATTCCAGCTCCGTGAAGAATGCATAGCTCAACTCTGACCACAGTGGCCCGAAGGGCAAAGGTAAACATGAAAACTAACTCTTTCACCCTATCTACCTAATTACTCCTACCAGAGCTTGAATATGCTGAACCTCAGTTACAGAGCCAAATATGACAGTGACAGGAGACTCCAGATCCAAGCTCAAACATAACTCATAAATACTGAAAAGTGGAATTCAGTTGAGGTGTTCTGGTTAACAACCCTTTTGGTAATTAGTGGCTGAGAAGAATTTTGGCACTTCAACTCGGACACTGCCCCCTGCAACAACTCAACTGCAAGAATTCCAAGAGCTTTGGAAGTAATTTACAACAAGGCATGAGGAAAAACAAATGATCTTTTAACTTTCAGAATATAAACGATCCTAAATGACCAGAGATCTATCCCAGGAGATGTATAACACTGTATTGGCACTTCTCTCTAATATGCCATCTTCAACTCAAAGTGCACAATTCTCTTGATGCCACCTTCACACAGGCGTAGGTGGCGTGGTCTTAGGCTGGTTAGCCGGATCAGTGAGTGGGTACATGTACCTGGTTTGGTGGTGACATCGAAGTCCAAGTCCTCCTGCAGCAGGCTGTTCTCCGGTCTCTTGGTGCCTTTGACTTCCCCAGACAGTTGCCATGGTTTCTCACTCAGGTTGGCCTCTTCCAGTCGCTCTATCTTTTGTTTCAGCTTCAAAGTAACCCCAAAAAATGCAGATTCACCTCATTAGAATACACATTGCCTGCATGTATGAAAATAAACTGATCAGTCGCAGTGTGGTGAGAAACAGAATTACAGGGAATCGGAAAACCAAATAATTAAAGGAACTCCTGTGGAATAAACAGTTTGACTTGCCATGCACTACACAAACAATTGTAAACCTCAGTGAAACGCTGAATTTGGTTCCATTGATAGTGGTCACTCTGCATGACCACGTTCTCCACATCTAGCATTTCTATATACTTGTCATTTACACAAGATAACTTTCCAGCCAAAATGAAGGATACCTTTTCCTGTCTCTTTTCAAAGGTTGACCTCTTCTCGCTAGCCCTGCCTCCAAGAATGTCGGCCAGATCTTCCCCCTCACTGTCTCCGTTATCACCGCAATCATCATCTTCTTCAACATCACTGTCATCACTTTCACCTGCTTTATCCTCGTCAGGGCTAGTAACATTAAGTTTAAAAGAAATCACTTGTTTATTGTCGGAAATAACCTTGCCATTCAGGGGTCAGTGACTTTGGCAACCCCGGTCTAGTTTTCCACACACAAGTGGTATTTCAAAATAACAAATATTTATGGATAATTTTGGTAGATATTTCCCATGTGCACGCTCAAGTATACGTTGGCATCATTACACTGCTGTCAGAAGAACCAGGGAATCCGTACTCTTCAATGGCGGGCTTCCTAGGTAAAGGTGGACCTCAAATCTCAAGGATGTGACCCCCGTGACATTCACAAAGGGTTATCTGTGCCTCGGGACCAGAATGAAGCAATTTCAACAAGCTACGAATCCCTGCAAAAGGAACGGTTTCCCATCCAAGATCTCCCAGTTCACTGCTTCACTTTAACATCATGCTAGCCCCAACTCCTGACGTACAGTTACATGACAGCGTACGGGTGGTACTTGGATTTTACAGCACTACTCTAACTACACAGGTTCTTCTTGTTACTGCAATCTAATCCGTTACCATTCCATATTCAGGCGATACTGACCTCTTACTTTCCATCCTAAATGAGCCATCATCATCGATGTCATCATCACTCCTTTCATCCTCATCTTCTTCACCAATCTCCTCAAACCTGATGCCCTTCTTGGCAGATGGTTTGTTTTGATTATCGCTGTCAAAGTAGTCTCCGTACCGCATGTTTCTGGCACTCTCCTCCTGAGCAAAGCAAACATGGATTGGACATTCTGCTTCAAAAGAAACTTCGAGAAATGCATGTAGATCATGCATGGGATTCTTTTTTAAAAGGCCCAAAGGTATCATGACAATATGATCCCAACATCGTCAGCTGTCACACTTCTGCTTACCACAGCAAAAATTTGGCACTGACAGTGCAATGCAAGTGGATTTTACAGACTAGCAAACAACCCCATTACAAAAAGGATTCCTGGCCTGTAAAATCCTATGTTAACATTGAAAGAACAGATGGTGGTCAAAGATGCCGCTAGAGTTATGAAACTGGGCCTGAGTACAACAGCCAACGCAGTGTAAAAACCAGAATTCCAAACTTCCAACACGTTCTGGCATTTCCAACTATTAATTTACTTGTCAGCATGCATGTCATTTGGAACAATCACCCATTGCATTATACAGTGCTAACATCAGCTGCTGCCAATCATGGCTCTTTTCCAAATCTCTAGAAATCTCAGCTCTAGCTTGGACTCCAGCCTTCATTTTTATGACATTGGTCCTCAAGTTGAGATCTTCGAGTACAATGTGACTCCTCTTTTTGAGACCAAAGCCAGACTACGATTTGCAATAGGCCTCAGAACTTACGGTACCTCATCTGAAGACATGTCATCAAAGAGGTCGACAGACTCTGCCTCCTTGTCCTCTCCTGGGTCTTGCTCCTCTTCCTCACCACCCCCGGCTTCCTCCCTCTTTCTCCGCCTCTCCTCTTTCGCATCCTCCATCTCCAGAAACCTCTCCATCTCCGACAGTTTGAAGAATTCGTCGTCCACCACGGACGACCTGCCTCTTGGCGAGCGAGCTTGTGCTGCTCTCGTAGACAGCTTCTCCACCATCGTTTTCTTTGCCCGAGCTTCCAGATCCCTGATATCAAAATCTGTGTTTGAGTCTTGATCGGAGGAGTCCGAACATGAAGTGGCGGTGTGCTGAGACTCGGCAAAGAGGTCTTGACTACCACCGAACACTCCCCCCTCATCAGACTTTGCTTCCTCAGAGTCATACTTTTCCCTCGTTCCAACACAGTGTCCTCCCTCCTTGGTTGCTGTTGTCACTAATGAGACACCAGCGCGGCTCGTTAACAGCCTTGCGATGTCTCGCACTGCCTGCTTAAGAAGTGGTCCGTTTGTCAGTTCTATCTCCTCCCATATTTGTTCACCGTCCAAACCTTCGATGATAAGTTCTGTCAGTCCATCTGAAGATGACAGCGGTTTGTGGATGGAGCAGTCACTGCCCAGATCAAAAAGTCTCTTGGCACATTCAGTAAATGGCTTTTCAAGATGTGGTTGTGCACTGAAGTGTAACAGAAAGAGAAAGAACCAACAAAATAACATGAAGGCAGAGTTTACCCCACAGTTCTGGGGGTAGACAGAGTTCTGGGTGATACATAAGTGACCAATAAAATCTGTGTGATAAATTTAAATAACATCTGGTGCAACGTCTTGTTAGATACATGTATAAGACAATAGAGCCTAAACCTTAAAAAATTTGAGTTAACAATCCTATCGGCCAAAAATAAACTTAATTGGAAATTATCGTCCATATTGGTGGCCTTTCTGAATGCATCTAAACCTAACTTTCTGACTATCTTGTCAGGCAGTTTTGACCTGAAATACATGTAGGCCCATCAATACCCTACGCCTAGCTACCACTCGACAGGCTAGGCAGCCATAGTCAGCTATGAAGAGGTGCAGTGGCATATGATGTGTATCTGAGCATATCGCATGCTGAGTGGAGAGGTACTCTGCAATTGTGTCCCAAAATTTTTCTCAAAGGCATGACCATGATGACATACTCTCTCATGTGTCTCTGGTCCAACAACTTACAAGTACAACTCCCTGCAATAACTTTGTCCATCATGCTTAGACCCTTCATGTAACATGCACCAGAATGGCTTGATACTCAGGCCTAGCCTTAGTTCATGGACGGTCACCAGCTGGTCACGGATCATTCATGTCACTGCAAGTCATGGCTATGATGCATAGGTACTTTTATGGTTAACAACTCCTTGAAACCATTTCTCCATGCTGAAACCTACCCCGTAAAGTTCTCCGGTAAATCACTATTTTTCCCGAAATCTGTCAAAACGTTTCGTATGACCAAGGATTCCATTGCTCCTTCGAAGAATAATGCCGACAAAACACATAACTTGTCAGAAACAGTACAAAAATGGAAAATACCGCGCATGAAAGTTACGATTTAAGTTTGTCTATGTTCGTTAACACACGTGTTAAGCGTGCAGGGCTGCAGCGTGTATGCATGATACGATGCAAGTGCGCAGTGGCCCACTGCCTTAACAATGGCGCCCTCAATTGACTGAAATTGACAGCGGGTAGGGTAAACTTCGAGCCTAGAAGGGTGCACTGAACCAATTCAAGCTCCATTGAAAATAGTGTAAAATCAACTAAGTTTGAAGCCCCATGGCAGGCAACTGAAGTCCCTTAGGCCTCTCAAAAAAAATAATATGTTGTTTGGTCCTTGAGATTTCATTTGATTTTCAATTTTTAATAGGTTAACCAATGAATTTTTTAATTATCCGCCCAAAACAAACTCACCCCCCCAAGTGAATGTTGCCAAGCCTAGCTTCCCAGCGGCCATTTTTCAAATGACATCCCTCACCAAGTGTAGTAAGAACATTTTCAGCACCGAGGAAGAAAAGAGAAAAAACCAATGGATAACCACCGCGCATTGAGCGAGCTCGCGCGCCTGGCAGCAATTTACCGACAATGCTCTGCGCGTCATTAGCTGTGACCCAGCGTGACGTATTTCCTTCACCAAAATCTGTGCAAGGCCATCTGCCCTTCCAAACGCTCTCTTCGGGCGCTGGGCAACGAGCGAAGTGTGGTGTAATGTTTTTAAAAGAAAAAAAAAATGGGGGGGGGGCAGGAACTTGCACCCCCTTTTAGTTGCTTCACTGTCAAGGACACTATTCTCCCCTCTATGCTTTAATGTGTGTCCCAGTGCAATATCCCCCTTGTACGGAATTTGATGACCACCTGAACACAATTCCCTCGTAACTGCATTTCACAGTGCCTAGGGAAACTCTTTATAAGCCTATGTGCCAAAGTACGATAAAAATTGATAATTTTCAGAGAAGCAACATTGAAGTGCCACATTTGCAGAAACAGATTTTGCTATTTGATTAGCCATAAAATTTTTCCCCACCAAAACTGAGCAAAAAAGATAGCAAAACTGGTCACACGCTCTTAACAAGTTTGTTTAAACATTAAGTGCCAAGATGGTTTCATGGCCACCATATAAAACCACTATCTCCTGCAGACTCCCCAGATCTGCATAGCCGTCATTGAGCCGTTTTGAAGAAATGGTGCTCAAAATACATAAACTGTGAATTTAATGCAGCCATCCCATTTGTTCCCGACTAACTCAAAAAGCGGCATAAGCAACTTTGAGGCGAACACAAAACGTACACAGATTCATGTTAAGTATCTTCACAGCATTTTAATATGTTGACAAGCCAATCTCCCTATGCATGCCCTCGGCACATTTCTGGCTCACCTCCTGCAAATCTGCGATGCAAAACCCCACTACACCTCGGACAAACTCAACAATAGCTTCAATATGCGATGTCGACCCCAAACTGAAAGTACAACGTGTATTAAGCGAACCCATTCTGCACGGAGTCTATTTGATGGTCAACTTGAGAAACAGTGGAAAGTTGCAGGCTTTCAACTTCACCAATTCATGAGGAAACTGCAACGACACATCTGGGAGGGACAAATGCAACGACACATCTGGATGGGACAAGTTCAACTTCTACTACAGCAAGGGGTATATTCAAGGGCACAAATAAATTACTTATCTCTAGCCACTGAGGTATGTTTGCTCCTCTACAAATAAAGCTACATTACATGTAAACTCTGCATCTGGTTTGAGGAAGTCATTTTAAATAAAATTTTTTCACAAAATAGAGCAGTACTTGCGTGTGCATGAGTCCACATTCCAAGATCCAACAAATTGACAAACTGTGCCATTTTGGAAAGCAGACCTAATAAAATTTTTCAAAGAACCTCCATCCGTATTCAGTATATTTAACATTTGGAAACGGCACTTGCTTGCCTGGTGAGTAATATTTATGACCATTAACCTTAATTTTTAATCACCTAGTGTGTGTGTAAAATCATATTGAAATTGGAAGATTTGGGACTGTTATGGCTAGAACACCAGTCCAAAGATTTGGGTCCCACTTTAATTGTTGACAACTACTACATCTCGCCTATGCAGTCAGCATTTACATTCTTCTCAAATTATTAGAATAATGAGTATTATTACCTTAAACAATTTTCAGTTTATCTAGATGGAGAGAACAAAAAAAAAGTATTCCTTTGATTTTAAACAAGAGTCGAGATGAATATTAAAATAATTGAAATACTTTTCGACTCCTATTACATGATACATCACAGTTTCATTTGGGTTTTTTTAACTGTCGTAATATGCAATTTAATACACCAGGAAAGCTCAGTCATCGGTGATCTCTGGCCAGTTTTCTTCCCGAGCTGCCATCGAGTTCTACAGCTTGTCCAGGTATTTATCCAGTGAGGGAATGCCCTCAGACAGGCCCTTACGTTTGCGCGTGTTGGTGACGACACCACCTGGCTTGGAGGAAGGGTCAGAGGGATCTCCAGGAAGGATCTGCCAGTGGTCAAACACACACTGGGGGAACGCTTGACCGCCCGTTTGTGAGCGCAGGTCGGCTGTGAAGCCTGGAGGAAAATGGAGAAAAAGCCATTTTTTTTTACGACATCAGAACTTCACTGGGGACTTTCAGGCCAATTTACCTGCTTCACGGCTATTTGCCCGACCTTTGGCTACTTTTGTCAATGGCAAATGACACTGATATTTCTGTTATTGAAATACGGAAATAAGTTATGTTCTTACCAAATGATTCATTGACGGGCAAATATGCCTTGACCATGAACATCGGTGTTCCAGGAACAAGGCCCTCTTCAAACACATGGCCACGTCTGCGATTCAAAACTCCATAGATACCTCCCACGGCACCTTCTGGGCACTGAATTCAAGTGAGAACAAGACCAGTATTTTTTAACCCACGTCACCATTGTAGTGGCTGTGCCTTTTCAATGACAGGGAACCAGTCGAGGGGCTGAGACTTCAAATATACTGTGACCTTTCAGGGCTGAATGACAACACCCGAAATCCTGTGAAATCACACAAGAGACCCCAATCCTCTTCCGGAGGGGGGCAATGTAGCCACATTTGGAGTACAAATGATTGAACACTTGCTACGAGAAGAAGTTGATTAAATCCACCCACCTGGATCTCCACCAGATAGACAGGCTCCAGGATACGAGGTTCCGCAGTCAGCATGCAGGCGTAGAGAACACGCCTAGTTGTGGGTATGATCTGTCCACCGCCCCGATGGATGGCGTCGGCGTGCAGGGTAACATCATGAATGTTGAAGCGGACCCCACGAACGTTTTCATCGCACATGACCCCCTGTAATTGGCAGGAAGTGTTTCAATGCTCATCAGTATGGAGGGGCAAAGGCCCTTGTGGATCTACTGAAGACCGTGACACTGGGGTCATTTCTTAAACCTCTAAAACCGAGAAACCAGTTTAACACCTTCATGCCAGATTCTGTGTTAAAATGCAAAGGATGTTTGAACATGTCCTGGCAAATTCTGTTTGAGGCACGACATCCAAACTTGTCCCCTCAATTCACACCAAGAAAGTTCCAAAGCTTTTACAAACTAGTCATCACCTCTTCACTATTTTTTTAATTCTCTTGGAAATAATGGAATTTTAACCAAAACAAAAGCAGAAAAACAAAATCTAACCAACTTAATGAAATCTTTGCTGAACACACCCTCCCCCAAAAAACCAAGCCAGAGATCAGTAAATACTGTGTGTCTATGGCATTCACACGTCACCTCTTTTGTTGCCCACTGGAAGCCAGCCACCACGCTGTCCTTAATCTCATTCAAATACTGCACTCCCTTGGTGCAATCAATCAGCAAGTTGGGTCCAGTACCCTCCGGCCCAAAGCACCAGATCTTCCTGGCCTCGTTCACTTCGTAATCGTACTTGTCAGCCAAGAATCGACCTCGGGCTTTAGGTTCGGTCCGGGAAGTGATTTCATCCTGAAAGTATGGACAAATGGCAAAGTTCTCCAGTCACTGTGCAGCTATTTCCGACTCAAAAAACATCCGCTTGAGAAGATTCTCTTCAATCGGTTCAAAATGAGTAGTTCCCTAGATTTAGGGACGTGAAAGGTGCACTCTCTTAGAGTTGTGTGTATGACCAGTAAATGTGTGGCAATCAAGCTGTCATGACGGTGGCAAAAGCTGAATCTGATCGCAAGTGAAGTCCCATAGATGTTGGACTATTAAGAATACAGCCTCCAAGTGGTATGACTTGACCCACGTCATCAAGATTGTGCCAGCGTGCCCACAAAATTATACACTTCCTTGTATCACCATGCCTCCTTTCATGAGCTACATAAATCCAAAGAATCCGTTTCAAAAAGACAATGAAAAAATCCTCTCCTGAAAGGTGTGCATTTACTTTTGCTTCATTTGAGGTCTTTTCTGAAGAAATTCGAAACTGTTGTGCTTTGATCTGGATCTTCCAGTTTCATTTTTTGTTTTACTTTAGCATTTAACATTCATAATCATAATACTCAAAGCTGTGTGAGGGGAAACTTGCATATCCAGTTCAACAGGAGGTCATTGGCTAAGAACGTTGTTATTCATTAAGGTACCTTGTACTGGAAAGGTCTAGACGATTCTCTCAAAGCATTACCTTCATTATGTTTGTTAGAAAACTAAGAACCCAGTTGCTCGGCTCCTGTTCCTAAATCCTATTTATTTGTGCTCTATTAATGTGGCATTGTTTCACATGTGTTTGTTTTGTCTTGTTCGTCATTTGTCTGTCCTATGTTAGATTGTATGGTTGGTTGTTTTTGTCTGTCTATAGGTTGGGGTACAAAAGAGTTCCTGCTTAACCTTAAACCTAAATGTTGTCATCTAATTTGTCAAATGTATAATACTATTTTATGTAATATGACTCAATTTAATGGCCAGATATATTCAGTACTTACGTAATGTGAACATGTTTGGTTACATTGCAAAGAATGGCAGCATTGAAATAAATGTTTCATCGTAGTCATTCTCCTCATAAAAGAAAATTCATACAATTCACACAAATAATGCGACTTCAGCCCAATTTTCACCAATAGCTGCACATCCCAGATTGGGTACTTGCCAAGTTTGCATAATCAGACTTGTTGTTCCAGAAAATTTCGGCAAAAACTTAAATCTTTGTGGCTGTGTCCACCGATGGCATCATCGTGACATCAATGTCAAGCAAGAACACCACAACTGTTGTCAACTAAGAACAAGCCTTGCTCCCACTGGGAAAAACACAGTGTTCTTGTTGTAATTGACGGCAGCATCCCCCATTTCTGAGATGCTTCCTTGGCACACTACCAACTTTCTGTGAAAGTACCTTTTCAATGTCTTCTGATAGGCCGTCTGGGAAGGGAAGGCACCTCATGAACAGACGGTTGTGCTTGTTGGGAGACTTGGACAAACAGGTCTGTTTCGACTCCATGCTTACAGATTCCCTGTAGGAAACTACTGGGTCTGATTTCTGCAACAGAATAAATCGCATTTGGAGAGAAAAAAAATCAGTAAAAGAAAACAAATGAAGCCCCCCCCCCGACAATGTTTCTTTCCATCAGGAAATGTTAGAATTCAACGTCTCCCAATGGCAGATGAACATGGCACCTCAGACTGGTCACTTTCACATTGATCTGCACCAGCCTGATAGACATTGAGTTTCAACTGATGGAGTGGGTCCCAACTGACAATACAGTGCCACATACTAAACATTTCAACTAAGCAGGACCAGGTGTGTGCTGTGGCACGATGGCCATGTGAGGTAGGTGAACAATCAAAACCCACTCTGGCAATTTCTCCTGATTTCCTACGAGACGTTAGAGCAATCAGATATATAGTTGCTCCATGTGCATTCTATACAAATCAATGAAAAAATTAATGGAACAATGACATAAAAAATATCACAAATTTATTTTTTACCTACCAAGGCTTACCTAGAAAAGTTTCACGAGTTACTATACACATGTTTAATGCGGGGCGGNGGGGGCTGATTAGGTTGTTGGTGAATTAACCCCTTCCTTGCTATCTGCAATGGACAGCAACTGGGGTGAAGTGCAGCGTCTTACTACATTAGCTTGTCTGAAGTATGGAAGATACAACAGGAGGGCGCTATTTGAATTGGGTAAATTTGGAGTAGCAACACCAGTTTATACCCAAACCGAATAGCGCCCTCCTGTGGTGTCCCCCATACTCCAAGTAGGTCAAGTTGGCAGTGAATACCAGTGGCACACAGGACGCTGTGCATGTTGATAGCGCCAACGCTGCTCGGTATCCAGTGCCACAAGCCACCGGTGCATTCAGTTCCATTCAGCAGGGTTCTCATTTCGCGCTGCATTCCTTCCCACTGCATTTAGCAGGAAATCGAGCTGGGCCGGTTTGAACGAGTGAGCCTACCTTGATTGGTATGCAGGCGTGGTCCTCTTCCAGGTCCTTGAGGCAAATCTCCAAGTGGAGCTCGCCAGCTCCGGCCACGATGTGTTCCCCGGATTCCTCGATGATGCACTGGACCATGGGGTCCGACTTGGACAGGCGCTTCAAACCCTCCACCAGTTTGGGCAGCTGGGAGGGGTCCTTGGCCTCCACTGCCACGCGCACCACGGGACTGACGGAGAACTTCATCACCTGTCTCGCAAAATGTCAGTCAAATTGCAACATTTGAAGCCTGGTGCAACCACACAATTATGTTTAGCCCCACAAACCTCGAGCACTCCCATCATAAACAGATATTACAAAGCACAAAAACAAAAACTGTGCGCTATGGAAAGCCCACGATGAATTTCACGAGTAAAATGATGAATTCCTAGCTTTTCATACCCAAATACATGCGAACTGTTGAACAAAATACCTGATTCAGAAAAACGTTAAAAAATTGTGGACTCTCAAATGTCTGAGGAAAAAAGCATGTTCTCTCTTGGCTACCATTACGGTGCCTTTTAACAGAGGGCAGAAATTCCACTTGCCTTCATGTTGTGAGCATTATCATATGTGGAGATAGTTCCGGTTTTCACCAAGTACTGGTCAACACCGACCAGGCCCACAATGTTGCCGCAGGGCACATCCTCAATTGGCTCAATGTAACGTCCCATCATCAGAATAGTCCTGAAGAGACAGGTGAATAAAAATAAACTTTATTTTTGAAGGGTTAGAGAGGAACGGCATCCTTGACGAAGGATTACTCTGAGGCATTCCAGAGTGGGTGACAATGCTACAGCTGAAAGCACCTCAGCAAACTTTTAAAAGTGTATAAGACTGGATTGCTAGATTGGATTGCTTGTGAATATTTGCCACTTGGCAACAATGGCTACTGGCATCTGGAATCCTTGGTCAAGTGATCCTTGCATGGAAGTATAGCATTTCTCACGATGTAACTGTCAAGGGGGTTAGGAAGGTTCACCCAGGCCTGCATGTTGTGAATACCATACCTCTGAATGCTCTTCTGGTACAAGTCTTCTTTCTTGCCGGGTACATAGTGCGGTCCCATGATGCGAACCTTCTGGCCAGAGGCGACCTTGCCCGAGAACACACGGCCAAAGGCGTAGAAGCGGCCCTTGTCGGTGGTCGGTACCATCTTGGAGATGTACATCATCAGAGGTCCGTTGGGGTCACAGTTTTTGATGCCTGGGGAGCAGAAGAGTTCCGCCATTACGAGTGCCGGCCAAAATCCACCAATATTGAGAATTCCCACAGAATGCCACAGTGCAAATTCTTACCTCTATAGGCCTTTATAGTACTGATGTAGTTTGGAGTGCACAATATCACTTCACCCTCTTTCCCATTAGTTAGAATTCTTATGAACTTTAAGAAATGCAGTCAAGACTTCAAATTATGCTAATTCGCTTCCACCAGAAAGAAGTGATTACTTCATGATGTGCTTTTGCCTGCAAAATACAGCCAAACCCAATCATGGATTTTGTCAAAATGAAGGTGGTTTGGAAAGCTGCCTGCATCAATAAGCCAGATTGGTATTTCAAAAAAGGTAAGATCATTCACTCAGAACAAAGTACCTGTCATGCCAGTTTTAATATGTTTAATGTGTGTGAGTTGGCCTTTGAGGGCTGATAACAGGTGCACCGATGTTTCTTGGATGATGCTACTTACCCAGGGCACAAGGGTCATCGTGAGGGCCTTCATAAAGCAACTCCATCCGGTACTTCTGAGAGGTGACTGGGGACGGCAGATGAATAGTGATCATCTGCAGCAGAGCCTCACCAGCCGGCAACCACTTGCGCATCACTTCCTTCATCAGGGGCTTGCCCTCTTTGTCTTTGGACTCTCCCGTCAGCTTGATTTTTAGCTTCTCCAACAGCTTGGCTGTCTCGTCCTTCTTGAAGTTCATGATGGCGCTAAAAATCTAACAAGTTAGAGGCACAAGTCAAGCATCTATCAATTTTTCCTTCTCCTTAAACCCCTCAAGAAAGAGCAAAGAAGAAAATCAAACATAAGCCTAACAGTGCTGGATTTGAAAGGCTTTGCACTTTGGTATTTCAAGATTTTTGGCTTCTCTACACAGCTTGGACAAGCTTTAGAACCAAATGTTAACTTCCACATGCTTTTGTCTTCAATTCTTGTCAAGCCTACCAGTACGTATTACCTACTGCAGGATCATTCTGTGCACACGATCAACTCTGAGCGACACAAAAGAGAGCGTGTTTTTTTTTGGTACTCACCGGACAGGCGCGAGTTTATAATGGAGATCAATGGCGCGTTTGATGCGGAGCACACCGAGTACCCACAACAAATTTATTCCTTAATGTATGGTCTCGACGTACACACAGAACACGTGCAAGAACCCACTTGGAAAACTTACTACCTACCACCTGTCTTTCTTTTGCCTCTTGGGGGTGCATTTCAACTTAGGGAGGAGCCCTTTCTTTAAATAGAACCCTCTTTCTGCTAAGATTTTTTTTCATGAGGACAAATGAATTTTTCTGATTTTTTTCAGTCTGAAAACTTGGAAATTGCGACAGTTCTGATTAACCCTAGTATGCAGAGATGCAGTCTTGACACAGTTGTCTTATCGGGCAAAACCAGTCAAATATACTGTGGCAAATCAAGTGGAAGAATTTTTGATTGAGTGTGACTGTTGCGGCAAAAGGAGGGCTTTAACAGGGCACCGGAGACCTTGGGTTTGTACACATAGCCCGGGTGCTGAAATCAGACAAAGGAGTTGGGCCTGGTAACAAAAGACCATACTGGGAACAAAAGAACAAGCTGCTGGGAATTACCAACATTTTTCAGCACAGAGTGCTGGCATTAGTGGAGGTAATCGTCATTGTTTTGAAACAGTATACCACTGTTAGCGGCATTTAGTGTCCAAAGATTACCAGTGGGGACAAAAGTGCTCCAGCACTCCAGTGTGAGCAATACAGTACCGCTGCACGTTAATCTGGCAGCATTTGAAAAGCCACCACTGCCATTCAGCAATGCACAGGGCCAATTTCAAGAACAAAATAAATTGCGCAACACCGCACAATGTGGGCTCTCTTTACTGGGCGGCAGACCTTGCTGCAATACTCGGGTGTCAATGGAGGTTGCCTGTCGGATTAGAGCAGCTGCCAGACAGTCATTCGTGTGGGGGTATGCATCCAGTAAATGGAAGTTATGAATTTTTTGAAAAATTTTGACAACGGAAAATCTTGAAAATCGCCCTGAAACTCATCCCGCATGTGCAAATTCCACCCGGCAAGAGGTGGTCCAATTAGAGTGGCTGCAAGGCATGGGGTTTATGATCATCCTGCCTTACCTTGTAGATGGGATCCAGCACAAACTGGTTGAAGCCTCGAACGTAACCATCCCCACCAGTCTTGTTCCACTTCTTCTCCTTGGCATTAAAGAACTGATCCCCCCAGAGCCGCTTCATCAACTTGGCTGGCTCAATCTTGAACTTGTTCGAGTAGATCTCGGCGAACTGCTTGAGGGTGAAGGCCCAGCCGTGCAAGCCAGACCCAAACCCTACAGTGCCCTTACATGGATCCACCTGATATTGGAACAATTTACAACACGTCAGTTACGTTATGCCAAAGGGCTCTGAGCTAAACCAAGAGAGGGCACAATTTTCCTAGTAACGGAGGCTCCCTTGGTAGTGACTGTGCATCACTGGTTCACAAACAACCATGAAGTGCAAGTGTTGCAGTTGCATCGTCACCAGCAAAATGATCACTCCCAACCAACACAGCTCTTTTTAACCAACGAGGGGGGGGGTTCTTCAGCTTGGATTACGTTGTATCGGCTAGAAGAGCAGCCAGAGGTTGAAACATGAAATTACTGAAACCACAGCCCACTGCAAGATTTGCGACGGGGTAGTAATTACGATTACACGGTCAAAACTCACTCAAAGCTCAGGAACTTTCACCACAGACGCTGTATCAATTTCTGGCTGTTTCTTGCAAATTTTGCAACTCAATACTAATAATGAATTCTGTAAAATATATCGAGTCTGTTCATCTGGTGAATTAGGGCAGATACACAAAACTGTGCGATTTCAATGAAAAGGCATCACTGCAGTTTTAACGTGTGCATTAAGACAGTTGCAAAGAGATATGGGAATATAAAAATGTGCTAATTCAATGAGGGAAGGTCATTTGAGATAATACCCAATCATGTTCAGCCATAAAGCGCATTCCGTCTACAAAACTGACTCAAGCAAGCGTCACTCTACGCATACTTCTTGTTCAGAAGACCAACTGACTATATGCAGAACTCCCACCTGAATATCCCCCATGGGTCCCGACTCATCAGCATAGGTGGCCACAATCACGTTGATGCTCTCCACGATGCGCTGGAAAGTCTGATACAGGTCTTCCATCTCCAGCTGCAACTCTAGCAGGGCACGGTCCATCTTGTTCATGAATACCACCGGCTTGATGCGCTCGGCAATGGCTTGACGTAGCACAGTCTCCGTCTGCACGCACACACCTGCATCATTTCATAGCCAACACTAACTGTTGATGATCCTTACTCCCCTCGGTCACTTGTAATTCCGTTTCTCTTAACAAATCTGTTACCTTAAGTGCAACGGTTAAAGTCTTATTTAGCAATAAACAAATTAGTAACAGATGAGGAATTTAGCACACTTCCATTTAAATGATAAAAGGTAACAATGGGTCACGAACAAAATTATTATTTTTCTCTCCAAAAAGCATCATGAAATATATCAGTCTCAACAGGCTGCAGTTTACTTCTCCAGTGATTTCAAGTATCATTTCACCACACCTGTTGCATGTCTGTATATGTAAAGTCACTCAGTTCCCAAGGGAGTTCAGAGTGTTCAATTTTTCCAGTGTCACTTACCACTGACACAGTCGACTACAACAAGCGCGCCGTCAGTCACCCGCAGCGCTGCTGTCACTTCAGAGGAGAAATCCACATGGCCGGGAGAATCAATCAGGTTGATGAGAAAGCCATTGCCATCCTTTTCCTGGGTGATGTACGACATGTCAGCTTCAGATAGCTCGTAGTACATCGAAATCGCACTGAAGAGGAAAAAGACAAAATTAGATTTATTGGTCTGCATAAACTTAGGGAACAATTGAACAAGAAAGCAATGCGTAGCTATTGCTTTTCGAACTTGGCGTGCACACTTTGAAGTGGGCTGCCAAGGCAGTGAACTTTCAATACCATACAATAAAAAACACAAACCTGAACATACCAAAGGGAAAACAATGGTGGATCCAGAACCACATTTTCAGGAGGGCCAAACTTGTTTCAGGGAAGGGGTGCTGAGGTTAACAACAATTTGGAACTGTTTTATGTAACCTTTCATGGCCTTCCTGAGAGGTGAAGCTACATTTTGGGGCTTGTTACTCCCTTATAAAAGAAGGTAAATAAGGATCCTGCATAAAACCACACTGGCTGCTTTGAAAGGATTCAGAAATGGTCAGGTTCCAAGCCACTGGACTTCAACCCTTGCCCAGCTCAATCCTCCAAAATCCTCCGGGTGGTTTTGGAGGATTATGGAGGATTCAGGCGGAATGATACGAACAATGAAGGATTTGGGAGGACTGAGGATGAATGGTGACTGAAGCATGACAGATTTAGGAGGATTGAGGATTCAGGTAGCTTTAATTTTGTACGCAAGCCAAAAATGGAGGATTGGGGAAGATTTTGGAGGATTGAGGATGTGCCCTTGTAAAAAGTGGGTTAGGGCCAAGGGCCATAGGTTCTGGCACTCACGTCGACTTGATAGTGATGCATCTTTCCTGTTCATCCTTGCGCGTGTCCGTGAAACGAGCTTCGCCGGCCCTCTGACTGGCGATAATGCCGGCTTTGCTGACCAGTGAGTCCGTTAGTGTTGACTTGCCATGGTCCACGTGGGCGATCACGGACATATTTCGTATGTTGGCCTTTTTGTCCATGATGGCCCGAATCTGCTCTACTGTGAAGTTCACCTAAAATTTAAAAAAAAAAAATTGAAGACTCGGCATTTATCCAAATATTGGAACAAAAGATCCAGCATCTCCTGGGTAAGAAGTATGGTTCCACATTGCAATCACCTTCAATTTGATGAACTGTAACAGCTCTTGGAAAGTGATTTTTACTTGATTTTTAAAACGGAAAAGTATAATATTGTGAACAAAATTGGTAACCACCTTGTGTGTAGACTACTTAAGATTTTCATTTCAGCAGTAAGTTTTACAAACATACTGTCACTTGCAAGGCCTACAGACAGCACACAAATTTTTAATCTGGTTTGTAGTTCCCATCCAAATCTCTTGTGACAACGATTTCTTCAAGAATTTTGCCTTACATGGTCTACAAGTGGTAAAGAAACCAGACAAGTGGTAAGAATTTCCACATAATTTGCAAAATAGCCTACAGTGGCCTGATAAATTTCTAAGATGACTTGTGGAATTGTGGAGCTGCCGACGTAAAAACAAAAATAAATACTTTTGTGTTTCCATTTGCTTTTCATTTCCTTGCCTTTCCTTTTTTCTCCTTAAAAAGAAAAATTCAAGTGAAATTTTGTGACGCTATTACCAGATTTCTAGCGATGTGCTGGAACTCATGTCCACACGTACATGTAGGTGTGGATTGGGCAGTTGGGATGTGAGCAGCAGACTTTTTGAATCGGCCCTTCAAAACCTTTGAGTTAAACGGATCTAGGCCTAGGTATTTCGAGTTACCGAGGTATTTTTGCCATATTCTTTTACATAAAACTAAAAGCCTATTCTTTTGGTCAAGCGGAGTTTCAAGTTAACCGACTCTGTGTTATCAAGAGTTTACTGTATCAAATTTCGGTTTCAATTCGGTTGGGTAATACTCACGACGGCCTTGGACAATCCTTTTTTATAGCTCCATGCTTAATGCTTGGACAATACTGGCCTGCTTTCAATAAAATCATAGTTTCTAGGTTTTGACTAGTCATGCCAGTTCTTTCCATATCTTCCCACATCCACTGAACTTATGTTCAGGAACTCAAATAATTCCACTGTGATCGGTGTAGTCTGAGACGGCCTTGAGGGAATCGCGTGACGTAGGCTATTTCATGGAAGTCTGACGACACACACAAATGCCGGGTGGCTTTTATCAAGACCGGGCGACAAGATTAGGCCTCGTTCCATATTGGTCTGACTTTAAAAATGGTCGAATAACACAAGCCAGCTTGAATATTTCAACAAACAGACATTACTTAAACAATGAACATGTACCAAGATAGTTAATATTAAGTCAATATGGAAAAAAAATACTATTATTCACGATTTAGGACAGATGAAACGTTCAACCATTTTTTCCAGACCGGCCGGATACAACACTAACTCTTGTTAAAAATCCACCGATTTTATATGTTTTATACAGAAAATCTAAACAAAATGCGGTGTATAGACTTCCTTGATATGCATATAAAAAAGATTTCGGGAGATTGAAGGATGATGCTGTCTTACCATCTTGGCGGTTGGTTTTCAAGTCCTGCTACCGAACCAACAACCCGTCTGACAGATGGTCTCGTTTCGAAAAGGCTAATGTTTTCTTGTACACGTACCACGTCGTGCACACATGTATGTCACATGCGTTGTGCAATACACTACTCCGCGGCCGCAGACGTGCTACGTCACCAGCTAGCTAGCACGAGCGCAGAACGATACTTGCCGTTGAAAATCCAGCGGGGTTAGAGTAGTTTTAAAAGTATCGACGTTGTAGTGTACATAGTCGGCAGAAAAAAATTGAATTAACAAAGATTACTAACGAGAACGGACCAACCGAACAATTTTTTTTTCAAATGAGGTTTGGTAGTCAAAAGTAGGATGGACTAGTCAAAGTATCAAAATTAATAAGCGATTGTTGGCTCAAACATTTTTTTTTCACAACGGAAAAAATATACTATGGCCTGCAACTCCAAAGAGAAATTTTTCTTTGTGAAAAAGATGGTCATTTGCAAAATTACTTTGAGAACAATTAACAAAACTGACAGACTGGTTATTAGCCACATAATCCAACCTGACAGCTTAAACCCTGGAGGAAAAAGCTAAAGAAATGTTCAACTGGCTTGATTTACATACAACGGTTAGGTAGGCCTATATATCTTAAAAGAACTACGGCAGGGGCGTCGCTAGGATTTTTCCCGGGGAAGGAGGGAAATCATTTTTTCTCATTGGGCGGGGAATTAATGAGAATTGATCATTTATGATAAACCCATCAAAGGGTGGAGGGGTGAAATCTGTGACTTCCATCCCATTTCCTTTCTTATTTTTATTTACTTCGTTGTTTCCAACTTTTTTTTAATGTTCCCCCATTTTTTTAAGGGGGTACCTCTGACATCCTGAAACCAACTAGTGTGCAAGGCGTTCAAGTCCCCAGCTTTGTTCTAGGTCACGCATAAAATGATGTCTCGTAGTCTGTCAGCGGCGAAGTCAGCCGTTGTGGGAGAGAAAGGCTGAGTGCACTGATTCTTGTGCGGGATTGAGTATCCTCTCACGCTGAGTTTTTTTGTGTAACGAAGAAGATCCACCAGCCAAGAATGAGATTCGGTTGAGATGCGAGGACCGGGTCCCTGCTAGGTATACTTGGTTTCAAGCCGAAGCCAGATTCACCTCGTGTACAATGGACCAACTTGAGTTTCAAACGCCAGACGCCGTTGCAGACGCGCAGTCATAGTGTTTTCAGTAAGCCATGAACACACTACATGTATTTGAAATAACAATCAACTTTGGGATTTTTACTTTGTATTCAACTCGTGTCTGTATAGCGTCTAAACTTTGCCACTCCCTAGTTTACCCAATCTAGTCGTACTGTACTGTGCCGATTTTTCTTCTCTCAAGTGCCAGTTTCAAGTTCAAGGGGGGGTGTCTTACAGTAGCAGCAATGAACAGACGTATGGTAAGCGCAAACGGCGGAGACTGTCCCCGTCATGTTGTCGTTGCCAGGCTACTAGTAAGTCTGGTGCTGGGTAATCAGCGGTCATACTGCAGACTTGAAACATAAGCTAGCCATACATTAACTTTTGAGGAACTAAAACGAGCAGGGTAGAAAAATGGGGTAAAAATACAAGGACATTCCTTACACTTTTACAGTGTGATTTTTTTTTTCTTGTTAGGTAGTGGTTTTAACTAGGTATTTCAAATTCATTGAAACCCCTCGTAGTCGTAAATCACAACCTGTGTACCTGGTCACGATGCCTTAGTTGCAATGTGATATATGCAATAAACTTGAACTTGTGCTGGATTTAGAACAGCAGACACACGTACTCACGTACGTACGCTCAGCACAGGCACAACGCGTGAGTACTCGTGACGTCACCTTTAGATTGCGCAATTTCCTCGTCTCGTCACTGCATGCACTGTATGTACTGATGTGGCCTCGTATCCATTTTCAAATACATGAAATATTTCGACTTTGTGTCAGAAGTGGCTTCAAGCTCAAAATGTTAAACTCAAGACAAGCCTTGAATGTGTTAGTCGAGGCTTCGGAATCAAAGCAAAGACTCCATATCTACGAACATGTTTTGTGTTGGAAAGTAAATTAAATCTGACAAAAGATGATATTTTTATTTTGTTGTAAGTGGTTTGACCATGGAGCTATGGTTTGACGGTGCCAGAGCACTAGACTCACGGTCTAGATGCTCAACCAACCATAAAAACTTCACGTGTGAAATTAGGCTCCTATAACATTCGGGCTTTATTTTCCTTAAAAAAGCCTCCCTGCCCACAATGTCGACCCGGGAATCGAACCCACACCCCATGCATCACAAACCATTATGCTATAACCGCAATTCACACAGGTTGACGGTGTTTTTACTGTTGTTATACGGATGAACGGCTGCAACGCGAGTCTAATACACATTGCGCATGCGCAGTACAACACAACCACCGCCGTTTGACTCATCTCAAAGATCGTATAGCGCCGAAGGTGCGGCTTCATACGTATGAATGCATATGATATGTCAATCCGCCAGTTGTATTCGGCTCGGTAAAATGGCCGCTGGCTTGTTTTTATTTCATACAAAGGCGTTGCAAGTCCAGTTTTTTTTATACACGTCTCTGACAATGGGCTTTACTGTTGGTTTTTTTTTCATTTTAGAAAATGGTGTGGCCATGTTCAACGGCTGCGGCTGGGAATAACATGCGCTCCCTTACCATAGCATAAAGCTGCATTCGGCGAGGCTGCTAGCAATCAAGGCCTTGATTGCTAGCAGCCTAGCCGAATGCAGCTTTATGCTATGGTTTGGGCGTAACATAACCACTTAATTCGACTAGAAGCTAGTTGTCCAAGTATCAAAGTGAGTGGCGTGGGGAGGATAGTGATGGCGCTTTTTCGCTTGCCTTCTTGGGTATGGTGTACTATTTACGACACATTTCCGCCTCCCCCAGCCTCTTCCAAGGCGACGAAGTGCATGCTGGGTAGTAACTTCATAACCCGTGGTCAAACTTTCGGTTGTGTAATTGCAGACAAATTGTGTGGAGGAGTGGGAGTAGTATTTGGAAACTGCCGGGGTGGACCACAGAGAAACATCTATAAGGTTACAAATCACCACTAATGGGAACTTCATCAATTGCAATAAACAGTTAGTGGACCAAAATTGGAACAAAGATCGGCCAGTGACGAACTGAATTCTGGGCTTACACTTATGTGAGAGCAGTGCCTACAATGCAGATTTTCTATGTGCTCTTTATTTCATTTTTCAAAAATAAAATATGACAGAAACTAAGTCAAACTGATGAATGGATGAAATAAAAAAAAATCAACGCCTGCGGCTCAGGGCATGTATTTTGCAAGCGCGGGGACAGAAATGAAAGAAAACAGTAATGGCGCCCTCTATAAACACCATTAAGCCAAAGGCGACAGCGGCTCACGACGCGACACGTGCGTCGCGTTGTGTTTCAGGCGACGTAAGGGACGTCCCGACGCACGGTATGACGCTGGGAGCTGTCGTGCCGTCTCGTCGTGTAGTTGCATCGCCTTGGAAGAGGCTAGAGAGAGGCAGAAATCGAAAATGTGAGCTGTCGTGCCGTCTCGTCTTGTAGTTGCGTCGCCTTGGATTCGGCAAGGAGGAAGGAAAAGGAGAGGCAGGAATGTGTGTCGTAAATAGTACACCATACTTGGGGAATTCGGGAAAAACCGGAAAAACTGAGTTGTCAGGCATCAGTCGGTCTCCTCTGTCATGTCTGTCTGCTGAGTGTTTATCACGGAGGAATAAGAATATTCCTCCATGGTGTTTATCGAACTGCAGCGAAGGGAGCAAACGATTTACTCTGACATAACGTTACAGACATGGCCTACAGGTGATGCTCAGATATCAGTGAATTTTTTTCTTTGAAAATGGTCAGGTGAGTGCAGGGACCATACCAGCCAAGCCAAGGAATGAGATTGAAGGTCATGAAGGTAGCCAGCTTCGAGTCAACTCGGACCCAAACCAACTCGGACCCACGACCAACCACCAGACCCATGACCAACCACAGACCCATGCCAACTCGGACCCAATACTAACCTGGACCCACGACCAATTCGGACCCACAACCAACTGGGACTCAATAGTACTAACTCGGACCTACGACCATCTCGGACCCACCCTGAGTCAACTCGGATCCAACCCCAGGAGCGTGATTAGCTTGTTGAAAATTTTGATGTTGTCCACTTTAACATTTTCTGGCCATAATCTTGAATTTCCAGGGGAAAAAAATAATCTTGAATTTCCAGCAAAAAAATAAAGGCCGATCTCTTCGCGATGTTCAAGAGTTAGCGCTATTTCAGGCTATCTCGGTCTACGGGTGCGTATTTGGTGTAATGCAACCATAAGACTCAGTAGGTCCGAGTTAGCGTGGGTCCGAGTTGGTTGTGGGTCCAAGATGGTCTTGGGTCCGAGTTAGTATTGGGTCCGGGTTGGCGTGGGTCCGAGTTAGTCCTTGGTCCGAGTTGGCATGGGTCCGAGTTGGTTTGAATCCAAGTTGACCTGATCCCAGGTAGCCGGCCCAGTCTGTCTAGCTCTACTTCCAGAAATTAAAACCGCATAGGCTAATACTGGGATGGAAGTCTGTTCCCTCCTTCCTCCATGGTTAGACCCACAAATAGGGCTGTGGTGGCTCTCTTTTACAATCTGTCTCTTGTCTGTCGCCACCACAGCTGCCCTACTTCAAGGCACATCTTAAACGCCTGAAATCCAAACTGCAGGATTGTCACAAACTTTGAATCTAATAATCTAATCTAATCTAATTGACTGGCATATGGAACAGTCCCATAGAGCTACGGCTGATATTTGCATATCTGCATCTCAGACTTTGTGGGAACCGGTGAAAACACGTGCATATATACTGCAGATAAATGCACTGTAAGATTGAATGACAGAAAAGAGGCTAGAGGTTATTCGCAAAGGTTGTACTTATGTGCGTTGCATGTGGAGTACAGAATTCAGGACTTGTTCCATCTCATTTTCTGTTTTATACAAATACACGACGAATCCAAATGTCTACTCCGAGCTGACATCCAAGATTTTCCACATGGGGAACAACAAGTTAATGCTCCAGTAATTTGATATAGTTACTCTTTGGACAGTCCTAACCGTACAACTATTATTTAGGAGTTGGGCTGACCCAACTATAGCTGCCAATTTCTGTGGAAAAGTTCTCAACCTTCAAGTTTTTGCAGCTCGCACCCAATAGAATTCATCCAAAAAATGCCAATTTGGCATTTCTCTATATTATAAATTAAAAGTAGATTTTTCAAGCATGAGTCACCAACATAAATGCAAATGACATCGGCACATGCACCACTGTTAGTTGGGACAGATGCCATGGTTGTGGCGTAACAAGGACATGGTTGATGTTTTTCAATCGGGCAATCATGGTAGAATTCAGTGCTGTGCACTTATGGCGCAGAAAGCAATCAGAAAAGTCCTTCCTCCATGCTTTCAGCAAGTGACTTGACTATGTTGACATATAGTTGGCACAAACATGTCCTGTATTGGAATACAGTGAATTCCAAAGCAGTTTGAAAGTGTGAGTGACTTGACCAGGAAAGGTCAGTCATGTAGTTTTTCGTAAACCTGCTAAAACAGTGGCCATTCTCCACAGGTGAAAATGGCGACTACGAGGAGTGCATCAATTGTGGCAGAGGACTGCGAAGCCAGTAGTGTGGAGGAGTTGCTCCAAGAAGCTAAGGATAAACAGCACAAGAAGATATTCCTCAACTATAAGGGACTGACAGAAATCCCCACCGAACTGGTGGAAGATGAGGAGACATTCAGACACCTGCAGCACCTGTACTTGAAAAGGAACCTGCTAAAAACCTTGGTAGGGTGGGGAGTTGATGTTGAGGGATGACTGTGAGACTGGCTTGCTGCCTCTCGTTTGTTTGTTGGTCAGCAGTAGCATTCTCTTCCTGACTGACTGGACTTTGAAAAAGCCAGGCCTGCAAGTTGACAATTGTTCTCATTGATTGATTAATCATTCCCTTTTCAGTGATGTCTTCTAAAAATTATATTGTATGTTTAATTTGTTTAAGATCTAATTAACTTTTCATTTTCACAAAGAAAAATAAACAAGTGGTCTATCTTGGGAGCATCAAAAGGAAACTTTCTTTTACCGTATGTCCACTTGTATCTTTTAACTACGTAGACCAATCTTTGTGTTTGGTCTTTTAAAAAAAACATGATGTCAGAAAATATTTAAGGATTTTTGGTTGACAGTAGCAGAAAATGTCAAATGATTTTGGGCCGTTTTCATATTTCATTCTTACAAGGTGGTTTTTCAGGTATTCAAATTGAAACATATAACCAAACAGTTGCCAAACTATCAGTTTATCAACTTACTAAGTAATACTTAAACCAGTCCATTAGATCTGGCCTACTTCACATGCTGACACTAACATGCATCCTCTATTATACTAACTGCCAATTAACTGTCTGATGACTAAAGGTCTGATGATTGGGTAAAATTGTCAGTTAGTTGTGTCTATTCAATTCTGAACTGTTTTTCCCCTTCTTTCAGGTTCTTACAACTTTTTCTTCTCCCTCCGTTTTTTCTTGCAGCCCACCAACATTGGAAATCTGAAAGGACTTGTGGAATTGTAAGTACTGCACTGCAACTTTGCATTCCTGTCAACAACCTAGCTCCAGATCCATTGCAAAATGTGTCAAGAATAGTTTCCCGGGGAGGGGGATTATAAATTATGTATTGTAAATTGGAACCTCGGAGCACCATGTTTCTTCTCTTACAAATTTGAGTGATTAGTTTCTGATTGGGAATGATTCCATTGTCTCTACTCGCCTTGTTCCAGATATCTGCACTCCAACTGTCTAACAAGTTTACCTGATGGTAAGTGTGGTGTGTGTCACACTTTGTTTACATATGCACTTTGCTGTGGAGCCATTGGGAGCCCATGGTCCGCTGAGCACCCTAGAGTACCAACGTTCGACGTCCCTTTGAACCAGGAAGTGGGTGTTAGTGCACACGCTGATTCTCGTGCTAATGCCTTCTACATGTCATTGTGTATGTGATGTATTCTTTTCAGTACTCTTTTGGAATGCACACACATAAACAAAGTGTACCATTATTTGTACAGAGGTTTATCGGAGCAGTTTACAGAACAGTGCTCCTCTAAGTGGGTGTCTTTAACAGGTCACTGACCAGCTTTCCTGTTGACATCTGTCCATGTAGCTAAACTGCCCATAAAGACGGGATACATGTGATCGAGTGTTACGAGTTACAAAGAAAGAAATGACAAGGGCAAGTGTACCTGCCAATGAAGTGCAGTACGTGCATAAAGAGAAAATGCCAGAGTGACAGAGGAAAGAGATTTATCCAATCTCAAGAATTACCTTGACTATACTTCGCATTTCTCTGTAGAAATCTGCAACTTGGTGAGTTTGCAGTCTTTAGATGTCAGCAACAACCGTCTGAAGAGTCTACCAGCCTCGCTGGGGGAAGTCACGTCCCTCCAGAAGTTGTTTCTCCCAGATAATCTGATCACTGCATTACCAGCAGGTATGGGTCTGTCAGGCATGGGTGTGTCGGGTATGGGTGTGTCGGGTACGGGTGTGTCGGGTACGGATGGTTCAGCGGCCATTGGTCACTTTGTGCTGAGGCAAGAGCTCCTTCAAAAATCTTCTCTGGTACTCTGCTCACTCAGATGCCATTTCAGTGTCGGGGGTTTGAGGTCTTATATGGGAACCAGTGCACGATGTTGAAGTAGGTGTAGTCACTTAGTGGAGGCCATCAATGTTGCATTTCATATTTAAATCTAAGCTGACCGCTGTTGACAATATTTCTAGCAACCATTTGGTGCCAGTTATTACCGAGACGGCATCAGAGTTTATGCAGTCGACTCTGATTGGCTGGCATTTGGTGGTTTTTCGTTAGTTAGCATACAGACAGGTGATGAGTATTCACCTGCACCAGCTTCCCACAAACGGCCAGGGCTGAGTAAGACTAGGACATGGTTGGAGCTATGACATCTGAACAGTGGCCACTGCCCCAACTGTGTCTAAGACCTCCTGTGAACGTACAGTTACGCTGACACAGTTGGGGTCTGCCCCTTCAGGACACAGATAGGATGTAACCGAGCTATTTTGATATCTTTGTATAGCAGTTTCTGCACATGCCTAACCAAAATTGTCGTTTTCTGTCTTAAATTTCAGAGCTGGGGAAGCTGCAGAACCTGTGTGTTTTGGAGGCCAGCTGCAATCAGCTCGTCGGTCTTCCTGTTGAACTCTGCAATTGCACTAAGTTGCGCTCACTGTGCCTGACCAAGAACAAGTTACGATGGTTGCCAAGGCAACTCACCAGCCTTGGTTGCTTGGAGGAATTAACGGTCAGCGGTAACAAACTGATGTGCCTTCCGATGGGTGAGCTCGCTAAGCACCAAAGATGCTTGCTTAGCCAAGAAAAGGTCACCAGCCAAGTTGTCATTCAGTGTGTGTTTGCCAGTGACTGGTTCTCAGCTTACTTCATCAATCTGCTAAGCAATACTGTCTGCTGAGAAATTGAGGCCAAGGCTGTGTCCGAATTGCTTGGCTTACACACAACTCAATGGGAAATGGCTGCATTCATGACCATAGACTTGTGTGTAATTTCAAGCCGCACCCAAATAATTCAGACATGGCCTCAGTATTTGAGAATTCTGATCAACTTCTGGTCGACTTGTGCAAACGTGATATGGGGAAATAAATTATTCTCAGCAATTCAGACCAAACTGAAGATAAACACGTTCCAGTTAAAGCTCGCCATGTACCTTTCTGATTATTCGGTTTCCCCGAATCAACACGTCATCGTGACAGTATTTGTCACCATTAGTGTAGACTGTAACGGTACCCACACATGTCCGATTCTGTCATAAAAATTGGTCACTTGATATCAGTAACATGCTAACTAGTCACATGCTCAGTCACATGACAGGCTTGACAGCCACCCGTTTCTACATGAGGCTGCCATTTTGAAAATGTGAAATTGTCTCTGCGAATCCCACACTCCTTTCTGGTGACATCAGATCGTGTGAAGTCACAAGCGAAAAATGTAACCTTCTGTTGATCTGGCTGCCCGGTGAGCAGTCATATCCGTCCTGTTTTTTGTGCAGGGACACTTTGTGTCTGTACTTCCTACAGTAGTCTGATGGTCAGGTGAATTGTTAATATCAGAAGGGTGTCTGGCAAAGTGGGGGTGTTATCAGCTTGCGGGACCATTACCTTTTTTAGGCCTGTTTTTGCTTCATAAGAATTACAAATGTGAACACAAATGTTTGGCTTCATGGCAAATTTTCGCATAGTGAATTCATAAATGTCTGAACAGTTGTCAGCTAACATTGAATGCTTCACGACGTCAAAATCACTAGGCTTTTGCCTACTGATGAAGTTTGAACCAGCCTTTCTCATACCAACCTGCCTCCTCTTTTTGCTGCAATGGCCACTGACTCGCCGGTTATTGAAATCCAAACAGATCTGGGTTTGTGGCAAGAGAACCTGCGGACGGTGTACGTCGACAACAATCCCCTGCTTCACGCATTGCCTTTCAGCCTGTGGAAGAAGAAGCTGGGTGCCACAAGGTAACGGTTACTGTCCCACGTCACAAAAGATGCGACGTCCCACCGGCGTTTTAAGTTTTTGGGAGTTTTCCGAAAGGTGTCTTGACATTTGAGAGACCCTTGTCTCTTGAACTGATTTCAAGCGAAAAAAGGAGATACAGATGGAAAGCGGCTTAACAAGAATTTACGTTGAAAGCAGAGCAGTGCATGTGTATGTGAAGAATAGCATGCTCATACACATGTACATGTTCTATACTGGCAGAACAAAGTACCAGTTGCTTCTGGTAAGTGCGCAGGTGTATGTGCCTTAGTGCTGGTATTCCTGTTTGTCAGGGATACTTGATCTGTCCAGCTGAACGGTAACACGAATCTGTTTCTCCTCCATGTCACTGCTCACAGTGTTGACTACAGTCCAAGAAATTTAGTGCAGCTTCACAAGAACACGTACCTGCACTAATACCTAACGAATGCCACATTGCTGACACATGATGCGTCAAGTTGACTTCTTGCAAACTTGTTGCTCAAGTTCAATTATTGCTCTTGGCCCTCACAATTCTGACAAATTCCTTTCTACATTGACATGTACCCTTCTTTATTGTCTTTTTCCTAAATCCATCTCCTAGCTGTGGGACGGAGGAGCTGTCCATGGAGCAGAGCCGTTCCGTCCACATTTTCAAGTCCAACGGCCTGTCTGCCATTTTACCCCCTGAACTCAGACTCATCAAGGACGGGCACGAGCCGGTCAGTGAAGTCCTGCCGCTGCTGGAGCTGAGTCTAGCAGCTGCGCATCGCTTGAAGGGTAGGCATTATCATTATGCCCGTCCCTCTGATCTGTAAAGGCCACTGTTGATCCTAGATCACCTTTCCATGTCATAAGATCTCCTTTGGATCTTTCCTTGGTTCCTTCTGAAGTCCCAGATCTTTACTTTAGATCCGATACCTTCTGGTCATAGAACCCAAGTACTCAATCCCTATCTTGAATTGATTTTTGAATCCAAGCGGCTTGAAATCCTTGACTTTGGATGTAACTTTCTTCTGCATTTGCAGACTTTACTAGACTACTGGGTGCTTGGCATTCCTATGGCTCCTACATGTGTGTAACTGTTAGCCTCCTCACAGCTTAGCTCAAGCTGTAGATCCGTTTTTCTTATTTAGTGGCCTAGATCTCTCAAGGTATTTGATTGTCCCTGACCCCGAGATATAAGACAGTTCTTCTTTCGACCCAGAAGCTCATAATATTGTCTTAAGCCTTAAGTCCTACTCCCTTCCTAGCCCTTGATCTTACTTGGAGGCTGGGCAGTTTCCTCTTCAGATCCTAGGGCCCCTTCAAATATATCTTAGCCACGGCTACATCTGCTAAAAGGTCACTGAGGCATTTGGTAATAGCGTTTTAAGCTGCACGCCCTTTTCTGCGGAACAGGCCGTCAGTTTTGAGAAATAAATTAGGGACTTTTAAGTTACAGCTCAAGATGTTTCTTTTTAGAAGATCTCGATTTGAACCATTTGTACTACAATAATTAAATGATGAACCTGTAAGTGTATTTTAATGTATTTTTGTTATGCTGTATAAGATTTTTATGGGAGGCACTATATTATGCATAATGTATTATTATTATCAGTTATTTGCCCAGGAAAAATGTTCCCTTAGGCAGCAGATTCTGTATTCCTCCAGTGAGTAGATACAGATCTAGGAACATTGATCAGCCCAAGAGCTTTATTAATGCTTGGTGTTGCTAACGTGGATGATTATCTTTCCAGACACACTGGATTTGTCTACATTGCCAAGAAGCCTGAGCGACCTTGCAGAGATGCCCACAGCGCATTGCATGGCGCCCAGCTGTTACGAGAAGCCGATATTTACCATGGCCTGGGTGCACCTCCTCAAGCTGGACTGGGCCCAGCCCTGGCAGCGAACGCAGGAGAGCATCGGCTTCGTGGGCTTTTGCTGCTCCAAGGAGTGCCTGAGAACTTTCAAGAAGATTCCCGTGCCCACATTTTGAGTTGGGATCAGCAGCGCTTGTTGTGGTATCAATGCCGACTGTTGGCTTTCAGAGAGTAGAGGAGGGAATTTGGGCAGCAAAGGGGACAAACAGAGAATCCTTCATAAATCTTGAAGTGCTGCAGTTGTTTTAAAGCCAAAACTTCATCAGAGTATGGAGTTCATTCAAAGGCAGTGTTCAGCATTGTGAATACCAAATCATACTGTTGTATGTAATTGTAGTTCTTATATCATTGTGCCTACTGTAATGGTACCTAGACCTGTGCTAAAGTGGACAGGACAGTACACCTGAATCACGTGGAATTGCTGCACGGTTTGCTGGGTAAGATACCAAACTGTTTTGTTCTCCAGGCCAAAGCAAAGGAGATGGTACTGAGCTGGCCTTTATACCAGAGAGCTTGGAGGTGTTTTGTCTATACCAGGCAAGATATGGGACGGAGGGGTACCCCCCCTTACCTGTCCAATCCCTATACACACTGTAGACTATTGTTACCTAACACATCCCCCCAGAAGTCTGTAAAGAATTCCTAAGATTCAGATCAAACAATGACCAACACAAAGATGGCGGTGGGGGTTCTCTCCGTCCCATATCTCGCTTCAAATGGTTTTGTCCAAGCCTCTAGTGTCCAGTAGCATAGGTTTTGAGTCAGGGCAGGAATGGAAGATTTTTTTTCAAAAGAGTCCTTCCCCGGAAAGGAAGTAGTACTGTTTCTGAAATGTTGGTGCTTTCACTTCCTCAACCCTGACAGAGCCAGGGGAACCTGTCCCCTTGTCACTTTTCTGATATCGCGGCAGTGCCTGTATTTTCAGGAGCCGAGCCTTTAGGATTTTTTTAGAGCAAGTCTTTGTGGTCATTTTGACACCAATGTTGTAACAATCAAGCATACTGCTCTTGTGCAGCATGTGCATTTTTCCAAGACAGGTCAGCCCAAAATGTGTACTCTTTCCAAGGCGGTGCTCAATGCACACGGGCTGGCACGCATGTCGCCTTGAACTTCAAATGACCATAACAACAAAACCATATGTCTGATTGAGTTCAGACTTCGTACATGTAATTGTAATGATAAGGGGGTGAGTTTACATGCATGCCAAGTTTTAAAAAACTGAGCATGATACAACCAATTTTTTGGGGGGGGGGGTGCAAACTGATCTGAATTCTCGTTGGTTCCTTAAAATAGATGAGGGTTTCTCTTTTTCACAGAATTTTGACCAAAAGTCAGGGCTTTATTCACTATTAATGATCCTTTCGAATTATGCTCCCCAAAAGTGCTTGAAATACTCTAAAAATTGGAAGAACCTTGACTATTTTGCCCAATTTACAGGTATTTTAAATGCATTTTTCATGTGAGACAGTCAGGGTGTCATGACTTTTTGTATCCATAACGTAGAATTAAACATCAAAGCTCCAGCAGGATAAATGTCATCTTCATTCACACTCGTAAAAAGAGTTTTAATAGGGATTGCTTTGTTTTCATGTCCGGATGGCCAGCATGAGATTAGCTTCTTCCATTTGTGTAACACTGACTGCCATTTTGTTTTGGCGGCTGAAGTTCGCAAAACGTTCTCCCTCGGTTTGTGACTAATGTTACCTCAAAACTCTATTTTGTTTAATACCCATTTAAAATAGGAGACATTTATCAGTTAGGCTTTCAATATTGCCCCAGATGTCTTACACTTTATAAATTATTTGTTGGTTTTGTACTCATGGCCAGCCATAGTTTTTCCAACCATGGTTGGCAGAATCTGTAATTGTGACATGGCCGAAGAAATGTCTTTAGTGCTTGGTGAATGAGTATTGTACACTCTTGTCAGACAGGTGGTTGTACGCATAAAGGTTACCGGCATTCCAAATAGAACTTCATTCAAACAAAATACTTTTAAGTCGCGATTCAACTTGAATACATGAATAAGTTGGGTAATGCCAGAAGTTTCAGATCTTTTTCTAGTTTCAATTGTCCAGAAAGTGTCTATATGTACATGTACATGCAGAGTGTTTTGCTTGGTATTATACATTTTGGAATTTAAGCAAAAATGACAGACAGTTACAGTTTATTTATGAGAGCCATTATTTGCATATGGATGGCAATTTTTATTTGTTCATGGCTCTAACAACCAACAACAGGCTCGAAAAGAATGATAATATTTCACATTTATTTCAGGCATGTTGTATTGATTAAGCTGTCATATTGTGGACCACTTCAAATTTTTTGACCATTTACTCTTTAAAAGGGTACGATATTTAATTTAAAAATAAAAAGCCGTCTTATGACTACACACTGGCACATTCTTTATATGCACTTCTTTATGGAACCAATTACCGCATCTAAGACCTGTCAGGTAGTGTTGTCTCATACTGAATAACTTGGCCCGTTTGACTGGTACCCAACCTGTCATAGGCCACAGTGGATGTTTGAGTTCAGTTGGGGGGAGGGTTGAGCCGTTTGTCCTTCCTCCGGTGGGGAGACCCCATCCCCTCTCCTTTGCATATTTACTTTAGGTTATTTGGAACTCGAACATCCAAAACAGAACTTATATGAGAATGGATGCCGACCCACCTTCCATTTTCCAATTTCCAGGGACGGGCAGTTTGAATTTCGATCATCTCCCACCCACCACTCCCTGGCACATATTTGTAGTAATTACAGCTTGTGCAACTCCTTACCATTTGAGTATTTCGTTAGACACACATATTTTGCAACTTTTGTTCGAAAATGTGGGTAACTATATACATGCAGTTGACATCCCCTTGGAACAAATTGCAGCGAAAATAGAAGCACACCTGTTTAAACGCTCACAAAAATATGTCCATGCTTTCCCAGACAACCGAGGGCACTGTTACTGTGATGTCGTTTCGGAGGAGACACCAGTTCAGGGTTTTCTGTACAAATGGTGACTCCCAGTATTTGCTCAAGGAAAACGTAGAAGAATGGGTTACTCGTTGGCTTATCGCAGTGTACGAAGACCGACGGTGAATCATCACATTATGGCAATTTTTTGTGCTCGGAGTGACAAAGTTTTGCTCATGACGATGCGCATGTGCAAGTAACAACAAACAAACAAACAAACAGTCAAAACTCAAAAACACCTAAACATACCCTTAAAATGGCACTAATGAAAATATAGTTGAATACGTATTTTCATTGATTGCTAAAAAAAAAAGAAAATTGCTAAGGCACTTGAATCAAGTCTACATCTTTTCAATGTCCCTGCCCATCCCTCTGATTGATAGCAGTCTAAGTACATGTACAGAGAGGTAGAATCGAAAAAGTCGTCCGAATGACCCAGCCCACGGCTACAACTGTGGTGGGGGACTATTCACGTCAGTGTTGGTTGTCGATTGGTAGAGCAGATCCAGTGACGAATGCATCTAAGTACGCAAATGCACATCACAGAAACAAATCAAATGGCTAGCTTTGCCTGGCACATCTATCCATTGATGTCAAATTTGGTTCGTATACAATCATGTAGCAGTGGGTAAAACAATTACGACTATATATTAAACACTCCACTGCTATTCCTAAAGCATATAGTAGACCACTCTTTTCGCAATACGAGGTTCAAATCAAATAAACCGTACAATGTACCTTTAAAATGAACACTTCGTGAAAGATTTTACATGGTTCTGTTCTGCCAGCCCGAGTTAAGATGCCGGATTTTGGGCCTACCTTGTTAAGTAATTGTAAACTGAGCACCAGTGTATCTCGAATTTTGGAAATCTGGTCGATATGTCCTGACTGACTAGCGACGAGTAACCTATTCCACCTGCAGATAAAGAATATCCAATCCTGATAAATCGTTCTCAACTTTGTCAACTTGTAAAACGCTCGATGACACATCTTAAAATTGTATGTCTTATGATGATGATCTGAAGATGAACGCAGTATATGAAAAGAAATTATTAATCTTCCAAAGGCTTTTACATAAAGGTTACCTTGTTCATGCTTTAACAAGTGCATTTTGAATATTGCATATGTCATGTCCATGCCCTGTTCACAATGCTTTATGATAGTTGTAATCATAGATACCGACAAAAATATTAATGAAAGAAACATTACAGTATTTTTGGTGAGTGCTCAAACGTTTATAATCTGGATTAGTCCATATCATGGTGCGTGCAAGGAATGTGGCGTATTTGATCGAGTGTTAATTATGCGTAGTCCAACTTACTCCAAAGCCTCTGCTACATCTGGGAGTCTCTGCAGTTGAGCCTGTATTCTGGCAATGCGATAAGACAAGACGACCGACGAGACGGAGAGGCAACATATCCTGTGATGAAACGGAATTATGGTGACTTCCTCGTGTCACAAAACACAGTTTATCAATAACGTTAGGACCTTAATTGAGGTGTTTTTGCTTATTTCAAGGGTTTCTGGGGCATCTTTGCTAACATTTTAAATAACACACGCTTTTGCTCAGATAAATGAGCAAAGAAGGATGAACAGCAACACTACGATAGAAACAAAAATGTACACCTGTTAGGGCCCCTACTACTGAATACTGTTTTCATATAAAGGGCGCTGGCAGGGCCAGGGAATGCATTGATCCTCCCCAGAAAAAAAGATGGAAAAATTAGAAAGAGGAAACCGGAAAAGAGGCACTGAACAACGAGAAAGGGATGAAATGAATTGCTTAAAAATCCCTCCGAGTTGACGCCTTCACCGTTGTCAGTTTGCTGCTGTTGCTGAGTGCTCTGCTGCAAAGGAAAAAAAATCCTGCATGGCTACGCCCATGTTTCGTAAACTGATAAAACTCACACTCACCCAAAACAATACTTACACCAATATAGCTAGGGGCAACACGAGATGCTTGGCCCGGACAGATGCTGCCACGTATTTCACCCTTGTCATAAACGTCGATGGACTTAGCCGCCCTTAAAAGGAACAAAATTACACGCAGCTCGTTCTTCGTGAGCTTCAAGGTATTAAATTAATGAAGACAGCTGTTAAATTAGAACAGAATTCTAGCTCAGTGATTATTTGCCGATGGTATGGAATACCGAAGTGTGACGTCACTGTGAACCAGAAAGTGCAGTGCAAACGAATGGAGTACGCGCGCGTGTTGGTTCACGCGCTGGTTCTCGCGTTAATGCCTTTTACACTAATTGTGCACGTGACGTATTCACTTCGGTACTCTATTTGATTTCATTAGCAACACAATCTACTATTGTCAGCGCAATGAATCAGTCAATACAACGCCATTCTCGCAATATTTGACATTACTTCCTTTTGACCCATTTTTTGTTCAGAGAGTTGGGAATTGTTTTGCAAATCACGAGACGGGAGTAACTCCACAACTCGAAATTCTTATCTTGTACTGAAAATGAACTTTCCAGGATGGATACGGATTTCCTGTTCGATATAACGTCTTTGTCTGAGATCATTACTATAGGGACTTTTTTGGTGTGGGGTGTTTGGTTGGTGGCCTGGTGGCAATATGATCGCGCGATGGCAGTGCTAATGGCCCTTGGTTGGATGTGGCACGATAGTACATACATGTATATAGCACTCTTACCACCAGTGGCCGTTTTCTGTTCAACTCGTTCTTGGTCTTCTGGGACACGGTATTCTCGTCGAGAATTCTTCTTACGGGATCCAGATCTGAGTCGATACGATCGTCGTGAATTATCATCGCTATCCTATCACGAAAAATTGTGTATTTTCATTTTAAAAAGTCTCATCAAAATGTAACTAAGAAGCAACTGTATGATTCACTTATGAGATCAGACAATAATCTTCACTTCATGTATGCGTATACGAAAACATTTCGTTTTCAAAATTAAGACGGAGTCTAAAAATGTGAGCATCAGACAAATCATAACTCTAATTGCGAGCGAATGTCAATGCTATGGAGTAATTATTATTTACATCCGAGGGTTGGTTCTCGGTGACAGATGTTTCGGGACCGTCGGCGTAGTAGGACCCATCGTGGCTGACAGTTGATTTTTCCTGTGTAGAGATCAAAATTCAATCAAATCAATAACAGAAGCATCCGGGAGTGGAACAAGAGTTTTGTTTGCCATTTGTTTAATACAACTTTCATCCTGTTTAGTCGTGCAGATTTGAATTCTATCGGTATCCAACTTTTGCTTTAAAAATCTCCAGCCCGTTGCAATTTAACACTCTGCCCGTCTCCCCGCTCCCAGTTATAAGCTATACTGGCAACGTCATTGTCAAATGGAAATGGATATGAACATATCATTTTACTCCTTTGTAAATCCATCCCTCCTTATAATTTGATCAGGGGTATCTATACTATCTTTACGTTCAGGCAAGCACCTCAGTGAGGGTCCATGTTATCGCGGCGAAATCGCAAATGACAGTCACTATGTCCAATAATATTAATATCCTACACCAGACCTTTATGTGGCGATCTTCATAACAATTGGCTTAAACTGAAGGTATCATTCCTATGGGAGGACATGCCACTATTTTCCTCATAATGTAAGACTTTGCATCAATAAAACACTCCAAGAGTGGCAATAAGAAGTCATATGATGTGGATGCAGCGTAGATTCATTGCTTGTGGTGAACATATCTTATCTCAAGGACATTTTAAGCAGTCAATTCGTGTAGCTTTACCTCATCATCATCATTGGATTTGCCGTCCCAAATTTGCATTAATTTCTTGTACGTAGCTCGACGAGACAGGAGAGAACCGAAGACATGCTGCGAAAAAAGATTGAATAGTGAAGCCTTTACATGCACGACGGCATGAGTGGTCAATCGTCGTTCGATCAATCTAGTTCAATTCTTCTTATCCACATCTTTGTCAGAGTTGTTTTGATTTCTTGTTTTCTGTGTTTCCTTTTTAGATAATCTATGAAGAACTTGTAGATATTTAGCGCTTTTGTAATTTCCCAGTTTATCCCAATAAAGAGGATAAAAATCCCAGAATTTTCTGCTTATAAGTTTCCACTTTGATAAACAAACAGCTTCAATAATTAGTCCAACCTTAACCAACTTGAGTTCAATTGATGGACAACTTGAGTTTGATCAATTTGCTTCCCTAAACCACTAGTGCACACTGTTACTTGTACTGCACCATCCTCCATAAGGCACCGTGACGATTAAGAGACTGTACCTTGTTCGTATGTGTGTGGATGCTTATCGCACTAGGAACCAGGAAAGTGTACTTCATTTTGAAAATGGCGCGGATTGTATCCACCGGAATAGCAATCTGTGTTGTCAAACCAAAAAGACTTTGTGACTAAATTAGTTTTCAAGGAGGATCCTTGAAACTTTCATTTGTGACCGTTGGCTTAGACTTCATCTATATTGTTAACGGTTTCCAGGGCCGTTTCCCGTTTCTGTAACACACAAAAATGAATAATATAGAAGTACCAACCAACAAAGCAAGCAAAGGAAAATCGAAAATCGCCGTTTTCTGTCATACCGTAAATACCGTAAATTGTTACCTGCCAATAGTTTAAACTGCAATTTTTTTTCATTCCTGTTGATTTCAATTTCTACCATATGATTCCATTTGAGTAAGAAATCTACGATTATGTTTCATTTGGCAGTTGATATTACCTTGGTCTCGTGACCTATCAAGATGTTGGAGTAGAAGCAGATCCAGTTGGCAGATATGAACATTCTGCCTTGTATCAGTATGTCGCGCATTAAAGCACAAGGGTAAGCTGAAACAACACAAAATAATAAAAAATCCTATTTTTCCTTTACAGCTTTTGGTTCCGTCTATTTCTGATTTTCAGATCTCCCCTTCCTACCTAGCCCTCACCCTATCTGAAACTATAACCGTCCTAGTTTCCGCTTCTTTAATATTCATGGTTTAACATCAAATTTTATAATCTGCGAGTACATATACTTCATTTTTGATGATTCCGTCAACGCCAGGGAAACAGAAGGATAATCTCAGCTTTCGTAAAATCGTTATTTTATTCAATTTCAGGGACCTTGCAGCCTGTTATAATTGTTATCGTGTCAGACGTATCGACTCACAGAATTGATGACACAAAATGCAAATAGCAAAGCATGAAAACAATACTCACATTTTACCAGGTTTTCGTTTGGTGAGATGCCTTCAAACAATTTGTGATATTGTCTGTTACGATTACCTTGGCTTTTCTCCTGTGAATAATAAAGAGAGGCCTAAATTGGAAGGCTCTTCGAAATCACATAAACGTAGATATTAACTGTGACCAAATTAATGAATATTGCTATTGGGGTGTTGTTAGTATGGATTTTATGACTAAGTTAGGTTCTCACTAAACAATTAAGTAAGGACTGCGAGTTGGCCGGGTATAGGGATTACCTTGATCGTTGTTTTGTTTGCCAGTTTCAAAGGAATATGGTATATATTGTTACATTAATTTGTTGCGCCGGCATACCCAGGTCTTATGTCGGGGTAGGGGGATTTTTTTCCCCAAACAACGGTCCATTTTCCTTTATACGCGAAAGAATCCTCGCCGGCCCCAGAGAAAGTGGTGGTACCATTTCTAACTATGCTGGCGTTTTCATTGGGCCTCGAGCTGAGCCAAGAGAGGGCGATATTTTCTGAGCAACGGGAGGCTCCTTTGGCCAGAACTGAACTTCTCTGGTTCAGACAAGGAAATGCACGCGTCATGGTCGCATTCTCGCGATCGGACATCCGGGATCTGCTGTACATCACTGAATATAACGAAGGTTAAATTTGCCCCTTTTCGCGTGTTAAAAGACCACAGTGACGTCATGCCTACCGCGAGATCGCTTCTATCTAATTGAACACTCCCGACCAACGCTGCTCTTTTCAACCGGTGAGGGGGTGCTTCTACTCAAGGTGAATAAGGATACATAATTGGTTTGCTGACTTTTAAGAATTGGGCTAAAACGTGAAACAGGAACGCAAATACTTGCATAAAATACTACAATTTTGAAACATGGACCGGAGAATACTTACCTCAAGCTTGGAGAATGCTCCCACAATGACTTTTGGCAATGATCTTGATCTGTTGTTGGTGTGAAAGTGTCCAGTTAGGGTGTAATGCTGTTTTATTACGAGGACTGTATGCGGTTTAAATACACCATTCATGATACAGAGAACGAGTTGAAAAGGTTCATGGGGCGAATGAAATAAGTCTTTTCAGTTATCATTTGGTTTATGTTATCAATGACCAAATCATTAAAATTACCTTAATTATTAAATAGGGCCTACAAACACCCAATCAATGAGAAACAAGAACTGCAGCAAAGGTTGTCCACCGTTTGATTGTAAGTTAAATGAGTGTGATCGTCCTTCGATTTGAATGTACTTATACATAAGAAACACTTCTTTCATATTACAAAGAAGAGTTTGCTGACCAAGTAGAAAGATTATGAGAAGGGCACACAGCCACTTTTGGGCCACCTCACTGCCTCCGGGTCACACCTCTCATAAACCAGTTCAAACTGAAGTTGAAAATGTGCCCTTTTTTTTTTAATTTGCAACGTGAATTCGCAGCGTGAACGTCGCGTGCGAAATTCTGTTCCTGACCAGTTTTCGCGCCAAGGATGAATTGTCAGCATGATTTGTACAGAGGAGTAGGCCTAGCATACAAGACACCATGAATATTGTTTTTGGGGTACCGATTTGTCTGCTGCCACCAAGCGATCAAGGAGGCTTCAGTTTGAACGCATAGTACCTTGTGGTTCGTAACCTCAGGCTGTCTTTCTTATCTGTCAGTTGAGGCGATGACGGCGCTTCGTCAGCTTCCAGGATGTCGCTACCATCAGCGCCTCCTGCCACTGTGATCTGTATCGAGGGTTTCAGGCTCGTCGGGCTTCCCACCACTTGGATGTCAGTCTCCTCCAACCTTCAACAACATCACAAATTGCCCTGATCAGAGTCGACAGATTGCTCCGACGAGGGCCAGGCACAGTAGGCACATATACAGGGCCTCCAAAATATAAAAGGGGGAGGGGCTACACGAAGGCAAAGTTCGAGGGCCTTCAAAACTATACTTCACTTAATCTTGCCCTCGGCTGCAACGCATAACCCGAGATTTTGTTTCTTCTCAAGGAGAGTTCAAGAACCTTTGAGCAAAGGTGTGGACGATGCATGCTATATTCCAGACCTATTTCTTTTCATTGAATCCAAACAAAAAGACAGAACCACGTCCGTAACTTCACAGAGAACAGTCAACTGTCTTGTATCACATTCATATTTATGAGTATCGAAAAAAGGTGTTCATCGATATTTGAAAAGAAATGTCAAATGCGTACAAAGGCGATCAGTGTTCATGACACCGCAAATAGGCCTATGGTTGAATATTAACAGCTGATTAGGAAATTGAAAGACCATGGACACGGCCAAAGTTACTAATGTTTGTTAACTTTGTGTTGCTTTGTGAGAGATACGATTGGACTCATGGGAGATAAGAAATACGGACTGTGACCAAGATACCCTGAGCGAACATGATATACGCCTTCAGCCCACTGATGCGCTATTCACAAAGCAGCAGTCTGTTAGGAATACCTACTGCGAATAGATACAGTTCAGATAAGTTCTGAAAGTATTATTCATTTCTCAGACGTCTGTGTAAATAAATAGAAGTTCTTGTCATACAAAAACTCATCCAGATACAGCTTACAATATTCAGTAAAAACTTTTGTACAGAAGACAAGTAGTGATCACTTAAAAACGTGCCCTTCGTCTGACGAGCAGTATAAAAGCAAACCCCTGTTTTCATGGTTCCATAAATTTAACAGAGCTTCTTTTTTTGACTGAAGACCCAAATAATGCTAGCCACGTATAGAATGGATTGTAACGAACATTGTTTACTCAAAAACCACGGCAAAGTGGCATGTTGCACTCTTACGCATTGTCTGACGAAAACGACACACGTCGAATTCCCTCGTAGGACCACCGGTTGTGCAGACGCGGTTTTACCGGACTTCCTCCTTCCACTCTGAAAATACGGATGAACCGATTGAAGACAAGCGTTTGACTCTATACGACCCAAGTCAGCTGTACAATACTGTATTCCGAAACATACAAATCTCTGCAATTTCAACATTTTAGGACTATGCCCCATTTAACCCCCCTCCCCGGATATGATATGACCAAACTCAGTGCATAGGCCTATAACCGGTTCATCCTCGGTGTGGTTCCCCTTGAAAACTATTGTTTCGCCACTGCCTCGGTTCCATTTACATGCGTCACACTCTCCTGTCCTGTATAACAAATGCGTTCATGGGCTACGTTCGGCATGTTATTCCTTCCTTGAAGCTTTTTCGGCTATGGGCTCCAAGCCAGACAAAGAGTGCGCTTCTCTGGTAGTAACTGTGCGTCGCTGGTTCACGAGTGACTATGAAAAGCAAGCGTTGCAGTCGCACGCTACAAACAAAATGAGCACTCCCGACCAACATGTCTCTTTACAACCGATGAGGGGGTGCTTCTGCTCAGGGTGGATACCTGTCATTATGACTTACCCCTCTTCTGATTGGGACAATGATCTCACACCACCAATGGCGAATGCCGACCTGGAGCGTGGTCTGAGATGAACGGGATCTGATGCCACAGCATCGTGGGGGTGCGTTCTGAATACACGCAAACAGATACAAAGGGCACCTTTGAATGATTCTGATTATACATACCGGCATATAAAAGAGATGTAAAAACATTTTAACTTCACTTAAAGGCGGCAATGGGCGAGGGGATCTGATGCATCCGAGGCTTTTGGCAGTGCTGATGCTGTCTCGGGCTTGGGGCCAGCAGGGCAGGTAAAGATGTAGATCTGTTATTGTTTGGGTGAAAACAATAGGGGTGAGGTGGGGAAAGCGCCACTTAGTCTGGTATCGTGCCTCACGCCTCAGACAGACCATAACAGTTTACATGAAAAATTCAGTTTTGGGGGCCCCTGAAAATCCAGCTCTAGATTCGCCCTTGATCTTTCCACTTTAACATGCCGAGTTCAAGTTGAGCAGAAACGACACAATGTACATGAAACTGAATCGAACCCAATTGTATAAATAGCACAAAGTGGCAACAGTAGCGGTTTTATCCAAACGTTGAGGTACGTGCAGCACAGGATTTCAAAGCAAAAGCGTAAACCAACACCAAACCGTACATTGTGACTTGCTAGCCATAGAAAAATCCTCCAAAACTCAAGAATCCTGTAACCAAACTCTGACAGCTGAGATTCTATACGTACTCTTTCACTGTTTCCTCCATTTCAAAGAGACTCTCCGCGGTGACAGATTCAGTCGATATTGCAACAGTTCTCTTTCGCTACGCGAGTATAAACTCAACCACAGGCGTTTAGTGTCGAGCATCGACTGTAAAGAAAATTTATTTGCACGTCCAATGTCCACGTTCTAAATATGGCCACGGTTTCCTCAAAATAATGTAATCATTTATAATATTAACCAGGCATTTATTCACAGTCCAAAGAGCACTGATTGGTTGTTGCGAGCTGGTGGCAGTTTGCGCACGCGTCAATTACAGGTGATCGCTATGATAAACGGGTTTCGCTTCCTGGATGGACGTCTCGTGCCATCTCAGTTTTCGAAGATAAATTGCAGCCAAAATAAATAAGCCCAAAACACAAGTGCTGTTTAAATGCTGTGAGGGCATGATCCCGCCCCTCAACACATGTCGATTCGACCTTTGCCTACGTAATGAGGTATAAGACATTCAGTCCTATTTAGAGAAAAAAATGACAAAATACGTTGTACTCAGCGAGACATCGTCATACCCTTCATGCCAGCGCGAAATAAGGACCCACCGTGGCAACTCGGCGCAGACAGCCAGCAAGGTTGGATCATTTTCAAACTTTGCTGATTAATAGACATCCATGTGTCTGTCAACGGCAACAGTGTTTCGGAATGAATGCAATCACTGGGGACTATTCGGCGATGCTGTCTGCGCCTCCTTAACTGGGCTTGCAAATTGAAATGCAATGTTGCGATGTCAACAGTGTAGATGGCTGGGGGTGGTCGGTCACCATGTGGCCCCATCCCCATAAGCCAATGCAAGTATAAGTTGAAAACTCCCAAATCATATTTTGAATTCAGTCGTTGATTTCCATCGAGGTTTACCGACAAGTTCCAACGGTTTCAGCCGGAAAGCACTGAAAAGCACAAAATGGCTTTCATTTCAATTTCGTTCAGGACGAGTCTTTTTTTTTCTGGTCAAGGTGACAGTATGACGCCAGCATTGGCTACAAAATGCAGAGAAATGCAGATTATCTTTAACAAAACAGCTTTAAGAATTACAGGTATTGTAGCCCCCTAACAAAACAAAAAAAAAATAAAAAAAACAAGGAGGGCAAATATGGGAAAGCGCTTTACATGTATAATAAAGACAGATGAAAACAATAACTTTGGTATTATATGACAGTTTTTATCCTTGCCATTTTCTTCTCAAAATTTTACAATACGTACAAATCGGGATGTACTTTTGGCAAAGCCTAACAAAAAGTGAATCGACAAGCCGCTCCTCTCCGCATATTATGTAGGGATGTAAGATGGCTCTGGCATTTTCTGTCCGAAATCTCTGCAGGTTGCGAGAACAGTTGACACACAGCAGTACTGTCAATGTGTTGTCTTAAAGTTGAGGAGAGCATGTCAGAGGACTTACATCCCTATATACGGGCATGGGTGTTTGGATAACCTCATCGATGCAATACAACGTTCAGCAAGTTTGTAAGTAACTTAGAAAAAGAAATATGCTTTTTTGGTGAACATATAAACACTTGAAAAACAAAAACGATACGGTACGGTGTGGTTTATACTGATAAATTTTCTCTACAGAAAAGAAGACCACCTTTTGCAGTAAAAGTACATTCTCTTGTTTGGAATTTGAAAGCAAACGAAACCAAGTGACAACTCCTTTCAGCAGTGTTAGAAAGAGCGGGGTAGATTTTTTTTAGCAGTGCAAAGTATTAAAGCAATATTTCTTCCCTTCACACAGTAAAACGCTTTTACTTTAAAAGGGAGAACGAATTCAGAAGTGCAACAACCGCATTGATCAGTACTGGTTATCGAAACAGACAAACAACAAAGATTTTTTACAAGCATTTTCGTTAAAAGTTCATAAAATCCTCTTCAAATCCTTGTGAGACGGTGGAACAACATTTTAATCCTATTATTCATTAAGGAAAAAAAGTCCAAAAATATTCAGCTGTGTCGGAAAATTGAAAACGTGGGCTGTCTCTCAATCATAATGTACATGACACCGACGTGATTGGAAAATAAAAATTCTAGTGTAATGACTGGAAGGTTTTAGCATTTACATCAATCAAAATATATTGAAGGGTTAGTATTTGACAATCTGTAACACTTTCGTTAAATTCTTCTTCAAACACGATTACGGTTCTTTACCGTGGTAAAATGCTTACCCTGCCAGGTGCCCCCTTTCAAAATACTTTTAAAATGAATACATAAATAGAAATTAAAAACAGGCGATCTCAAAACATTCAGCATCTCGAAATATTAGAAATTGCTTCCTTTATGAGGCACATCCCAGAGTTTGAAACCAGAGCTAAAACCTTTAACATGACTACAAGAGCTGCTCATCTGATTGCTCTTGCAATCTGACAAGCAGGTTCTTTCCTTCAAGTTCTTTCGTGAAATAAACCCAGTGGCTGAAAACTTGAAGTCTTGGGGAAAAAAGTGGTGTACACAAATCAGTTCTTGCCACCTTCTGATGGCTGCGGGGGTAACAGTGTGTATTCCATATCGTGTATGAGTCTTGGAATGGTGTTTTTTTCGCTACCACCGACAAAGCTTTTATCATCATCTGACAGTGTGGGTGACAATTACAAATCAAGGGGGAAATAAATGGTAAGTTGTGTCTGTAACTCTGCATCGTAACACCATTTAAAAAGCTGTACAAATTGCACCTTAATCAAAACCAAAATCGACCACCCCCCCATAAAGAAAAACAGCGATTAAAAAAAAATTAACAAAACACCCCAAGGTTCCAGATTAGCAACTGCATCTAGGTAGGTCGATTTACCGCGAGGGATAGTCTATCCATTAAATTTAGTACAGAGCGGTGGGAATAAATCCTTCACAAGAGGACAAACGTGCACTTTTTTAACTTCTCAAAAGATTCAGATTTCCGAGCAATGTCTATGAAAAACTGTTCCTCATTTCCTGCAAAAAGAAGCTGACTAAAACGAACGTGCCAGAAGTATAGCTCTTCTACAACACTCGAGAAGAAAAATCATCCAGTACAAGGACTGAAATAAGTCCTACGTGGGGCTAACCCCCTCCCCCGCCCAGAGTCCTGACAAGTCAGTCACTGAACTGCCCAAATCAGCCTAGTGAATACACCACACCGATAATTCTGTACAGCCTTTTTTTTTTTTTAGGAAACAAGAATTTCAACACATAATCACATGATCAGCAAACTGCGACGGCCATCACACCTTTTTGCGATGGAGTGACAAGTGAAATACTGTTCTTTCAAGCACTTTTTTCGTTCAAGAAATCAGTAAATCAACAATGACTGATGTATAATATATTAAATTTGTGTTTTGGTACACATAACAGAACCAACACAGCTTTAGACTAGTTATTTAATCAACTGCGACAGCGGGCAATAGAACTGACCGAGCAAAACTAGATTAACAGTTCTGTAAAGTGAATACAGACTTCCTCACAGATAAAATATATTGTTATTATCCACAGTGCTATATCCAGCTTCTCCTGAATGTCATTTTGCAACATTTTCAAAGCAATACTTGTGCAACATACTTAGCCGTGGGACATCGCCATTAACACAAAACAATTCATTTTAACCTTTGCTATTCACATGCACATGTTTCAGTTCTTTTTGATGATTTTGTTGTTTGTTTTTTTTTTCCCCAAGAACGATCAACTACAGAATACAGCCATTTAATGACATGGATGGGACCACAGTTTCCAACAAAGTCTCAGTATTCCTAACATAATCTCTTCTTTTTTTTTTTAAATGGTAGTTTTAATTTGTACATTCCGGTGGTTTTCAACCTTAAACTGCTATAGTTCATTTACAAGAAACAGCTAATATGACTACCATCATTAACATTTTGTATACTATGTACATTTTTAAACTTTTCAGTAGATTCCACACAAAAATGGCTTTGAAATTTATTCCTGAACCTACACACAACAAAACAAAACAAAAAAAAAACCACCCAAAAAGACAAACCCCCCTCAATTTCGTCCACCCATTTGCCCATCAGAGCGCTGCGTCCTTCCCACTACTCGATAATTTGATTATCGTATTTCGTCCTGCCTCGTGACTATCATTACACAATTTACATCTTTGGTACACTGCAAACTGGCTGGACGCGGACCACCGTAACACTATTGCATAGACAAAAACAGCAAAGCCTCCGCAAGGTTAATCACTGGTGAGGCGGGCTCGTGCATGGCCCGGTCAAAACACAAGACCAACGCTGCCTTGACCGGGCCAAACTCCAGGACAATCTTGGTGATCGTACTTTGCCCCAATCTCGTTCCCTACCCTATTTCTGTCCTGGCCTGCTCTCTTCAATACACAAATCTATATACATGTAGTAATTACAAACAGCCTGTTTTTTTTTTTTTTAACAAATGAGACACAGAATTTAAAAAAGCGGAAAAAAGCCAAGAATGAAAAAGTGCAGTAAGCACTGTTAGGAACTGGCAATGCAAAATTATAAGATCAGTTTATGCTTTGTTTCTCTCAAATATAATTTAAGCCGTAAAAACAAGGAGACTTAACTAAATACTCCTATGGAAGTTCATTCTCTACACAAGCAGCAAACTGAACCTAGCATGACTACCTTAAACTTGGAGATTACTTCCCACAAAATGGCAAGAACACATAGTTGAAGCCATCGTGTGAGTAACAGGCATTACCTTCCACACTCTTATAATGTAATTCCGTCAAGATGCAAATATAAATACACAAAATCTGGTATCGCTGAGCATGGCTAAGGTCTGAGGGATATGGTCTCATTTAGACACGCCTACTTCTACCCAATATCTGAAGGGCCCTCAACGATCTATTGGTAACTCTGAGTAGCATCATTTTCCATGTATCAGTCTGCAATCCCAACACATTTTACATCATAACTAAGAACATTACAAGTACAGCCTACTGGTTTTCATCTTGTCACTGCTTGTAGGGTTGGGCAGTCAGGTTTTGGTCTGACAACTCAGTGCAGTGCACCGTCTGCGGCAGCAGACTGGATAACCCAGCAGAGTCCACCTTTGTGAAAACGTGACGTAACTTGTCTGCAAAGCCCGCCTTGCCTTCAGGCAATCACCGGCCAGTTGCCGACTGTAAAGATCGCCTTCTGCAAATGTGGAGTTTCTCGATGCCATCCAAGTTGGCCCCCCCACCCTTTTCAGCGCTGTCAGAAGAATCCATCCAACGAGTGGGGTGGTCTCTTGCAGCGTCGTTTGCCGTGTCCTTCCTCCAATAAATAGGTCAGATCAACAGCTGCAACACAGAAGAGAGTTTCAGGTGTCAAATTGTAAATACAAGTGAAAAGGTATTTGTTAAATTCTATGGTAGCGTATAAAAGCTTCTCCATCAATTTTCACTGTGAACTTGTTCTCAGATTTAACCTAGGGCTAACTGTGAAAAAATGGGAAAGTCCACTTTAGACTTTTGCATGGTGTAGGGTGCTGTATCACAGTCTACTGCAAGCCCAATCGCAAATCAATTTGCGAGTTCAGTTACAGGCAGAAGATAATGACCAATGCCTTTGCCACAGTTCATTTAAATAACTTGTGACTTGAGTGGATGACTTGTGACTGACCTAGGATAGACTGGATGGCAAGGTCGTGGAGTGGGCCCCCAAATAAAGAGGAGTAATTAACCTTGACAGCTTCAAGTGTGAAATGACAAAGAACTGTCTTTTGTCTATGATGTTTATCAGCAGCATAGAGTAAACAAATTTTAATTTTACACTACGGATTATTTTTCTTTATTTAATAAAGAAAAATAATCCGTAGTGTAAAATTAAAATTCACATACTGTGAACAGAAAAAGGTACATGTATGCAGTGCGGGAAAATTGTGTTCCCCTTCATATTTCTCATTTCACGTGGTCCTGTTGTAAATCTTGTACCCTTCTGTTAACCTCCTGTTAAATTACAAGTTACTATAGAGAAGTCTTCAACTCGTGTTTCTGCCTGCTACCTACGTTGCTTGCTGGGTAGCTTGGCAAGCAGTCCCAGCAGGAGGCCATTCAGCCGATCCTTCTGGCCAGCCATCCGCTCCGCTTTCTGCTGCTCCATCTGTCGCCTGGCGGCCAGGGACTGCTCCTTCTCCCGCTTCTTGTTGATCTTCTTCTGCTTTTGGTCCTCGTCTGCACTGCTAACAGAAAACGGGAGAGAGAGGGCGATACAAACTGAGATGGCTGTCCTGTGATCTGGGCAATATGACCCCATGCTCCCCCCGGCGCACAAGGGGCAAAAGGCTGTATCAATTTCAACTCCAGAAAGGAGTCCTTCTCACAAAGACTTGGCCTGCCACTGGAATACCTTCGAAACCAATGTTGTGCAAATTAACATAGCTTCCAACAGACTGATGACCCCTCTTGGCTCACCAGTCCATCAAAGTTCAGATGCCAACCTACCTTGAGCAGATGAACAGAGCTACAGACAAGACAAAGTGGTCTGCCAATCAGGGAAGACTTGGGCCAAGCTCAATCAGTGACCATTTTGTTGATTTTGTCTGGTAAACCATGCACAAATTGCGTCTTGGGTGCCAGGAAAAACTGGCCAGTGGTTAACGGTCACTGGCTTAACTTGGCATGGGTTTTCTCCGAAAACAATGCTTGTTTCACTCGGTTTACAAGGACAATAGCTCATCACTATTGAGAGAAACAAAAAATGCAGTGAATATATGCCCATGCAATTTTTCTCCTTTCTCTTCAATCATGCACATCGAATTTTAGATGACGGATGATTTCCCGTCTGTTCAATTGGCATACATCAGCGTTTGCATCTGAACACCTGTTCCTCCTGAATCACCACATTTTTACAAAAATCTGTCACTAGTTTGAAAACCTGTACCTGCTGGCGTTACTCTTAGCCGACTTGACCTTGCTCCTCTGCTGTTGTTTCCCACCGGCGGTGGCATACTGTGATGCCCCCTGAGAGTCGTCACCCCCTCTGTCGTGTTGCCCCTCCCCTTCCTCCCTCTCTGACTTGTCCTTGCTGCACGTGGTGCTGTGGAGACAGGGATCAAAATGAGATTTCGGCAGGCGGCAAAAAGTGACAACTTAGTAGTGAGGATGAGCCCGTCAAAAGCGAGTCACAAGAACGGTGATGATGAGTTATCTGCCACAAAACCCCAGGCGACGTTCGGTGCACCCAAGGAACCACCGCAGCACCACCTCCACTGTTTCACTTTGTTCCAAAGTTGAATTTTACATATTTGTTTCGTACTTTTTCTTCAAAATTTGACGGTCAGATGAAGTACATCTGTGGGAATGACAGAGTACTCTAATGGAAAACTCTACAGGACAAAGAATTATTCCTGTCCAATGACTTACCGGCCACCATAACCCCTCTTGAAATGCTCTGGTACATGGTGTGGCTGGAACACAAACACAAACACAAAATTTATCACACACACGGATCCACACGGATTTTTCCCTGTGATAGACCGATCTGCCTGTAATCTCCTAGACACGCCTAAGGCATGTTTGGTTTCTTGCTGTAGAAAAAGGGAGAAACAATCTTGATCCATTGCTGTTTGTGCAGTGGCATTTTTAGTGTTTATTGAGCAGTTGCCAATCAGTTCAGTTATAAGTTTTAAGTCTATTCCAGGTGCAACTTTTCCACCTCGTAAAGACCTGAGAAAACAGAATGTAAATCTATGATGCAAAAAAAACATAACCAAGCAAAATACAAACTCTTAACTCTAACCAAGCTCATCAAGCTTTCAAAACTTTCTGTTCATCAGTCTTGAGTTTATGTACTCAATAGAAAGATCCCATGAAATTCCATTTTTGCCTTATTTTCTGATTTTTTTTGGAAAGTGCACAATGATCTCGTTTAAAATGTGCCCAAAAATAAAGACAGAATGTTTACTAACTTGTAATTAGGCATGTGAGTAAGTGGAGGTAATAATGATTTATCATAATTTATAAACTTTAACCATTTGCCGCCGGGGACTCAGGTTTCAGGCACCCTGTGTTTATACACGTGGCCGGGGTCTCCAAAATCGGACAAAGGGAACAGGGCCTGTAACAAAAGACCATACTCGGAACAAAAGACCAGGCTGCTGAGCATTACCGACATTTCTTCACTCTCAAAAGTGGAGACAATCCAGCCTTGTTTTGAAATAGTATACTGCGGTTTGGGGCATTTCGTGTGAGCGGATTACCACCGGGGACAAAAGTGCTCCACCACCGCAGCGATCAGCCACACAGCACCGCTGCACGCTAATCTGGCCCCTATCGAAAAGAGGTCAGCAGCGCACAGTGCCAGGTTCGTGAACAAAAGAACGTTACATAACACCACACAATCTGGGCTCTTTTTACAAGGCTGCAGCCCTGGCTGAAATATTCGGGCGTCAATAGATTTTGTCTGTCAGACTAGAGTGGCCACCAGACAGTAATTCGTGTGAGTGTAAACGTCCATTAATTGAAATGATGAATTTTGACGAATTTTGAAAACTGAAAATCTTGAAAAAGTCCCGATTATGTGCACTGCATTTTACAAACCACCCGGCAGCAAGTAGTTAAAGAAAGATTTTCTGAGATTTGTTCATGCGCACTACATGTACTTTAGGGAAACTCAGCTGAATTTGTGCCAAATTTCTTGATGCCAAGGCTTTTGAACTTTGCACTAAATTACACGATTGAAATTGTTCACAAAGGTTCAACATGAAGTATTATGAAGGTGATAGTGCCATTTTTTGTTTTTGAAGTTTTTCAACAAAGAGGTATGGCAACATTGCCTGAGGAAAGTTGAGGGAAAGGTCAAAGTGCACCACGTCAGAGAACTCCACTGGAATTGAGCAATACCTCTGGCCTGTCACTCTCTAGCAACCCCTCGGTCTGGTTCTTCTCAGGCCCAGCCACATTCGGGTCTGCACTACACCACCCAAGTTTGTCATCGCATTACCGCCTTGCCCTCAAGGGATGGATAACACGGAGCTTTCCCCTGAACATCCCTTCCCCCTCCCCCAGGACTTGTCCAAGTAGGGAATGGAAGCGGAAGTCGGGGGCGGCTGTATGGACTCTCTCAATTAACTGCCTCGGGTTTGGCAATGTTATTAAATGTCATGCTCCTGATGTACAGGTGTGTTCACTTTCAAGTCTTTTAAAGGTAGAGAGGTCCAATATGCTTTGAATTTATCATGTTAATGGTAACGGAATGTTAAAATCATGTATATCTCCAGTAAAAGTGAAGGATTAACTTATGTCATTTGACTATGAAATGGAGTCCACCATGGTTCTAGTTTAAACAGGAATTAGCTTCAACAATGACAGCAGTGATTCATTGGTTACACTGCAATTTTGCTGATGGCTGCATTGCAAAATTTCAAATCAAGATTAATATACTTAATTCTAGGTTTGCATTATCTTGGTTGGTTTCTGTGAGACAAGGAATAACAAGGCCTGGTTTCAAACCTAGATTCCAATTTTAAAAGTGTAGAGATTCACTAATTACAGAGTCAAATGCATGAGACAAATCCTGAGATTACAAACAGCCTAAGAATGCATAAAATCAAGACTGTATAAATCTGTTGTCGACTGCTTATTACCTTTCAGTGATTGGGTACAATAGAATGAGCTGGATTTAATCATAACCATCTCATCACAAGTAAAGAAGGTGAAGCACAAATTGATATCAATGCTTGAATTTCATCATGATCCTTATTAACTCCATTTCTCTATGTTCTCAAGACCTTCCTGAATCCTACAAAATCCTCCACTATGTGGCAAACCAATGACATTTTCTTGGCACTTAACCTTTCCATGGACACCAAGCCTCAATTCTTTAGAATCTCCCCCCCCCCCAAGACTTCCTGTAGAATGTTGGACCCCCGCAGGACGAAGGGTCTGGGAGGGTTAAGGTCAAAGCCTGGACTCACCGAGTAGTCTCTCTTGGGCATCAGCTTCTTGTCAAACTTGTCAAAGGCGTAGGACTTGGTACAGATGGGGTACTTATTCCGGCTGATGGGCGTGAAGAGATGAGCGGTCTTGTCTAGGCGGTACTCGCAGATGTACACGTGCTTCTCCTCAGTTCCCTTTGGCCTCCCTTCAAGGCAGAACACAATATTGACAATGTGTACTGATCCAGCACACAATAAAGTAGTCCTCGGTGCTAAAGGCAATGCATCACTGTTACGCCTGCTCATAGGGCAAATAAGCATTCAACAAAATATGTCAACTCTTTGGGGAGTACACAGCTTGGTTCTGACATTTTGGGTGCATACCGGTTTATCTAAAAATGGCAATCTTTGCCCTCATAGGTACCCATTTTTACGTCTAGTTAGAGAGAGGCAGATTGACAGAAGATTATAATCTAAGGTTACAACATGTTATTAACTACTGGAATAGAGTCCAAAATCCTTCGATCAGGAGTTACAGAATGAAGCAATTAGTCTCCATACAAGGAACGTTTTGAAAGCATTAGGAACACTGAACATAACACTGTGTCTAAATTGTGTGGCTACGGCTGGAAACAGCATGGGTTCCAATGGGAAGCCAGTGACTTATGGTTCAGAAAGGTCCTATTGGTAAGTGCGCTAACACCAGCCGCATGTCAGCTGACCCGGACATGGCCTAATTTCAAAGTAAACGGTACCAATTCAGCAGAGAAGACTGCTGTCTGTATTGCTCATGCTGACTAGGCTTGAAAACAAACCACATGGGTGCAAAACGCACAGGTGCATGTAGGTGTCTAGGTCAATGCCTCCATTGCCTATGATGGTGCAACGGACAGTATGATGACGTGTGACTGCAAACCAACATAATCTTTCATTGGTGGTAAAAGGTAATCTGACATTTAAAAGATTGTGTAGCATATAGATGCAGCTGGACATATGCGTATATCGGAGATCATGCATAAATGTAAAATTGAGTTGAACTTAAAAATATCATCATATGCTAAGTTAACAGTAAAGACACGTTTTGTGTGCAGTGCTCTAGCTGGTATTGCCGCAGCTTCCAACCACCAAGATGGCAGACGAAGGAGTCGTGACATCACCTGCAAACTCTCTGTTATAAACATGTACATCACTGTTGGGCATACCCTTGCAGTAGGTGTAAAGGTCCATGACACAGCAGACTCCCACGATGATCTCCAGCTTAATGATCTCATACAGCGGGACTCGGAAGAGCTCATTCTGGAAGAACTTCCGGGAGGGAGTGTGGTGAGTCTCGTAGGGTCTCAGGAAATGATGGCCGAAGGCAAACTTCTCACCGCTGACAAAAACAATACAAACATTGTCAACCCAGAGTGCCAAAGGGAGATAATGCAAATCAAATGTCACGCAAGTCTTGATATTCAAGAGGGACTGCAGATAAAGGCTTCTTGTAGGATATCTAGGTCAGCGAAGTTGGTGTAGAGAGGTGGTACTGAAGTTTGAGCTCAGTGCTCGAATTTCAGATGGAAATTTGTCATGTTGCATTTACAGCAGCATTCAGCTCAAATCTGCACACCAAGTAAATACATAAATCCATCAGAATGGGCAGAAATGTCAGGACAAAATGACAATGGCATCCTTAATATTTCACCTACGAGAAAAATTGCAAACTAAGGGCAGCATGATATTCGCAGACCTCAATGAAGCTGTTTTATTTCAGTTAAAGACTGCGGAAATGGTCAGGTGAGGACAGTATCTGTCCCTGAAAATCTCCAATAAAATCTGATTACAATTCCCAGAATCCCTTTTACATCCTGGAACTAAAGTATCTACTGGCTGATTCCCTTTGTCCATCTACTGGTTGCTGGCACAAACCACAATCGACATTTCATTGTGCAATCTCTCTGTCAATGGGGAGAGGGTTATGTGCATGTACATACTGAGTCCCTCGCTGAAAGTGGTAACGATCTCTCAAAAACAAAACCTCAACTTTCATCTTATAACTCTGTTAACGTCCAGGCATTCCTTAAGGAGTGCATGCAATGTCCCTAGCCCCTATCGTTAGATGTTTGAATCTCTGGGCTCACCTTTCCGTCTTCCACAGTTTCTCTACTCTGAATATGTTGAGCTCAGCAGGGTTGACGTCAGCCATGACTTCAGCCGCGGTCTTGATCGTGGACCCATCAGCACTTCGATGTTGGTTATCGTTGGCAAGGTAGACGCAGTAACCTGGTAATGGCCCATGCATACGTTCATCACAAAAGAGTCGACAGAACTCACCGAGCAAAGCAACGTAACAGTACCGTGATTTATTTGCTTTTTTTTGTGCAATGGTAACAGAGAGTCTAGACCTACTGTATCTCCCAAACCATGCCTTTTACTTGTTAAGCGAATGAAACATTCCAGGAGTACAGTAGTTGTCAAGTCTATCCCAAGTTTGGTCATGATAACAGGGCATGGTCACTGACAAAGAAGTGCCTCTGTCACAATTTTTTTCAAAATACTCGTGACTTGTTGCCAAATTTTCTTCAATACCGTTTTAACAATCCCGATTACAGATTAATGTAAAAGGAGGTGTTGTCTGGGTCAGCAACTAGGACTGCCAGCAACATTTGTAGCATTTGAAGATAAATGATGACTGCATCAAAAGCCAACATCTAACATCAGCGGCATACTTTGTAAGGTGGGGGGGGGCATGGAGGCAGGAGTGCACAATTTCTCCTGCTTGACACATTGCATGCCGGTTGAAGTTTCCGAACAACACTTTTCAGGAATTAAACATCTAACACCCTTCCACTTTCAAAAATATGTCACAGATGAAACCTCCCCCCCCCATCCTGACTCCAAATTCTGGGCGTGCTAACTTCTAACATCCTCCCTCTCCATGTAAAAAAAAGGGTACCTTCTATCTGCCACTGTTTTAAATCACAGGCAGTATCCAAATATTTGCATGTGAAGAGTCTGGTACCTTGTCTGACGGTCAGTGTCTTGTCTCTTTCCAGGCACAGGTAGTAGGTCTGATCAGGCTGTGCAAACTTGGGCTGGGGCACCATGCCGATCTCCTGTCCACGGGGAGAAGACAATGCACTTTAACACACCCACATAACGAATGCCGATTAACTGCAACAACAGGAGAGTAATGTCTCGAGGGCACAGAGAACGAAATGTGTCGTGAACAGGAAATGTGCATTTATGTGAGTTGGCCGAATTGCCGGAGGAATAATTCAAGACAATGTGATAAATGATCCACCAAATCACACTGTAGACCTTGATCAAGATGCTGCCATATTTGTCTTGTTCCATTTAGATCCGCTGATAATAGGAATACAACTTCATGTATTGATAAAAGGGAACAGACTATTTTTCATTCCAGTCTCAGTTTGGTTTAATTGCTTTGAATGGTAAAAAAAAAGATGGTTGCCCATGATAGAGGTCTATGGGGATTTATTCAGACTACGCGTGATCTGTTAAGCACCGATGTCTCTACCTGTGGGTTAAATGGTTGATATTACTTAGCCTAACCCTCCCAGATCCTTAGAATCCATGAGGAGGTTGTTGGGAGGATTCTGAAGGATTGAGAATGGTAGAGCCCAGCCACTGTTGCCACTGACGACTCTTGTACAATTTTTGCGCACAAAGAATATGACACTGTCTTCATGCTCAAAGGGAAACTTGGAAGAATTGAGGAATGTTCTGAGCCAAAAGGCCGGTGACGTTAAGGTCAAGCAGGGTTTGTGGTGGATTCCACTTTAACTGCAACAGCCTTGATCCTAAAATGGTAGCCTGTTTCCAGAAATGCAGCTTGGCTTCCCCAACATGGAGCTAGCACACCGGATCTCTGAACCCTGATGACTGCCTGACCGAGCAGTGCCCCTCTGGCCTGACATGATCTCTTGGCCTGGCCAATTACATCATATCTGACCCAGTTGATTGTGTGGTATCAAACATACGCGTTGGCATGGCAATCTAATTTGGTCCACATTCCACTGACACAAATGGAAACAAGACTGTAATAAAGGAGCGCAGTTATCATGGAGGATATCTCCGTGCAGTGAACGGGGGGCATACCTTGGGTACTGGTCGCGGCTGGCAGAGTTCACAGAGATAATGCTCGGCAGGCTCCTTCATGTCAATGCAGTCACAGTGCTGCCATATCTGACAGTGGAAGGGAAAGAAAGGAAATGACAATTCATAAAAACCCTGCATTTGCTCTTAGAGCCACAACGCCAAGACCCTATGTCTCAGAAATGACTGAACTAGCTTGAAGAAGTCTTCGAGTGAACACAAAAGTGGATCAGCCTGTATAAGATGCCAAAACTCAGTACATGTACAAGAATTATCAGCCAATGAATTTTTCTCATCTGACATTGTGGGTATTTATTCCTCTAACAAATCTTCCACTCACAAGACCTACATCAAAATACAGCAAGAGAGTTGCAAAGTCATAACAAGCAGTGCTTCAAATTCTAAGTTTGAATTTGTCCCTGCCCCCAAAGGCTAAAAGAGTGAGGCATTTTTATTTGAAACCAGAATAATATTGTCCCCAAAAAGTGTTCACCAATTAAACACTTCAACAAATGTAACATTATGAGGTGTGGTCAAAGCAGTGGGAGGGGTGGGGCAGAGGAAGGAGTGAGGAAACAAACACTGTTCATACGGTTGAACGGCCCACACAGAGAGGGTGGGGCAGGGTGGGGCAGGGTGTGGTAGGGAGGGGCAGAGAAAGGGGTGCAAACACGAACAAAAAATCTGTTCACACTGTATCATGAGCCCTTCGTCATTGAACTGCCCACACAGACAGGGCGGGGCAGGGCGGGGCAGGGTGGGGCAAAGAAAGGGTTGTGAATACGTACAAAGCACTGTTCACACTGTATCATGAGCCCTTCGTCGTTGAACAGCCCACACAGACAGGGTGGGGCAGGGTGGGGCAAAGAAAGGGTTGTGAATACGTACAAAGCACTGTTCACACTGTATCATGAGCCCTTCGTCGTTGAACAGCCCACACAGACAGCGAATCACCTCCTCCTCTTCTTCCTCCTTGGCTGCTTTGCTGTCTGCAATCAAACAACCGCATCACATCATTCATGCATTCACAGTAAGTAACGAGATCGGTGCCTGGTAAACAAATCCTTCAAGCCCCCTCCCCACCCAATGAGTTTTTAATAAATCAACGATGTGATTGTACAACCAAATGCTCGTCTGATGCCAATGCAACTTTGCGAGCACCATCCAGCCCTTTTGGTCTCCAATTGCGACATGCGATGACTACTCTTCTGGACAAAGCTAACTTTCAACGAAAAAAAGAAAAGAAAAGAAGTCTTGGAGTAAAAGATGCCATCACTGTAATGCAATACCGAGGCCAAATGCACAAAGCGAAGTCAGCCTGTGATGCAACTAAGTCAGGATTTCAACCTATCTTACCTTCTTTGTGCTCTTTTTCTTTCTGTGGTTCTCCTAGGATGTCTTCAAAGAACTTAGCATTGTCTACCTTGGCCTTGAGGTAGGCCTTGCGTAGGACAGCAGCATCCTTACCCAACTCAGACTTCTTGCCATGATACTTCTAAAAGAAGGGGGGGAACATTGCAATAATAAATGCAGCCGATAAATATCAGAAAGATATTTTTCACAGTACACTGAAAGACAGACTTTCATTCTATAAATTTGGGGTCGGACATGTGACACTTTTCCGTACCTATTACACCTGACATGTATACTTTGACAAGGGATACAGGTACATCACTGAAATTGATTTTAATCTATTTTCCAAAAGAAGGGGGGAAAAGCATTGCGATCATGGGCTCAGCTGAGTTTTATTTTAGCAGCTAATTTGCACTAAACCAGAATCGAAAAACTGGTCTGACTTTAAATCAGTTAAAAACATGGACCATATTAAAACAAAGCCCATTAACAAGTCCTATTCCTGCAGTGTGAGAGAAACAAATTCAATTCAGATTGATATTTTCAGCACTGGCCCACACCTGTATTGGGACCAGTGCTGGTTCAATTGATCCCTTGCAGCTGGTACTTGGAAATGGTTCCTTGCACATGGCAAGGGACCACTGAAAAACGTGAAGTGCAACCCCTCTATACGCAGGAATACCGGTACCTGAGTCACCACTGTAATGCTGCAAGACGGAGCAGAATTGAAATATCGCAGTTGACACACCTCAACCTTGGCATTTTGGACAGTGCAACATGGCCTCTGTTACTTTGGATTATTTTTCTGTCGGCCAAGGACATCTTCCCTCACTTGTCTCCCTAACAAACACATCCCTCACACTCTTAATTGACTTGACGCACTGACGATGATGAGACTTCCTGCTAGAGGAGTGTGTCCTCATCCCGTCACTCAACTGTACTGTACAGGAAATGCATCTCGACTTGAACAGGGGTCAAACACAGGGCAGCATGATTGAGACAAATGGCTAATATGTACACCGTGTGAAAGACTGTTCACTGCCATAAAACAGCTCATTACTCGAGAGTCTTTCAATTGACAATGAAATCGCCATACAGACCACAGATTCCTGTGGCTTTTTTTAAGCCTTTGATCAATAAGTGTCACTTGATGGTAATTTATCTGTAAGTCACGGCTCAAGAGGATGGGTTGAGTAATGTGAATCCTTCACATAAAAAGGGACTTCCCCTCTCTCTCTTCACCTCTCCTAAAGGTCAAAGGTCATCTGCTGTAGCACTATCCATTCTCAGAGCGCATTTGCATGTAAACCCTAGCCTTACCTTCGCCAACCAGAGGTGTGATGGAAATAACAAACATTCATTGACAGCCCGATTGTACGATTTGCACCTATGGGCTTGATGTCATTAAATTGCAAGATACAGCTTGACTATGGCACAGGAAAACTTTTACGACAGTGACACATTAATCAGCTTCTGCACGCCACTGGTTGCACACACATGCACTGTAATGCATGTACAGTACTGTTGGCACAGGGCATGACTTTGTCATTAACACGCGACTGCAACGTCACCACCTGCTCTCAAAACTTGACCCATACGTGACTTCCAAGTCTTGCATTGTACAGTACTGTACATCACTGGCATCGAATATGACTCTGGCAGGCTCACACTGCTGGCACATGTATGTCATAAATGCCATCTCAATGCCATCCAGCCTGACCGCAATATGTGCGCGCGTTGCACTCATGACAAGGCCCACCTAAAAGAGCACAGACACACACTGAACGTGCGAAACCAGGACCGTCCTCAACGCACGATGATAAGAGCCTTGACACAATGGTTGCTGTGACCTGACTGGAAATGACATTCTATGACCAGATTCGGCCAAAGGGGTCTTAAATACTCCATCTCGACCACTGTTTTTCACACGCATTATATATGCTGTGTCAAGAAAACTTCAAAGCTCATTTTGATGCGTCACTGAGTTCACCGTTCCTACAGACGCAGCTCGAGTAATACACTGAAAGTTCCTAATATTTTCAATATGCGTGATTTGTTTTAAGGCCTCAAACCTGAAAGTAATTCTGGTAACTTGGGACTCATTTTGCAGAACTGGGTCATGTACGCTTTACGACTCCCAGTAAGTCATTAGCTGTTATGCTCATGACATCCGCTTTGAGCACCAAGCAACTCTTTTATCGATATCTTTATCATTGCTCCATTAGGACATTCCACAAAAGTGCGTTCAGAAATTGCCTGCGTGGGAGGTCGGTGTCTCAATGGACATATCAGATCACGCACATTTAAGCAGCCATGTAAAAGGTCACAGCCAGGTCAAACAGGGACGCTGAATAACTCCAAAGGGTATGCTTGAACATGAACAACTATAAAATGTGACTGGATCCACAAAATGAGTATTCAGGCCATTTTTTCGTTAGTTTTGTTTTGGTTCATATCAGACAGAGTAAACTGAGCTCTTTGTTTTAAGATTTAGTTTTCATGAAAATGGGCAAATGGGTGAAAGGTTCCCATTCATTGACATTGTGGAAAATTCTTTCAAAGGCCTTTTACTCAAAAGTGGCTCCGGCAACTTCCGTCTTAATTGGACAGGCTTGCGTTACAAATGAGCTGACATTCTTGGCCTGAAATGTAGTGCTGCAAGTAGGTGCCAAGGTTTGGTTTGGGTTCGGTTTGGACACGGTTCAGAAATTTTTTGCCAAACTTCGGTTTGGTTCGGGTTCAGACGTCAGATGTGTACACACATGTACATACATGTACATGTACAATGCACATTGAGACATCAAAGAGCTCGCTCACACGTACATGCCGTATATAGTACTTCCGTTTGTATGTTCAATTCAAGCAATGAATCTCCTCTCCATCCCATCCACGAGTAACTTCGATGTGAACATAATTTTTTTTCCACACTGTTTCCCCAAACTTTGTTTAGGAGTTAAAATTCCCTAGAAAGTTACAGTTGGAGTGACAGTTTCCGACCGTATATTACAGACCAAAAGCAGTTACGTTTGGACAACGCAAGACTCAACAAAATGATCATAGGATATGTGAAACAGAAAAAATAGCATGCTTAAATGGGAGTTTCCTTCTTTTAAGGATACAGGATAAAATTGGATTTCCAGCAAATTGTGTTATCGTTTTTTTTCATGAAACAGATTCAACTACCAAACTATGGCTTTCGATGTGTTTGAAGAGCCTTCAGCATTCTTTCCCAGGACGGCGCCCACGTGACCAAAAAGGCGATCTTCCATCTGTCTTTTTCTAACGGAAAACGGCGTTTTGTTGTGAGATTTGCAAACACTTAAAGATCTGACAAAATTCTACTACAACGTATTTACACTACGACTTTGATCAAACATAATCAAATGAAAGGCAAATTAGGCTACCGCTCGAACCAAATCTTGTCATGTGCTGGATTGCTGCACTGGCCTGCCTGGCAAAATCAGTTTTCCCTCTGGAGTTGCCTTTGATCGAGCACGAGTCTGACTATGATCAGCATCCAATCAAAATTAGTTTTGCACGGCCATTTACGACATCATTGGCCTAACATGGAACGTAAGGGCGTGCCTATTGGAGATTGGCAAACATAATGCTAAATTTGAATATACATAAGCACAATTGGATGTAGTGAGAATTTAGACTTGTTGTGTAGCAAAAATGCTGTACGTTGCATGTTCTCGTTTGATTACCAGTGAATTCTCACCACAAGCTTTTTCCAACCATTGCGTGATGCGGGGCCACCGTAAGTGTACTGTGCATGTACAGTGTACATTTACAGTACCTTCCCGATGCATATGTGCTGAGCACTAGTGCATTCTGCACCAGGGCGGCATAACTCATTATCCATTTTTCATCGTGTTTGCTTTTTTATCAAGTTTTCTTGCATGCATTCTGTGCGCTACTAATGCCATGCCATATCAAAGCCGAACATCAGAACCGACCAGTTTGATTCGGTTCGGTTCGAAAGTGCCATGTTCAATGATTTTTGGTTCGGTTCGGCTGCAGCACTTCTGAAATGTCAGTTATGTAGGAACAGTTAAAAAATGTGCTGGTGCCTGGTGCCAATGTGTTATCTAAACTTTGGAAAATGTCAGTGACCAAGCTACTGCAGGAAGACTTAATCCCTAGGTTCTGACATTTGTCGAGAAGACTTTATGGTCCAACTTAATAGGAATACACACACTACTACAATCCAACTGATGGTGGGCATTCTTCTTCCAGATCAGACGTACAATTAATGCACTCAAAGATGGCCTAAAAATGTAGGGTCAAAACACGCGCACGGAGCAAAAACACCCACACAGGACAAAAGACTGCCAAGAAATCACCTTATAAATATTTTTGATGCAGTACCCGTTGCTTTTGAATTGAATCAGCAAGCTGAACTGGCAGGTTGGGGGTCGAGCTGTATGAAAGCCACCTTTGCGAGCAAGTGGGAAGTTGTGGGTTCAAGTCCCAACCAAGTAAGTTGTTGGAAGTTTTTTCCGTAAGCCCTCGAGAAAACACTGAGTATACAGTTTTATAAAAATACATGGCGACGAGGGGCAAAATTTCCAAAGTAAAAATTAACACTTCTTAATCACACCACTCAATCATAAAAATCTTCTGGCGTTCTCACCTCTGCGTTTCTGAAGACGCGCATGAAGTGTTCGTCAAACTTCTCCACCGTCTTGTAGTAGCCAGACATGATGTGCCTCTCAATGGTGCTCAAGTCAATCGGGTCGGGGATACGCTGGTAGTAGTCTTGGTTCCTGATGTTAAACCAAGTGAAGAAAGAGTGAATTATGCGTCTAGTCAGAGTTTGACTGTTGGGACGACAGGGGTATAAAAGGGGCACAACGGTGAAATTTGTTCCTGCATAATTAACGTCTTTACAAAAAAACAACATGAGCCAGTCTCAAGCTACATGAATCGAGTGTAATAATATTGCACGTAGACAGGCAGTGTGTGGCTCTGCACAGGTAGGACAAGAAGCTGTAAATTAGATGCAAACAAGTGCATATTAAACTCTGGCAAAAAGCCAAGGTTTTGCTGAGCCACTGCGCGAGCTTTGCAGTTCTATAACACCAATCCAAAGATTAAGTTTCTGACTCCGAAAAGCTCTCGGTTTCATTGGCAAGTGAAAATAATGAACACCCCAAAAATTCATCAGTTTTGTACACAGTGTAGAAGTCAACCCTTCAAAAATCGTTCCGTCTCGAGTAAAGACAGAGGCTGTCAAAGTTAACTACCACAAATGCATTCCTTTGTCGTTGTTCCATCTGCTCAGACTTGTGGCTCGACTGATCAAAGAACTAGCCACGGACTCCAACTCTCTTTGCCCTAATTACCTCTTCTTGGACGGCCTGTTCATGAACGGTATGGCCAGGCTCTGCCCGTTGGCATCTCTGTAGGTGCACACCACCGTGTAGATGTCCTTGAAGACCTGGGCAAGTCTGGCCGCCTTTGTGACCTCTTGGTTGACCTCAGCCGCTGCGAGTCGGCGCGTCTTCACCGAGCGGGACGTCTTCAGGGCGGTGAACTGTGCCATGAACACGTCTGGAGAGAAAGCAGTTTGAGACTAGACAAATGGGATCCCTGTGGGAACAGGAATGAGTTTTCAACACGTGGAAAGGGGCTGACCCTGCGTTAAACCCTGACCTGCCTGCATGTAGGCATTTGTTGCCAAGAACCTCCTTGACTTGGGGACTTTTGCAGGAACTCAGTAGCACATTCTTGGCACTCTCAATTCTCGGGGGAATAAACTCCATGTAAACAAACAGTGTCTGGGCTATACCTTTGTTCATAATGCAAACTCTTCCAAAATCTCTAGGTGATTTTTTGGGAAGGTTAACTTTAAAGTAAATGCTGCAAGTTAGCTGATAATATACATTAACTCAGACCAGGTAAAGGTAACAAGCGTGACCTTAAATGTTTCTGTAATTTAATACACATACCCATTCCACAAAAACACCTCAAAGTTCCTTACAGTCTGGCAGATTACCAAGAAGGAATGTTAAGTGGTGACCTTTGTCAGGTCAAAAAGCTTACAGTAATCTAATCACGGACCTGTTATCAAATGCATAAAAGAATTTGTTCAGAATATTTCCATTACAGCATATTTCCATGTCAGTCCAACAGGTGTCAAAATTACCTTTCTTATTGGTGTCGGGATTGTTGACTTTAACGGAGTTATTCCCCTGCCTGGCCTTCAAGAGTGCCTCTCGGACGCGCTTGACCTTCTCGATGTTCCGCAGAAGAAAAACCCGCCTGTCAGCAATGAGATTCATCTCACGGACAGACATCGGCCGGGGTAACCTCAGCCGTAGGGTCTTTAAGGCACTCAGTTGTTCAGCCACGTTCTCCTGTGAAGTGGCATCAATAACACCAAATGAATGCAGTGGCTTATCATACTTGGGGTATTAATGAGTAAATGCAAATTCCTTCCTCTCAACATGAAGGGTATACATGTAGTTGAGTATTCGATTTGGAATATGGAACATGAAAAATTAAGTATGAGTTTTAGTGGCGCCGATATTAAGTGTGGCGGCCAAGTGTGTTTTAGGCACAGAACTTGCAGGTGAGAAAAGAAACAGGAAATTCCATGCTACACAGGAATTAACAAATGATCTTGGAAGTTGTAATGGCATGTGTGGGAAACACAACATGAGGAAAAAGCCAAATTGGGGGAAAAGCCTCATTTCTGTTTTAAGTGCTGGACGAGTGAAATACGTGGGTTAGTACTCAAACTGAACCAGGTGATTGGGCTTGGATGGGTTCACTGGAGAAGATGGGGTGGGGATGTGTGTCTGTCAACCCAGGGGGACCATCCAGAGTTCACTTGCTCACCCGCTTCTTGAGTTGGTTCTGTAACTTCTTCTTGTCCTTGACTGGCCGGCCACACTTCTTGCCCGTCTTCTTGCCCTGATTAGTCTCCTTCTTGACCACGCCGTTCAGTTTCTGCGTCTTGCCCCCGATGGTCCTTCTGCAGTTGGCACTCCCGCACATGCACTCTTGCTGTAGTAATCATACAAATAGATAGGTAACTCCAACGTAACTATGAATGCAAAGTTGATAACTGCACTTGATATCTCGGTGGGTAAGGACCATCAGAGACAAAGTTGACGAGGAGATAAGGATTACAAACCAGAAATTCATTTAAAGATGCTGTTCAGATAGGAAGGCCATTTCACATCAAATGACAGCAGTTTACTGACACACATTTCAATGAAATTTGGCTGCTTTGTTGCTCTCATACAAAAATTACACACACAAGAGTGAAAAATTGACATACACAGGACATTAATTCTGTCTGAAGGAAGATAACATCATCAGTCAAATTATGGAAAAATAAAGTCAAGAGTCCTACTGCCACACAGCAAACCGATACTTTAACAAACAAATCTCGACGAATGCATTTTCACGAACATCTCACCTGGGTTTCGAGGTTGAAGGCGTGGAAGTTGTAGTCATACGTCAGCTCCTGATTGGCCTCGATGTCCCGCAGGGCAAAGAGAGCGATGCGGTACATCCCGCTGACTGACCACTTCTGCATCTCGCAGTTGGGGTCACAGCTGTGATTGACAAAGCGGCCCTCATTGCCGTACCGGTACCCGTCGATGACGGTACCCGAGTCCAGGTTGAGGTAGTAGTGGTGCTTCTGGTACTGGTAATCGCTCAGGGCTCGCTTCCATAGCTCCTTAACGCTGATGACCTCCCCCACGTATTCCAGGATGAATTCCCCGCCCTTGATGGGGTGCTTGGTCCGGATTCCCCAGCCCCGATCCTTAGTCTGAGACATGGACCAATGGAAATAGCTGGCATCATCCATTGTCCAGTGAGAATCATTTTTAGAAAACTGTACTTTGGGTACTTCAAATTCTGTTTGAAGCAATTCACAAACTAAAAAGAATTTTTGATGTACAGAATTTCAAATATAGAAGTCATCAAAATAGAATGTGTATAACCCTGAAAAATGCTGAAAAACAGTTTTCAAAAAGAAAAGTTTACTGAGGAAAAAACAAACATACACAATGTATAATGTATAAACTTCAACATTAATTTTTCTTTTTAATGGGTTAGAAATGCGTTGCTGTTTCTTAACAGTCCTTTCTCTGTGTTGTATTTGTAACAGGAATGTGTTGGAACAGCATGGCTCGTTGATTACTGCTTACCATAAATCTTTGCAGTCCTGGCGCCCACTCATGCTTCTGGATTCTCTGGTTACAGCACAATTCCCCGCAGGGACAGGTGCTCGGTGAGCATTCACTCAGGACCATTCTAGAGGGGGCAACGATAAACAAGCCCACCAATCACTGCCACATCAATCACTACCCAATGTCTGACGCAGAGATACACAAATGAGAGGATTTGGCAAAGTGCGACACGGGGACCGAGACCGGGTCCAAATGCAACATCGTGAACAATCTGCCACTGAACGGCTGTACGGCACAAATAGCAAATTGTAATCCACGGAAAAAGTACATGACTCCTGCACTATTTTTCACCGCAATCTCCTGAGGGCAGAGAAAGAATGGGAAACGAGGAGACCCAGAGTAGAGGTTGAATAAATCCCAATTGCTTGAAATCTATTCCTTTATGTAACAATCAGGCACGGACGAGTCAAGTTTTTTACGATAGCACTGCACTTTAAATTCCAGGACTTAGCGTGAACAGCAAAGTCAATTTACAGAAGTGCTCATTCATTTGGTTCACGCTTTTCATTTAATACAGTTAACACTTCCTCTTGAACAAAGCCCACATTATTTCCTAGATATTCTAACCTCCTGTTTGGCATAATATTGAATTATTTCCCATAGATTCTAATGTTAACAACAGCTTGTTCCTGCACGGAGTTTGTTTTGGTACTCGCTCACCTTTTATTAGTGTTTATCTCTCTTCATTCATTCCCCAAACAAGTTAACTGTGTTAATAAAGTGCTGAACAATTCTTTCAGAAGTTCCTTCTTTCCAAGCCTATTTTCTACTTCTTCTGTAAAGATTTACGATGAAACTTTTTCCCAAGTAAATGTAGATCGAAAAGCACCCATGTGTGTGGGGAATGCCTACATTGCGCACCAAGCACACATGCAGGGCAGCTGCCCAAGGATTGAAAGAAGACTGCATGGCCAGGTAGTCAACGTGCCCCTGCATGTGCCAGTTCAATCCAGTCGTGTTCCGATGCCTCAACAATGCGTAGGAGGCAGGAATCTGATGGGGAGAGCGGAAAAAGCATTTCCCCGAAAAATACCACACACTAGACACCGAGTTGCTTGGAGGACAAATGATGGAATCTGTCAAATGAACTTGACCAACCTGTTGAGGCAGTCGTCGCCACATCCTTTCTGAATTCCATCCTTGGGTCTGCGACAATTACACGAATTCTGCGTGCTACATATGGGCTTCACGTCATAATAGATATCTGTGGGACAAACATGGAAAAAGCCCACAAATTCATTAACCACTATGGGGTCAGAAATTACGCTATTAAAGATGCGTTGACAATTTCTCTATAAAATTAACAAGACAGTAAAACTTAGAAAACCAAAATCAATTCATGGAAATAATCTTTATCTTTTTCAACCTAAGAAAATGGGACTTGCTTAGCATTTTCCAAAGAGTACACTGACATCCAACATTAGGAGTAGAAGTACTCATTAAATGTTAATGAATATAACCAATGAAGCTCCGAGCTCTGTCGCCATGGCACCCACACAGGCAGCCACTGCAGTTTCAATCACTCTACGGCTCCCCAAAATGGGCACACCCACGCACCTGCATGTCAACGTGTAAGGCGTGGGATTAGCGTAGAGGCAGGGATGCACATAATGGAGCAGACAAACATCCAAGAACCACTGCCTCATTTCAGTGCAAACAATTTTTTTCACTGAAAATAAAAGGCTTCCTCCCCCGTCTTCTGTTTAAAGCCAATGCATCATGCCCCAGCACCACCGGCAATGTTCTTAAACATTCACTGCCGTTAGTTAACAAGATCACATCCTACCTTATAATTTGATACTTATCATAATGAGGCACGTACACATACTGTACATCTACTCAGCAAAGACATAAACAGCATTTGGGGGACTATCTGTGAATTTGCCAAAGGTTCTTTTCAGAAGGCAACAAATTTTGACAGGCCTCACTTTCCAAAATGTTCTGCAAATGGAGGGCGGGAGCTTCCATATCTTTTCACTAGATTAATTACTCCAATGTGCGTAACTTCATAGTAGTAACACTATACTGTAAAATATTAGCACTTAACCTTGAAGTAAAATGTCAAACATATGCCGGACACGTCAGAAGCTTTTGTACAAAGCTGTATTTGCGTGCGTGACATTTATGTCCCAATGTTTGTCCAACATTCCCAGCCTTTTTTATCAAACCAGGCAGTAACTTTAAAAGCTTTATTTGAATAGGTAGGGTTTTATCATCCCTCTCATTGTGCCAGATTAAATCTTTTCCATTTGCAATGCCAAGACCAGCCCTGAGGAGAGACCGAGGCTAATTTCCTGGCCCGGGTAATTCAGCACTATTTCCCTGCGTCGCTCGCAACTGTGTGCCAACTTAATCCTCAGTGCTTCAGACCAAAACACACACACACTCCATCTGCGCCGTGATATTTATAGAACGGTGTGGATTCCGTTCTGGAAATTCGGCCCCCATTGGATTACTCATAGCGACACTGTAAAGAAGACTGCTTGGGAAAACAACTCCACAAAAATATTCCCTTTTGTGACTAATGCGAAAGTGAATACATCCACTGTCATTTCTAAAATCATTTTTGTTCATCCAAACATAATGTAGTCATGAGGTACACCATAATGGTTTTCTAAAACTGGTGAAATAGTGGTTAGTACATTAATAACACTGACCAGTGAGTCATTCTGACTCACTCAGCCAAGACACTTTTCCCTCTTGGGCTGTTTTCATGGTCTCTTAATGCCCACCTCTCTGATACACGTCCAAATGATCAATATATCAACATGTTCAGGGACAATTTTTCTGTTGCCCTTGATCCCCAATCCAAAAACCGTGGACGTAATCATTCACAAGCTGGGCTTGAAATTGGCGGAAGCAGGTGGTTGAAATGAACCTGTTAAACTCCAAACTGCCTCTGCATGGCCTGATGTCATGAGCAACCACTAGTGCCCTTTTTTCAAACTGCTGATGAAAAATTCTGCATCAAGTCTAGAAAATTCAATGCTAAATAGACATTCCTAGGGTAAATTCAAGTCAAAATAAAGACAGGGTAAAGTCCATGTAGGATCTCTGCGGGAATTTATTTCAATACTTGGTCAAAATGGTGTGGAGCTCCAGATTTTTGGGTGGTAACTTGCTCGCACTGATGGAAAAAATTAGAATTTGCCAGCTTGAAGTGAAGCCCTATTTCAAGCACTGTGCATTCTTCAAGAACTATTATGCGCTTGGTGTGGCTCCACATTGCAACCACCAGAGTATCACTGGCTGGCGTGAGCAAGCCGTTCCACACATAAACATTGTACAAGTCATGCAAACAGTGCATATTTTGTACAAGTGGTTGGAGTCACAGACCAGTGCAATGTCCTCAAGGCCGAATTCCTTTGGCACTTACTGTTCTTAAGCTTCTTGTACTTTGAAGGATCGCATCTGTTGGCTAGCTTGTTGTGTGCGTGGAGCCACCACAAGTCATAGGGCAACTGGAAATCATCCTCTTCTTCCCAGAATACGGAACCTACAAAGGGCACAAAATGATAACTGGTCAACACGGGCTTCTGACATCATGCCCAGAACTTGCCACGTGACAAAGACTTTTTTTGGGGGTTTCTGCTTTACTTGTTACTGGTACATGTACTTGCAAAACCTGGATGACGACAACTTGAATAACCATCACAGATACAACTTGTGCATGCAATAATAACTTTTGTCAGTTGTATTTGTCAATTCTACGGGCAATTGTTTTCCATACATGTTCTAATTACAGTGCTGAAATACGCATACAGTAACTGTAGAGAACTGAATACCCACCCTGGACATTCTCAACTTAATGGCTTTGAATAGGAACACTTTACAATATCACTATAAACCATCATGAAGGGACTCAAACCAACAGAAGTGTAGAACACATTGTGAGCTACATGTTTGGTAACATAGCGGTACAACACCATTACACAGCAATCAAGAACAGTTCTTAATAATCATGCCTTGTCCATGCTTTCACAATCACATCTTGCAAATTCCCCCTTCTTGTGACAACTGGGACACCACGACCATTTCACCATTTTCGTCTGGTTTGTCAACTCCCATCGAGCTCACTCACTGACCATCCAAGCCACCTTCACGATGCTGTCACTGGTAAAGCTGCATATTATAATCAATACTGACTTGCCCCCTTCTTTAATGTTAAACGCTTGGGGTGCACTGTATCGTGAATCACTCATGTCGTCTCTCCCAAATGCTATGCAGAACAATGGACTCTTTCCAACCCATGCAATCAGTGCACAACATAACACAGAGTCCTGCAAATTGGCACAAGCAATCGTCATTCTTTACCAGATAAAATTGGTAGAGGGAGCAAGCTGCTCTCTGCTTCGTCCTCTGCCACGCCTGCTTGATCGGTTACCTCATCTTTGCTCTCTTCTTCCGCTGGGGTGGCCAGTCTATAAGAAAAAAACACACGACACGTGAGCATTTTGAGTCATTCCTGATTGCAAAATTATCATGGAAATGCACAAGACACAGAAGAACAAACTGCTCTAATTAACTTCCACCCACAAAGTCACAACTTTATGCTAAAAATGTCAAACCTGCCCAAATATTGCAGACTCGAGGAGCACATTATACGGAATAAAAACATAGGAGGGAAACTGTTAGAAGTACTTACAAGTTAAGGTCAAGTATTTCTGCACAGAAACACGAACATACAGCTTTGAATTAACGACTAACAATGTCACCTTATATAAAAATTGAAGTCTGAGCACCTCAACAAAAACCACCCCAACGTCATCTGATTCTAATTACATGCATGCTGAACATGGCCTGGACTGCCGTACGCTTACAAGTCAGGCGAATTATGCACGGCAAATGGCACAGGTGAACTACATGTACATGTACATGTACTTCCTAGTCTCACTATCAAATTTTTCCCCAGGGCTCAAAACGTAATCTTGGAAAAGGGAATATTCTGGACGAGAGCTGAAAAAAAACTATCTAGCTTTTATGACCTAGACACACTTGAGTGCCATTAGCATGGGGTTACCACCCCCCTCCCCCCACACACTCGTGCCTATCGCACATTTGGCACAATCAATAGGCTTTTAGTGACCGAGAATCAAAGACGAAGGAAGCTGGGAGGCCATTCGGAGCCAACTACGCAATCTATTGATCCCTTTCTCCTCTCTCTGGTCATTGGAGGATCTTCTGGTGCAAGATAAACGCCTGATAATCTTACTTTTTGTGGCCAAAGGGGAGGCTTGGCATATATTTTCTAAACTGCTGTTTTTTTGGCAGTGACGATGCGGCAGGCATTTCATGATCTGCTTGGATGAGACATGGATAGGCCTTTTTCAGAAAAACTTGATGTTTGCTTGACATCGGAGATCTTCCTGTCCGCGAGGTATATGATTAAAGCTATATCTGGCTCCTCTTAAAAGAAAACAGCTGACCGAATTAACATCTACATGTAGATGCTTCTGTCACTACAGGTCAACCTTTCATTGTGTGCCCTCTAAAAAGGCTCTTATTTTCATAATGAGAGTACCTTTGCATACTGTTTACGATGTGTAAAACTATAGATAAAAAAAAGGGTTTCACAAAATATGCTGGGTCGTATTTCTAAATGTGATACTAAATCTAACAATGAGTGGCTATGTTTAAATGCAACTGCCAAAATTGATTATCAAGACATTTACCTAAACAAAGTCTTTAAAGAAAAGTGGGGTCAAACTCATTGACATGTAAGCCCTGATAAAACGCACTCAAAAGAAAATCAAAATTAACTTGAAAAAAGATCTGCAAAATACATGTATCTTGCACAAGCAAATGCCTTTTATAATCCCCTCTTTTGTTTGACTTCTGATCAACTCTCTCAGGTCAGAGCCATCCATACCCCCCTGCCATGAGAATATTTTTAGACTGTCTCCAAGGCAACAGAAATTCCCGCGCTTGTCCCTAGCCACTTTTTCAAAGGTCAATGGTTTCTAGCATGAAAAAAGGTCCCTACAGAAAAAAGATATACAAGAAATAAGATCTGTTATGTCAAAATGTGAGGATTCATATTTCAATTGTCACAGGCCCGCATTTAAGAAAGTCACTTCATTGTCTTTTGGAACAAATTCGGATCGAATTATTTCATGCTCTGTTTACAGTTCATGTAGGCTTTCTTGGATTGCAAAATATGTTTACTATTTTGGAACACAGGCTTGGAACTTGGATCTCTAAGGAAAGAAAATACCGCTAGGCTCTACAGGCCAAATGAACACCGTCGTTCAGCATGTTTAACAAATGCACAAAGTGAAGTTTATACGGCACCTTTGATCGCAGCAAAATACTCGTAGTCATGCTCCTTCACATTTCAGAGTGCTCAATAAATAAAGTGGGTGTGTGGAGCACATCTCAAAATGGCCGTCTTGTAAATAACACCCACTGTAATTAGACTCAAGCCCATGTGAAGTAATAGTGGCTGGCCTGTATCATCCTCAACCCTACAAAATCTTCCAAAAAAATCCTACGTGGATTTTGAAGGATCTAAAGGGTAAATTGGGATGATGTTTCCAAAACAAACAGAAAATTGGGTCCTCAAATAAGGCAATTTTTGAAATTCATTTCTACTTATCCATCCTGCTCCTCCTGGAAAATCTTTTCAAGAAACATGTGCATATTTTCTTGAAAATACCATATCTCTTTCCCTAGAGTCTGTGAGATGCCACAGTTACTCAGGCTTGTCAGAGAACTTCTGGTAAATGACAAATGACAGAATATGAGTCAGGGCCACCAGAGAGTGGAGACCATACTTCAAAAAAGAAAAAAAGGAATTGCGCGAAATATGATGAGTAACTAATGATGATGGTTTATGTGATTGAGCGAGTGATTCCACTGGGCATGAATAAATTTGATAAGATTACTTCTGACGCTGCTCAACTGACGGTCTGGGGGATGTGTACATGTGTATGTGTACAAACACTGTGGGCATGATGCACGACCGGTTATTGTCCTATGGCATTTGATGCTGGTTTCACCCATATTTCCACCGTATGATGGATTGGAGTGTGTCTCCTGTTAGGAGGCTTTGAGTTCTATTGCATTACCCATAAACACATGGACCGGTACCAGTATTTGTTAAATTCACCTCGGGCTATAGTCCTCTTACCACAACCCGGCTTATTGATCTCCGAGCCTCTCTGAAATGGCTCGGAGAGGAAAAGGACTAAGGGTCATGATACAGGAAGTCTGCAAAATCAAACCGCAAAGTGTGGGAGTATTAACACCCACGACAAGTCCAAATTTTTCTGTGACAAAATGATTTTAAAGTGACTCATTTCCAAGACTTGTTTTCAAGTCTTCTGTCCTCACTTGAGAGTCAAAGGCCAAGGTCAGGCCCTGCATTATGCACATGGGATCACACTTAAGAAGTTCAAATTGCAAGGGTTTTTTGGTTAAAGTTGAGTCACAGTCAAGGTTCGCAAACCATTTAATCTATGGAAGAACGATGCCTGATCAATTTCTTGTCTATAGAAAATTGAAACAGCAGATTGTGATTTTTAGTACAAACAGGTGACAAACAAAGCATCATTTTCGAACTATATGTGCAATTTAGAATCTGTCAAGCAGACAAATTAGCTCGTGCCCTTTTTCCATGGTAACATAACATTTATAATGCAGTAAACAAAAACAACAGATTAAAAAGGATCACGCTCTGACAATATTCAACAATAATGAAATTAGTGGTCATTAACCAAGAATGAAAGTCTTAAAGAGTGAACATTAGGCATTTGGACATCAATTTAGGCCACAAATAATGACACAAACATCCATTGGCCTTCAAGGCATTATGGGGAAGTGTCGTTACGCAAAATAGGACCAAATCAGGACATTTCTCTGTCCCCACAATGTTTTTGGCTCCCCAAAAGTTGGTTTACGACAAGTGCATGTCCCCATAACTACAGAAAAAGTAAGTCTACACCAAGTTTGATGATTTGAGTCCAAGTCCAAGTCAAGGACCATTATTCATCTGTTTTCAATAAGCCCGTAACTGTTGGAAATCATAAGTCTTTTGAGGCAGAGAGTAGGAACATTTTCCCAAGGTGACTTTGGCACTGTGCCTGGCAAGGTACTTGATCTCTCTGACACCACAGCTCTGCTCCTGACCCATAAACAGCTCGTAAACAATGCTAAGGTATCACAGCCAAGATTGGAACTAGCAGGGCCCAGATCCCCGCTGTCATGGCAACCCGGGAGCTAAGTATTACAAATTGAGTGGACATTCCCTGGGTTATTATAGAAAGAGTGTATCATGTTCACGTTTGCATCAGTAATGTGCGCGCTGCATTTGTTAACATTTTGGGGATATGAAACTCAATGAAAGACACAAGTACACTAAATCCTGAGATAAAGGCATGCTAACATTCCTCAAATTTCACAAGGCAATTATACGTTTACTAAAGCCAAGATCTTGCAAAATCCACTAGGGGAATCACGAAGATTTTCTTTCCAAGCTGAGAAAGACATTACCGGGCCACTGTTACATATTCATAGGACTTGATGCTGCTAGAAAGTAAAATGAATGTTCGGGTCCCTAGAGTGGCAACTTTCGGACGATTTAGATAAATCCAAAGTGATGTTGCCGAAGAAGAGAGGTATTTTATAATCTGACATCTAGAAAATCACGCAGAATGTTTTTATCTAGAATATTTGTAGTTTTTATTTCAAAGTGTAAATTTGGTAAAAAAAATTTGCCTGTTGAAGTAATCATACATTTTAAAATTCTTTTTACAGTTATGTAAATTGAAAGTTTTGTTAGAAAAATATTAAAAAAACTTATGGTGGTAAGCCCGCAGCCTACATGGAATTTCTGCATACTTTTTTTGTCATTCTTATTTTTACACTTGTCAGCTATAACAAAAGTGGACGGTTCCCCTGTACACATACCCACAGTCTTCTGCTTTCAACATTCAGACATTCTTTAATCACTCAACCGTCAACGAAACAGTGCTGGTGTGTCTTATTAACACGTACAGAGGTAAATCGGATGTTGTCACTTGTTCACTGCTACCAATGTGTGAAGGCAGACGTGCACATTATCACTATCCCATCCTATCGGTAGCGTTAACCATAACCCTCCTCAATCCTTCACCTGTTGGAGGACTGAGGAGTGTTAGTGTTAAAGAAGGTTAGTGAGACAAATTCTCGACCCACCCTTATTTTCGGGACAATATATTAGGAAACACAAATATTTTGGTCGTTCACCTAATTTTCTGACCTTTTTTTGAATGTAATCGGAAACACAACTAGTTTTGGGCTTGGCCTAACACTGCCACGGAGTAGTTGAGCACTGTTTAGATTAATACTCACGGATCTATCTTGAAGGTGCTGGAGTAGATGCCTGCTTTCCAGTAGCTCTTCTTGGGGAATGGCCTCTTCTTGCCCTGTTGTCGAGCACAGCCTCTACTGGACGAGACTGTCATGGGAGACTTGGGCCCGCCTAGGGACACTGTGGTTCTGCAGATCGACACCTGGGGTTTGACCTTCTTCATCTTGGAGGCAGAGGACGGCTGGGGGCTGCTGGCCATTTTGTCTGGGGATTTGCTGTTCAGAGTTGAGGGAGGCATGCAGGGGGTTGGGAATGGAGCTGTGCTCGTGGAGGGCTGTGACGGTAAACTGTGGAATCGCAAGAACATTTTCATGTACAAGATACATACATGTACATGTATCAACTGCTGCATATACATGTACAGCTATATAGAGTATAACACAGTATCTCAAGTTGTCTTCATCCGGGGTTTGGATGTTGAGTTAGAGAATTGTGATGCTGTGGAGTTACAGGGAAGAGGAAATGTGATTTTGGGGCACCAACGGACACAACTCTCTTCTCCATTTGTTGCTTATTTTCAATACGATTATATGCACATTCTTCAGTACTGCAAATATGCATCATTTTGTGTGACATGGAAAGTGCACCTGCCATCACGGACGCATCTGACATAAAGGGGTCCTTGTAGTGACACTCTTACTTAGTTGAACTGCATTTGTGAGTATTAGCTGAACAAGTTCATGCTTGTTTCGAGTACAAGCTGGCCTTTGAACTGCACAAACTCTTGTGTGGGCATTAATTCTGGACACTGTAAATATTCATAAATATCTGGGACAGTTTTTCTATTCTATTGGTTGAAACGCATCATGTGGCCGTGTATTAACATTTGATAATGCCCGCCGAGACGTGATAATGCCCGCTGCGTAAATCATGCTCTGGCACATGGATATGAGACAGTTTGATCGAGTCTGATTGGTCAGGAGTCTGTGCACTCGCAATGCACCATGTGCGCCAATTTCATTTAAAAAAGATTCTATTGGACAACTTTCAAAAGGAATGTACCATAAAATGAATGGGGGCGTTCAGAAGGTGAAATCTTTTAGAACAAAATTGTTGGAAATCTATCACTTGTTGACTTCTTTTGTCTCTCTGAATTAAAAAGGTATTTATGTATGGGAATAACTATGTGCTTGACCGGTCTTAAACTACACATAACGTTTAAGACCAGCTCGGGAGACTGAACGCTGATAATGCCCGAGCCACAATTAGTCGCGTCCATTCTCCTCAGCCGGTCTTAAATGCATGCTTAAGACTGGTCAAGCACATATTTATTACCTTACTCAAAGTCCTACTGTAGCTATGTGTACAAGGCACTCACCTGATGAGTGAATTATCTGCACAAGTAACAAGAGGCTCCTTCATGAGTTTGCGCTTCTTGAGTGGCTTGGAGGATTCATCCACAGCTGCTGTGTCCAGCGTTCTCTTTAGGACAATCTTTGGCACTTTGCTCATTTGCAGTTTCTTCTTCTGCACCTTCAAAGTTTTCGTCTTGGTGGGATTTTTGGCCACTGTGAATGTCTCCAATTCCAGTGTCTTCGAGTTAATTTCCACAGCACCATCCATAGGTGGGGTATTACTGTTCAACAGCATCCTATCTTGAAGCCTCTCTGTGTTGGTTGAATCAGAGACTGGGGCACTGTTCTCTTGTTTAGATGCTGTGTCTGATATTGACTGGGTTTGACATGTTTGCGCAGTGCTACCTAGGCTATTTACACTGAGACCCTGTTGAGGAGTCACTGAAGGGTTGTCCGTGGTACCTGCGAGGACCAAATCCAGGCATATCTCAACCTTACAGCTCCTCTTGGATGCAGATGTTCCTGCGGATGCATCTCTGGCTTCTTCTACCACTGCTTTGGTCTTGTAGCTTCTCTTCCTTCCTGCTGTTTTGGGTTGCTTGGCCTCACCCCTCTGCTGCTTACTGGTTTGCTTCTTGTTGGTCTTACCTGCTGTCTGCATACCAACTGTGTCTCTACTGTCAGCTACTATTGATTTGGGAGACTGAGAATGACCACTGCCAGTGGCACTACCAGTTCCCTGCGATCCTTCATGTGCCTGTGCTGGGTCGCTGCTAGTTTTCAACCTATCAAAGATGTTATCTGCTAATGCTCCGACCGCACTGACAGGGCCTGGTTCTGGCTTGTGGGACTCTTTCTCGGCTCTACTACCAGGGCCTTTGGAGAGTTTTGGGGAAGCACCCTTTTTGCCTTTGGTGGTCTTTGGTTCACCTCTTCCATCCCCAGATGAACCTGTCTGGATGGAGGCTTTGACAGAATCTACCAGTTTGTCCATGCTAAGTATTCTATCAGACTCCACTACAAGCATATCATTTGTACACGGTCCAACACTTTCGGTACAACATTCACTTCCCTGAATGCACCCATTGGTAGCATCCACCCTACTCTTGTCTAGTTTTGGTTTCTTCGTTCTTTTCTTCTGCAGCACTGACTCATTCCCTGCTTTGATCTTCTTCTTAGTCTCTTCAGCCAATGGAGAAGCCAGGACCTTTGATCCTTCGGACAGTGTGCAATTTGTGGGTGCTGTGGGAAGTTGCTTTCCTTGTTCTGCCGGCATTTCAGGTGGGTGGCATGTATTTGTGACTTCTTCTTTCTGCTCTAGGATATTATTGTTCTCAACATCTGCAGCAATAGTGCACTCGGCAGATGCATTCCCAACTTTGTTGCTTTGACCGGACTCGCTCATGTCCCCTTCTTTCTGCTGCTGGTTAGCCAAAAGTGCCTCATCTTCAGCCTTCTTTTTCAACACTTCCAGCTTCCTCTTTATGTATGCTTTGGATTTGGACGAAGTGAACCTGGCGGTTCTCTTCTTCCTCCGCCTCTTGACAGGTGACTTTGCATTAGCGGGAACTGCGTCAGACGGTACAGTGGCTTCGGGTAATGAAGACATGCCAAGTTCTGGCTGTGATTTGTGGGGCACAGTGGCCTTCTGGGCAATTTCAGTAACTGCAGATGTTTCTTCCACTTTTAAATTCAGTGAATGTTTACTGAGTCTACTTTCTCCATTTTCCACAGTGTCACAGTCACTGGCGATGCTGGCAGAGTCTGCTATGTAATGAACAGTTCCATCATCCAGGACAGATGAACCACGTTCAGCACTTGGTGTTGGTTGACCACTGCCATCATGTTGATTTGTTGCAATGGAGAGTTGCTGCTCATCCAGTCCACTGTGCAATACATTTTCCTCTTTAGAATCAATACCAGAAGATGGTTTAGTACCACTGGATTTAGCAGCTTTAGTCCTCTTTGACCTTACATTTTTAGATGAAACTTTCCCTGGTGTCCTCCTGTTTGAAGACAGCTCAGTTTCTACCACAGTTGCTGTCTGTTCCCTTTGGTCTGCATCTTCCTGTTTCCTATCATTTGTGACGATTGGTTCAGTTCTCTTATTCCCAAAGGCTGGTGTACATGAAGGAAAGTTCACCTTTGTGCTGAATGAGACCACGTCACTCACTGCAGGATCAAAATCATGAGGGCTAGAATCAGTTTCTTGGCATTCATTGACATCAAGTCTGGATGGTCTGGAGGCAACCTGGGAAGTATTGCATGACACGGTTTCTTGGCTGCCTGAGTTACTTAAGTACTGCTCCCTCTGGTCTTGTCTGTTTTTCTCCTCCCCAACAAAACACTCCCTCTTCTTCTTCTCCTCTTTTTCCTTCCTCTTCTTCTTGCCTGATTTGTGCTTGTTTGTTTTGGAGTGGGGATTACTGAGAACTGTGGCCAGGTAAGATGGTCTTAGGTAACTGCTGTAGTTTGGATTCAACTTGGCAATGGCCGACAGGTGATTCTTAGGTTCTAACTCCTTGTCAGTGGCTTTCGGCATTACCATTGTGATATCATTTATATCTTCCAGATTTTCCAGCTGCAGTGCCCGTAACTCCATGATGACGGCGTCCAACTCAAACACAAAAGCAGGGCTCATTCTGCCGGGCTGTCTCATGAAGCGGTACTTCTTCCGTCTCTTCCTATGTGGACCAAAATGCCAGTTCATCAACTTGCGGTGCTTGTCTTTCTTGCCATAGCTGTAAAGACCATGAGCTGAGGTAGCCAGGGGATGAGTTTCCAGGAGCTCGCTTGACATGTCCGATTCGGTGACAGAAGGTACCGATCGACGCCTGTGCTTGTCCAACACATGCTGATCTGGATTGCTGTTGTTGTCAGTCCCGATGCCACTGTCGCTGAACATTGTTTCCTCACTCATGCAAGTGGTGGCACTCTGAGGTGAGGGTGTCTGCTCCTTATGCTGCTTCTCCTTGGAGCCCTCCATTATCTCTGGACGTATGGGATCAACGTTCAGTGGTCTTTTCTTGGCAGCTTCGTGCAGCGCCTTTACGGGTTCGGCAAAGACGTGTGGCATTTTGGTGGGTGTTCCAAGACACGAGGAGCTGATGGGTGAGACTGGTGCTGATGCCTCTTTGTTGGGACTGCAGGTTTTGCTGGATTTGGAGCTGTCAATCTTTGGAGATCTCTGGAGCTGCTTGCCCTGATGGAGCATGATAGTCTCCTCATCATCATCCTCTTCATTGCCATTTTCAAGGAGCCATTCGCTCATAAGCCTTGCCACACCAGAGCCTGATTTCTTGCCCTTGCCCTTACTTGGAGGACAGGGGGGTGAGGACAAGGGTGACGCAATGGGTTCCTCATCTGGAATGAGGATGTGTAGAGGAGACGTGCTACCCAGTGGTAGTCTAGCCGGTGGTGGATGCAGTCTTTCGGGAATACACTCCTTTAACTTCTCTTTCGTTTTGTGCTTTTTAACCCTTTTGCCTTTCTTCTCTTTTTTACCAATTTTACAAGTCTTTGATCTCTTGTGCAGTTTAGTAGCCACTTGGAGCAGTCCGTCGGTATGCACAATGGTAGAACTCAGTACTTTAGATTTGCAACTCTTGAATTTCCCTGACTTGGACTTCTTGGTAGACTTCTTTGTCTTGGAAACTTTCTTAGGTGTTTTGGTGGCAATTTCCAAGACTGGGGGGATACTGTTTTCCGAGTGGGTATTCAGGGGGAGTTGTGAAGCGACCGGTAGGGGACTCATACACAGGTCCAGCTTTTTCTTCGACTTTGCCTTGGAAGTCTTCTCTCTGATGGCTTTCTCTTTTGGCACTGCTGCAGTGGATTTCATCTTTGGTTTGGATTTGGTTGGTTTGGGCGACAGACAAGATTTGCCGGTGGCAGGGTGGGTCTTGGAAGATGGAGAAGTAATGGCGAGGGAACTCAACTTGGGGTCATTGTCCTTCTCTTTGCTTTTGCTCTTAACCTTCTTTGGTTTCTTAACTGCATGATCAGCTGCAACCATCACATTCACTTTGGACAGGTCCACTGAAATGGGCAGACTTTTGCTCTTTTTCTTACTGCCTTTGCCTTTAGCCTTTGCACCCGATTCCAAAACATCTAATGACTGCTTGCTTTTTCGTGTTTTAGTTGGTTTCACCACAGCTTCGCTACCCTTCGATTTTGACTTAATGCTTCTCTTGGGAATTTCTGAGATCCCTTTTTCCTTTCCAATTCCTGTTTTACTCTGTATTGTAGTAACTTTGGAATTTCTGCTCCCAGCTGGTTTTGTTGGTTTATCTGGACCAACATGAGACAGGTCTTTAACACTTGTGGAGAGTTTGGCTTTCTGGACAGACAATTTAGTTTTGTTTGGGCTACTGAGATTTTGTTCTTTAGCAGGTTTTTTGCAACACGCAGTGTTCCTTTTGTCCACTTCAGCCATTGGTCCATCTGCAGTTCTAGATTTAGGAGACTTAGTGCTGGTCTTTGCAACACTTGGTGATTTAGAGCAACTGTTTACTGCGATCACTGGGCTCGGTTTGGAGGGGGTAGCTTTGGACTTTGCCTTCTTGGACTTTTGGCAAGCTTTTACGGCTTTTGGTTGTGACTTTGGTGAGGTGGTTTGCTTAGCTTTTGGGCTGTAACCCGAATGGACAGTGTACTGGGATTCAGACACAACCACGGCCAATGAAATGGCTTTGCTGTCCACCTCCTGTTCATCACCGGTAAGATTTGACAAGTCTGATTCCTTCTCCATGACAGCGTCAGCTCCAAAATTGTGCGAGTAGGAGCGGTATCCAAAATCCAGTGTCTCATTTGGAGGATTTGAAGAGTCCAACGCTGTGTCTTGACCATCCTCCATTTCCATAACTTCTACTACCATCTGTATTCCAGTCGGAGGAACATGAATATCGGGCTGCTGGGCTATTTCACTGGTTGGCAATTCCATGGCTATTGCATTTTCCGAAGTTCTTCCAGCCATGAGCAATGACTGATCACATTCCTGAGTTCTGTTGACGTTTTCATTCTCCATGCCTGACGCTTCCGACTTGGGCGCAAAACGGCAGTGCAGTCTGTCCTCTGGCTCGAGGTCCACGTCTGCCACACTCAATTCAAAACCCTGCTCGGACACGAACGACGGTGTCAGTGAGTCCACGTCCAAAGCCTGGGCTATTCCCTGAGCAACTGTCGAGTCAGCAAAAGCCTGAAGCAACTCTTCCTCCTCCTGCTTCTGCAGGTACTCTGCAGTGGCTACATCACTGGCTGACTGGCTGCCAATACTCACGCAAGGGTTGACATAGCCATCAGCAGCTCCCTCAACCCTGTTGTTGTTCCCCTCATGTCCCATCGGGCCCACCTGGCCAAAGTTCATCGGTTCGCACATTGAGCTTCCGCTGTTTGCCGGCAGGAAAGCGCCAGAGTCGGCGTGATTGGTCAGCGCCATGAGCGACTCCATGGTTGGGTTTCCGGTGGTCACCTTGGTTGACTTGCTGGTGCTGAGGACAGGAGGTGTTGGTGGTGGGTTGGGCTCTGTTGCTCCTGAATGGCTAGACTTGGCTCCAAACTCAGAGCTGCATTTCTCAGTGTTATCCTGCAAATGGAAAAAAAAAATTATAAGAAACACTACCTGAGTGTTTCACTAGGAAAGTTACCAGTTCTCCTGAACATCGTTCTGAAACATCTTGATTTAATATTAGAGCGGACTTGATCTGACAATCATGAGTCATACTCATGTTTACACAAATGTTATTCCAGAAATATATGTACTACATGTACTAGTCCCTGTCACATATAAAATGTTCTTCAAACATCAAGCAGAACACTGTCAATTCTGAATCATCTTGCGTAAACAACACACTCCCTCAAGGCCCCAAGAACTAATGCCGGTCGTGGCAAAATACTACCACAACATGCACAAGAAAACTGCAGTTTGGAAGCATCCAGAGAAAGTAACAAATGTACACTTCGGTCATTCTATAAATTACATGTAGGGGTCCAATTTTTTCCGTGTTTTGTAAGTTTAAAACACATTTTCTAATTTCCAAGAGTGATGAATGTACATGTACATACATCAACACCCACATGAACAAGCACATGATCACCGTGTACATGTACATGGACACACATGCTCAGTGAACAATTTGCACAATATCTGGAAACTGTCCTCTAAATACATGTACATACACGCAATACAATGTCTTCCTTTTTCCTGCACTGTCATGCCATTCTGTTTTGGAATTCACAAAGTCACAAAGTCACTGCGATAATGTACATGTACAGTAGTGCACAGCACATGAGCACATTCAAACGAGATGTTTGAGAGGAAATCCATCAAATACTGTATGATGTAATCGCACACTGTAGCATACATGTACATGTACATGTAATGATGTTTGTACATGTATGTACAATTCTATTTGGACTTCCATTTCTCAGGGGAAAACGTCAGTATTTCAGTGGCAACATAACAGATGTTTCACAAACATCAGGCTATTACACAGAAAAGACACCACGGCATAATGTACATTATATACAGGACACATGCATACCGTACATGTACATGCACATGTCCTGAACTCACAATATGAGCCTAATATGGTCAAACACACACGCAGTCTCTCTATGTGCGTAAATTTCCCCCCAGCCGGCATTCCGCCGAGAGTTTTACAGCATCTTTCCAGCATCATCAATAAGTAAATGAAACGAGTACATTATTGATGTGGACAGATCCAATGCATTTCCCCCAGGCAATCAAGACGCTGCCCAGACAGGGCACAATAATACCCAAATACGCCACGCTCCAACACTTGCCAAGCGTTATATTTAATCATCGGGGCTGCAGCTATTACAGAAGGGAATCAGGAGCTGACCCACATTAATCGTGTTTGGAGCCGGGCCGTTGTATTCAAATTTTTCAGATATCCAGCTTTTCCAGACCTACATGTAGATCCTGTAAAAATGTGTAGATGTGTAAGTGTACAATTGTGTGTGTGCCAATGTGGCTGAAAACTGAACGAATTTGATGATGAGAGCGAATTTCATTAGGTAATAACAGAATTTCAAATAATGGGTAATAAATCACTAAGTACATAAATTTACGTGTAAATCAAACATCATCAGCCTAAATGTTAATGCACCTTGATATTTTGCAAGAAAATCATTTCTTTTCCTTGAATGATTTTTCTTCTTGTAAAATAAAGATATTACATGTACATCCATATATCCTTCATTTTGAAGAGCCAATCATGCCGTTTCACGGGATCATCTGAAAAATACCTAGATATCCTGTGCCCTTTTCAGTGTTAAAACCAAAGTTGTTAACGCTGCCATGGTACCAGTGGCAGCATAAAGGTGCACGACACAGAGTATGGACTGAGCATGTAGTCGGTATCAATGGAGGTTAAAAACCGGTGTACATGTACGTGTGTCTATACTAACTGCAATGTGTCTTTATCATGCATGCATAAACATTATGCATAGTACCGATACTATACATGCGTGTACTCTATACAATGTAATATTCTCAAATTCAATACCAGATAATTTGTCTCAAAAAGGCTAAATGTACTGTACTTGACCAGACAAGCCAATTGTGAATGCCAGAATGCAGACCACACACACTGATCAACATGTACAGTAAAAGACTCCAAATCCAAGTTCATTATGAATGACTCACTGCTCAGAATTAAGGTGTCTACTCAAAGAACATAATACACATATACAGTATGTCTACATTTTGTTGTCTTCGGCAGTTTGTGCATCCAGCAACATGTACAACAAATCTGAGATTTGCTTTGAAGGAAAAACAACAAATAAATATGCACAGATATCAGCACATGTACATGTACATGTGAATGTACATGTACATGCACATGTACATGTACATGCACATGTACATTATAAAGAAGTACATTTCATACCGTTATTTGTGTTGGTGGCTGTAAGCACATCTGAAAATGGGCTTAGTAGTCACTGATGCTTGTCTTAAATATCCATGTAATCTCTAATGAGGCCATTCACTTGCAATTAAGTATACAAGTACCCTCAGGCTCAATAATAAAAATATCTGAAAACAGCTGAAAAGAGGCATAAACAAGCTGAACTGTGACAATCTCTCGTACCTGTATACTTTTGAACACAGCCAGTGAAGAAAAAAAAATTGAAATCCCAAACCCAAAAAAGCTGAAATCAGCTAAAAAGCTGAGAAATCTCACCCCCGTACCTGTATGACACACAGTCTTCATGTAGCAAAGCAAAGATTTCACATTATCTAGAGAACCGGAAATGCCTCGTCTACACATGCACAGCTAAAACTCAATAAATTATCATCATTCGATACACCGCACTATTTGTTTTTGACAACATTCTAGACAAAAGACCTCAGACTACAAAGTCAAGGTTGTCTGTAAAGTACACATAGGCAGCGCAGATGGTGGTATATGCATGTTTATCGGTTTATCCCGTGTTGAGCAGGCTAGCTTAAGCAAGTCAAGCCTATAGCCTGCAAAATGAGGAGGGAGGACGTCAGCCACAACTCCTTTCTGTCCCTGCCAGTGTTTGATTGATGACTAATGAGGGTAAATTCAACCCCAAGTTTATTCACACGTCGCGGGGTCGCAGGCTGGCTGGACATAAAATGTTAAAGCTACTGTAATTACCAGAGAGTGATGTGAGTGCAACACTTGACTGAGTGTCACATATGCTCACAGAAGAAAATTACCTTTCTCCCCCCCCCAAAAAAAAAACCCCAGCAAAACCACTGTTAACATGCAAGCACTTCCCAAATTGTAAAGCTCCACACTGCAGGATTAATTTTCTCGACAGCTGTTTAATTTACTGTAAAAAACTTCTGATATCTCCCTAAAAAGACGCTCTTCAGCCGACTTTTTTCAAACCCATTATCAAATTGTTTGTTCTGACAGTGCTTAGGGTGCCATGATGTTATGGTGCATCAAGAAACTACTGCAACTTCAATGTAAACTTTGAAAATGAGAAAATGACAAAAGAAACCCCCCCCCAAAAAAACCCAATCAATTACTGTAGGACAAAATCCATTTCGGAGCACACAGAAGAATAAACACTGGGTTATACATGTACAATGTACCTTACAATGTAACATGTACAATGACAACGTAACATGTCCTGTACAGTGTACCAATACCGGGAGACAGCTGAGACCACCACACCGGTACATACCGGGTACCAGTACGTATGTGAGTGTGAATGCCCAAAATACAGGTACTTGTATCATGTACATGCCTGTACAAGTACATCTGGTCATCAAATTTAACAGCACTTGAATGCTTACTGATACAGAAATTTTGGTAAACAGCACGGGTACCAGTACACTGTACATGTAGTTCTGTGTACATCCAGTGCCCATGACATATCCATTACATTTTTCACATAAATAATGTTCGGGTGTGTTTGTTCAATTCAGTGAATATCTCCCAGCAATAGGTACATGTACATTGTACAGGTGCTTGTGTGTAAACCACAATCAAGTACAGTAATCCGCAATGCATCCATGTAATACATGTACACGCATGCATGTCCATGTCTCTGATCTGAAACTGCCCCTGTGAGCAGCACGATGTACATGTACTGTACATGTAAATGTACATGTAAGAGGTTCACTGGCTGTAGTCTAAGGTGAATGTTGAATCGAATGTGCAAATTTGAGCGTCTCTGCGCATTAAGTGTTCAAGTGTACATGTTGATGGTACATGTTAAAATACATGTATGATTTACCACACACACACTGGTAGGACAATTTTACAGTGTCCAATGCTGTCCAAACAAAGCCACAATCTTCTTGAAGAGCAACCCTCCTCACAAACAATTTTCACAGTCATGAACAAAGCCAACACAGGGGCAACAATGGCCAGACACTGCCAAGTAATTTATGGCACGCTCGGCACCCGGCAACTTGCTCACGCAAGGGATTGACCCCGATATTGCCACTCGCACCGAAGCAGTCAAATGCGTATCTTATCAAATGGGGCCCCTGCTCCCTGGCACATTTCCGGATTCATTTGTGTGGGCTCGGGCAAGCGTGAACCGACATGTGACAGTAGTAATTGCTAATAATATCCAACCGACCCACCCCAACTGCAGGTGCACCGTCAGTGCTGCTTAAAATTTATTCCCACAAGCCCCTCCTGCCCAATTTCTTAGCGACGCCAAAAACACACACACACACAAAAAGAAAATCTCTGCATTTTGGATTCACTCTTGGGTAAACAGTAAAAAATTTAGTCTAGCAAGTACCGGTACGTGTACATGTATTTTGCAGAGTCAATTTGCACACGTGAATGAACAAAAGAATACAAACTACATGTATGATGTGATATGACACATGTACATATAGGTGCATTAAATATAATTTCAACACCTGACATACATGCACATTACATATGCTCATACCATATATGTACATGTACATATACATGTATATTGCTGAAAATGATATGCAAGGCAGGTTCATGTTTTTATAGTAGCCTATAATGTAACGTACAGGCACGCAGTAATTTATGGCATTTAAATTCTGTGGATAAAGCTCAAGACACAATCTTGGTAACCTCTCGAGAT